ATAATTACCAGAGTTCCTTCAGTTTCGACAGAGGAACAGTAAAGTGGAAAATTTAATGTTCTTACAGAAGGAATCCTTTTTCAAGAAATAATGTTCAGGATAGATCAAAAGCTCATACACTTATTTGAAATCCACATCCAATTAATTTCACTTCATTTGAGGAATCCAATGTAAACGAGGCGGATCCGTATTCGTGCTATTAACTAATATTTCTTTTTTAGAAATGATTGACTTTGTTTAGGAATGATTTCTCTGGCTATCGAGTGAGTCTTATTCCTTTTGCAGTCAATGGCAAACCTGTAAGATTTTTACCTGCAGACAATCAATGATTTTATATGGTGGGGTGTGGTGTTGGCCTAATTGATTAAGGAATACACATCTCTCTTTTGTTTTCATTTTAGTGCTTAAGTTGTTGATTCATTTGAAATGCTGGAACGAATGGATTTAAGTACATTGTATATTGAAATTAATATTGTAATTGATCTAAATGTCTTCAAGAAGTGAAATTCAGTTTGAGTTTCAAATTTTCATACGAAAACAAAAACAAGACGTGTTTATGAAACACTATGCCCTCGGCTGCAACAAAATGTTGGTTTCACCAGGAAGATCTTGTCACAAAGAACACACATGCTTACGGTGCAACAGTTATAGCGGCCAATGTTTGAAACATAGGTCAAAGGTCAAGGTCACATGGTCAAAAATTTAGTACCATCGGAAAATGTCTTGTCACATAGAACACACATACCGGATATGAACGTCATACCAATTACAGTGCAATAGATATGGGCAAGGTTAAAGCTGACAACCGTAAACAAACAGACATAAAAACAGACAGCACAAAAACAGTATGCCCCGACCTTTCGATGCGGGAGCATATGAAAATGACAAGAAAAAGTATAGTTTAGAATGATGAAGGTGTCCACTAACTGGCAATCCCAATGTGAAAACAACAAGTAAGAAATCCAACGGTGGATGTATGATTTTTGTTAAGTTCAGGAGTGTTTACCTTACTTTATACATTAAACTTACTACTTGAACTTCCTTAATACTTAAACATGTTTACCTATCATTTCTTCTTTGTAAAGACTAGATAATATGTATACTTTGTTTTAGTTATAAAAAAGGGGTTCAGTTTTTCTTGTATCTTTACATATAATTTAGGAGTGTGATTTACCTCTAGTCTTGATAGAGGTGGGGGGGGGGGCTCAGAAACTTTAACAAACGTAGCATTAAAGTTACGTAGAAATAACGTATACCATTTTATCACATTCTAACCAAACTGCTATTACGATGTCATCTGTTATTAATTTTCATGTGTTGTCATTGTTATAATCCAGAGCTCGAGTCTTCAACCGAGTAGTGGCCTATATATGGATATGTATTAAACAATATCCGACATACAGATCTTTTAGTGGCGTCATAAAGGGTATCAGTGGCACTTTTATGGTATAAAACTCGGACTTACAACCCTCAGCTAGGGCTCATGACTGAAGTTTTACAACAAACATATCTAGATTAGTGCAATATACGTACAACCTTCAGCTAGGGTTCATGACTGAAGTTTTACAACAAACCTATCTCGGTAAGTGCAACAAAAAAGTTTACTTATATACAAATGGTCGGTCATAAGGCTTCTTAGGGGACGTGCAGAAAATATGGCCAAGACTCTGAAAATCTACCAGAAAAGGCGGAAAGACATTATAGAAAGTGGGTTGATTAAGAAACTTTTTATGAGGATATGTTTTACACGTGCCAACACAACGACATGATTACCACTACTTTTTAAAATATTTCAACACTGTGGAATCATATTTTGAAGATTTTGTTGAAAGAAGTTTCCCAGAATAAGTTGATTAAAATTGAAAATACACAATGTGACCTGTTTTGGGAACCATACCTGACCTTCCAAGACCATGTAGTATCAGCATTTTGCCAAGTATAAGTCAGGATTCTATAAAGTTTTGATAAGTGTTGTCAACATAGTCGAAGGTTAGTTAATGGATTTTTAGGTAACTTACAGCGTGTTTAATTTGGGAATAGACCTGTTGAAAATAATGTAACTTTAACTGATGGTATATATTTTTTTTTCTTTTTTTAGAGGAGGGAGTTTCAAATCATTTATAAAGACCTGATACTATTTTAACAGAAAACACAAAGTAGAAAGTGTGAAAGAATTTGAACAACAGTTTTACATCCCCCTACCTTGACCCCCAAATCTACCCAAAATCAGATATTTTGAATAGTATACCATATGCAGCTGACCTTGAAGTGTCTCCGTGAAAAATAAATTAACTGAATTCCACAGAATAGCTAACTTGGCACCTATCCTTTTTATAAAAAAAAAAGATGTACCTATACACAGACGAATCCACAAAATAATCACTCCAGATGATAAATAGTGAGCTCGTGTCGAAAAAGTCACCGACAATGAGAGATGGGCATTTTTTAAATTTCGTATTTCATGTACAATATCATTTAAACAACGACGTAATCAATTTGATATCGTTAAAGAATTATTTAGGACGCAGGTGCCTGGCACGAGATATATAAAAGGTTATCACATAGAGCAGAGTTGTAGCAACCACCCACCTTCCCCTCTCTCTTAAACCACCTAACGACGTAGGCCCTTATTAACACGGATGTGCTGTTTCCTGTTTAATACACGTAGTAGTGGGTGTCTGGATTATATCACATAATTATGACTGTTCGCCGTCAGCACGGATCTTTTTCCATTTTCCTCTTAATAGTTGCAAAAGAGTTCATATTCAATGGAGTATTTCAATCCGAGAAAAAAAAAGAAAATTAAAGCCAAAAAAAAAAAGAAAAAACTACGAAAAACGGAAATATAATGCAACTCATTCACATCAAATTTATCGTATTTATTGATATGTGGAAACATCATGTTTTTTTTTTAATTCTCATTATTTCTTCACCAGTATGGATAAAGGTCAATTCATATAACTCAAATGAAATCCAAAGCTCATTTACATCATGACGGCCATCTTGAAGTTGGATACGGGCCCGTGAAGATTCAAGCTGGACGTCAAAGCCTATTTGTCAACATCAGGATACACGCAACACTATGGCCTTGTACTTAGATCGATTTGCTAAAGAATCTTGTTATGATTTGAATTTTCTGGTTGCAAACGATGACAACATTGTGAAAGAAACGATGACAACACTGTGAAAAAAGACATAACTAATTACCTCATATTCTGTAATAAAAGGTACCAAACAATTCGGCCCAAAACTGTTCCTAACGCCCGACCTTGATCCATACCTTTGCAAACATTTGACCCCGAAATTCCATAACGCCCCGTCTACATCACCTCAAAATTACATTTCGCCCACAATACTACAGCTTGGACTTTTTGAACTTTTAGTCTAGTATTTTTTATGATATGTCCGGTGTTAATGACACAGGAAAACAGTAAAGAACATTAACGTTTAGCGTTAAACATAGGATTTCACATGCCAGTTGATATATGAGATAGCCCATATGTGGCTTATTATATCATTAAACAATCTTTCAGACGACCGGTTAAGGAAGTCATCTAGATACGCCGCTGCCGGCCTTACTAAACAGGGACGAGGGGGTCCAAAGGCTCTCGCATTTCTGTGACCAACTGTTCAACAAAACATAGTCGAATTTACATAGTGCATTGTTATCATGTTTAGTAATTTTTGTCTTAACCTGTTTACAATCTCGTCACACTATTTTCAACCACAGTGTACATAGGAAAAAGTTGGTCGATTCCTTACCATCTCGTACACTAAACACGCCAGCGCTAGTATGCTTCACACTAGTGAAACGTCACACTCAAATCTTTCTGTTTGTATAACAAGAACATCTTTTATTCTTTGGATTGGTGATCCTCCATAAACATGTCACGGTACCCATTCACAGGAGGATGGTCGGGTTTGATTAATTAACCAACTGACTATCCATTGTTCATACAAATTCGGTTCTCCAAAATGGAAAACAGCTTATAGGCCCAAAACGATTATATGTATTGTACTGTAAGGTACTGCAGACCATATAATTTGCCAAAATAATTAACACGGACTTAGTATATTCTAGAATGACTATTTTAAGTCCTTCATATTACGTATATTAAAGATGTAAATATTTAATTATCTTAACACGCGCAGAGTTCCGAAAAAGTAAATTGATAAGCCTACATTATTTTTTTTATATATATTATTATTTTATATTATCCAAATGATCTGGGCACAAACACAGATATATTCTGTGACCAGAAATATTATTTGTCATTGCGAACCTTTGTAAGGGTCCCTGTGTAATATATACACGACAATTTTAGGACATCATTGTATTGAGATGCTTTAGATTTTTTTTAATTATGAATGGTCTTTTCCCTCAGTACATCATAGAACTTTTAACTTTTAGACAATCTACCTATAATTTCAGACGTGATCATGCTGCTAACATACCTGACTGAGATACAGTAAACAAAGATGGACTCAAGTCTTTTCAGTTTGGGCATATTGGACCTTCCGGTCTTTAATTACCATTTATATATGCTGCCTGAGCTTTTTTGTCGCACGAGTTTTATTTAGCTAGCAGTGTTTGTAAAATTATCTGTGATGTATGTTTTAATTTCTTACTGTGGTAATTTGTTTTGTGTATATATAAATGTTTTGTTATTTATAGTCGTAATGATAGCTCTTAAGGGCTATTGTTTTATGGTTCGAAAACACGACTCTAAATACAAAATTTTGTATCTTGAGAATGGTTTTGATTTTCAGGGTTATGCGGTTGTAATTTTGACCAACCATATCAATTTTTGTCGAATCGGTTAAGAAATGAATAACACACATCTCTAATTCGTGGTCAAAGACTATTTAGCTCTCGCAACTTTAACCTGAGAATCAACACCGACTTATTGCTCCTTGCGCATGCCGGGTGACCTTATTAGAAAGGTCATATATATTTTGCTGGAGACACTCGAAGGAGAGACCCCATACGATAGGGATTGGCGACAATCTCTCGACAGGATGGCTACGGACACGAGTTAACGATAACTTGGTTACCAACGTGAATTGGTAACTCCAGTTTGGCCATTTATTGACGTACGTTTGCCACAATGGTGGGGGAAACGCGATGGCTGTCTTTGTTGGTGATCAGCTGTGCGTTTGTGTATTGGGTGCCTGTGAATGCCGAAGATTCGGAAGGACAAGAATCAAATAACGAGACAGAACGTTACCAACTTGTTGTGTTCGACTTCGCCAGAGTGGAATTACCCTATGTTATATGTCTATGGATTCTGATAGTTAGCTTGGCCAGAATAGGTAAAAAAAACAGACACCTGTGAGATTGAATGAAAGAAAGGACAATAAAGAGATTGGGGGGAGGGGGGGTATTGGTTTTAGTCTTATGTTGACTGCAAATTAATGTAAATTATCGTATGATATTACTATACTGATTTCATATAGTACATACTAATTACTTTAAGTCTTGGGTTTGAAAATATAGAAAAGACTTCTGTTGTAAACCAGCTGATGTAGAATCCAATAAGCATGTTATTCTTGTGTCATTCGGGAATTAGTCTCTTTTCTAACTATGAATATGGATAATTTTTCTCATTATTAATATAGAAACATTAGAGCAAAAAGAATGTATAATGGGGATACATTGGAAGAGAAGTTGAAATGAGAGACAATCCCTGTCAGATATTGAATGTCTGAATTTTTTTTATTGTGATCTGTCATACACGTGGTACACACACATCTCTGTAATCCATTGTAACAATAGATTGAAATACAAGCTTGTTATTTCCCATAATTCTATGATGACGTACAAATTTCAGTAAAGCAGCTGGACTCGTACCACACCTTCAGGAATAAAATCTATATTAACGTACAGGTATAACAAACATTTAGTAGAATCACTGAGGGTAATGGCCTTAGTTGGACTTTATACAGAGACTCTGTTTCAGAACACAAACACCACCCATCTGATCACTGATAAGATATAAAAAAATCTCAGATTCAAATCAGAACTCTTGTACAATGATAATTGATGATGACGTAGTGAATTGCCTGAGCTTTCATGACCGTATTTGAAATAGATTCATCATAGGAGGGCATGAAGCTCTGTTATGTTTTACAACACCTGATTATATGTGATATGGTCTCAGTAATGTGGTATGGTATATTTTGTATGTGATTCAAGAGTTAAGAATCATATTAATTGGTTAAACTGATTTAAATTTTCAAATGAAATTTTATAAATGACTTAAATTTTATAAATGTAATCCCTGAGAAAACAGTGTTAGTCAGACATACTTCTACATTCTGATTTGTTTTCCTACACATTTTACTTTTGCTAACCACTTCTAATGTTAAGAAAAAGACGTAATATACATACATGTACACTGGTCCAGAGAAATAAAACACAAGAAGAAAATACAAACTTGTCAACATAATCTTAAGTGGGTGATAATCGAAACTTGAATTCAATAAAACTAGGGCAAAATATGAACAAAAGAAAGATTTATGTGGGGACTCCTGAAAAAGTGCTTGGAGAATAAGACCAAGTGTTCTGGAAAAGGAAGAGTCTTCTGCTTAAATGACAACAGGGGCCATGTAAAGCTCGGTCAATCCAAGTAATGTCACATTTTCAAATGAGTACAATATACAACAACAGAACCAACAGGCAAACAAACGAGCACCAAACACATTAAGCTTCATATCTCACAGTGAAATAGAATTTTTCTCAATGAGGTCACTATGACAACTGTAAAACTTCCCCATAATTTACGAAAACCTGCATCTTTTGAAACTCTTTGTTTCAAGTTTGTCCATTGGTTGACGACTCTTGACGTGAAAATTGTAATTTTTGGAACAGGCCTTTGAGTATAGAATCAAATGCGACATTTAAATACCACCAGTATGCAGGGATGTTGCTATCATGCAAAATAAGGAAATTGCGAGCATCACACTTATAATACAGCTTGGAAAGCTGTCCGTGGTGGTTTTGTTATACCAAAAGATCAAGATAAGCAGCTGAAGTAACGAGTCTGTTGTGTCCTTGATTTCCAGTAAGGATAGAAATAGGCTTAAAACCACAGTGTTCTCTGCAGGAGTTCATGGATCATAAAACTAAATAAACCAGTCACAAATGTAATGTCTACTTTTTGTACAGGTGGTAATTTTCTCTGCAAAAGTTAAAAGATGATAGGAAATTAATGGTTGTTGACATCAGAGACATATCTATATACGTCTCTGTTGACATGAATGCTCTGTGATCAACCTTTATTGTTAAACATGCGTTCATTTGCTAGTAGGATATCCCTGATAATGATTGTAAGATCAAATAAGAAAATGTTGATACATTTATCAAAAGTTGCGGATGTGATACGTTGAGTGATATACAAATGAAAATAAAAAAAATCAAAGTAAATTTCCTGTATAACCAAAGTATTGAAAAAATTCAGAGAGATTAAAACCATTTGTCCTGTAAGTCAAAGCTGAAAACTTAACACAGATTTTTTATTAAACATAATCAAATGTTATGATTTGCATGGTGGCACGGCCATGTATATGTGTAATGTTAATTGAACCAAGGAACAAAACATGAAGTGGAGTTATTTGTAGAGAAGTTGATTCCTAATATATATGATGACATATTGTTACACTTTGAAGTAAGTTTTTTTTGAAATCTTAAAACTTGATACCTTCCAGCTATTTATTAATAAGATTCATAAGGATTCATTACGATGTAGAAAAGCTTTGACAAAAGAAAGGATTTTTTCATGCATTCTGGAATCTGTGACTCTGTTTTAACTTTTATATTAGTTGAAAGATTTCTGTGTTGTGTTTAAATAACTGATATGACATGTACCGTGTCACCTTTATCAGACAGGAGTAAAGTATGCATAGGGTTGTATATGAGTTGAGTGTTTGATATAGCTACACTAGCTGGCAATGTATAACTCGCCTTCATAAACTTGTCACACTTTTAACCAGCATAAAAACAAATAATTTTACTAATCTTAAGTAAACAGTTTTTAAATACTTGGTTTGGATTACACTTTATAATATTTATAGAATTATTGTGGTCAATATATTATTTAGAAATTGGTGAATTCAAGTAAATGTGTTATGAAACAAGATGAATTCTGGAATGATTGAAAGCCAACATATTAAAACTGGTGCCTGGAGCTTGAGACTTGTCAATCTGTGTTATTGTTGACTCTGTAGTGTAACCGTGTTGACTCTCTCTGAAAGGATTCATTAGGCTTGAATTATCTGCTGAGTGATAGAAAGATGTTGATAAATATTGAGGATCTAGCAATAGACTAATAACTTCTGAACTTTGACTGAGGAGATAAAACAAATAATTTCACTTGAGATATGGTCCTAGACATAAACATGGTTGTGGAATGTGATTTTGACAACGCAGGAATTCACTATCTGGTCAGCTGTCTACAGTGTCCTATAATGGTGTCATCTTGTAACCGAAATATTTAAGCTACACTCAGACGTAGTATTTGCCTCATAACTGGCTCGTTTTGTATATGTCATATCATATGACATGTCATGAATATTAAAATCCCATATTGTGATATTATAGATAATTTGTATCTTGATGACGTTACATGTTTGTCTTGCTAGTGACAAATGTACCATCTGCATCAAAATAATTTGTCTGATATGGAAATTGATTTGAGAGTTTTTGCTTATTTTTCAGAGGTACAGATTATGATAAATAGAATCTTACACTTGTGCTGATGTAATATGGAAGTCATGAAGCAAGTTTGATCATTTGTCACCAGCCTGCTATTTTGACTTATATTCACACTGCTGTTGATTGGCTGATAAGAATTAAGTATATTACTGTATAATCTAAACAGTTGTTGAGTAGTTTTTATTGTCTATTTTAGCATTCCACCTTCACCATAAGCTACCTTTAGTTATCCCGGAGAGTTGTCTGCTCATTGTTCTGGGCCTCATTGTCGGTGCTATCCTCCACTTCAGCCATGTTGCCACCACCAGCGAGTATGTCCTTGATGCCAACGTTTTCTTCATTTACCTGCTCCCTCCCATTATCTTTGAAGCAGGCTACTTCATGCCAGTTCGCTCTTTCTTTGATAACCTGGGCACCATTCTGCTCATGGCAGTGGTCAACACTTGCATCAGTGCTGGCCTCATCGGCGTGTCCCTGTATGGCCTCTCCTGCTGGGGACTCTTCGGCCGACAAATCAGCCTTCTCAGCTGTTTCATTTTTAGCAGCCTCATTTCTGCCGTGGATCCAGTCGCTGTTCTGTCAATTTTTGAAGAAGTCCATGTCAATCAGATGCTTTACATCATTGTGTTTGGTGAATCACTCCTGAACGACGGTGTTACAGTGGTGAGTACACTCCATTTATCTGTCAATAAGCCTATGCTTGGTAATAAGCCCACCAACTTCTCTTCAAATTCTGTAGAATAACATGTACCAATAATATCACTGTCCTGTAATAAGCTGATCCCTTACAAGGAGATAATGTAGTAATTTCTTGATTTAATTTCAAGAAAAAAACTTTTTTCAAATATTCTAGTTTCCACAATCAGCTGAAACAGAGTGATATTTTATCATTTTCAAATTATTATATCATATTTCATTGCTTCACCAGAGCTTCATGAAATGTGTAAAATTTTTGTAGTAATGTTTTGTACCTATGGTTTGATACATGACAGTAAATTATCTTCCTAGAGATGCAAACAGTCAAATCAATATTTCAGGTACTTTACCATATGATGGAGGGGTTCATAGAGATTGGAGAGGAAAAAATCATTGTGATTGATATTGCTACTGGCCTTAGCTCCTTCTTTGTGATTGCCTTTGGAGGCACCTTGATTGGAATTCTTTTTGGATTATTTGGCGGATTCATCACCAAATACACCCAGCATGTGACAGTCATCGAACCTCTCTTCGTCTTTGTCCTCGGGTACCTGATGTATCTTACCTCAGAAATGTGTCATTTATCAGGAATTCTTGCGTGAGTAGACATACTACATACTCATTTTGGGCAGAAATCAATGCAAGTGTGATATTTAGAGATGAACAATATGCAGGCTTCACTGTACCATATTGAAAAAAAGATTTAGATTTTCCTTGCTTGTTTTCTTAATTGAATTGATACAAACTATTAGCATAACATTTCATCAGCAATTTTTCCAATTATTTACTTATGAAAGGCTTTCAGAATCTGCATTCATCCAGGTCTCACCTTTTATTCTGTATCATAAGCAATTCATCATACCTTTGTTGTGTTAAAAAGTATATCAACGTAAGGGTCAAATATCCTTTATGACAAATATTACATAACTTAATTATTGAAGCGATATTATGAGGAATGGCTCTTAGTGTCTGTTTGATAAAATATTTTGATAAACAGTACAATGGTGCTTATTCATATTTTGCATATCCAAACTTTCATTAATCCAAACCCCAGTTGTATCCCCCCAAATATTCTGGTAGTCAGTAAGAGTTGTGCCTCTTGTGCCATATTCTTATTGGTGTGTTATAACCGTTACTCAACAAGTTGACCTGTTGATTAAAAAATACATATCTGAAAGATGGTATAACTGAACAAATTATATGTCCTGTGAGCAGTTTGGATATGTGGCATTCTAATGTAACATTAACATAATACAATCCTGGAAATCACATGATCCTTCATGTGAGACTTACTGATATCAGAATCACTAAACATTAACATCATAGAATCCTGGAAATCACATGATCCTCCATGTGTGACTTACTGATATCAGAATCAATAAACATTAACATCATAGAGTCCTGGAAATCACATGATCGTCCATGTGTGACTTACTGATATCAGAATCACTAAACATTAACATCATAGAATCCTGGAAATCACATGATCGTCCATGTGTGACTTACTGATATCAGAATCAATAAACATTAACATCATAGAATCCTGGAAATCACATGATCGTCCATGTGTGACTTACTGATATCAGAATCACTAAACATTAACATCATAGAATCCTGGAAATCACATGATCGTCCATGTGTGACTTACTGATATCAGAATCACTGCTGGACCAAGGTCCTTCGTGGGTCATTACTAATCAATGGTTTATATATGTTTCAGATTGTCTTTTGGAGGAATCGTACTTCGTCATTATCTAGAGGCAAACATTTCCCGCAAAACAAAAACCAGTATCAAGTACTTCATGAAAATGTTGGCAAACATTAGTGAGACCATTATCTTCATGTTCCTGGGGCTCTCCACCATGGTAGACACTCTGGATTGGAATCTCAGCTTCATTCTATTTGCCCTGCTCTTCTGTCTACTATTTAGAGCCCTAGGTGAGTTGAGCCTCTATCACATGGACTGCTTTTATCTAGGAACAGTCTTTTATGTTTCTGTTGTTTGTAGTACACAATCCATTATCATAGAATGGGCAGAATTGTGGCATGTCAAACATGGAAGTGCTAAAATTATGGCATAATGCCATATATTTCTTATAAAGGCTTGGAAACATTTTTATCCAAATGTAACATAATACCTTTCACAAAAGGAAGGTAATTTCACTGATGTACCATCACATGTTAGAACTAAATATATCCAGGTGCAGGAATTTGTTTCCTTTCTTTAACTTTAATTGGCTTTAATTAAGTATTCATATGCATTAATGAGACATGTTCCTGTAAGAAAATATGAATCATACCTATTAACGATTTGACATGCTTATTCACAATTTATTGTCATTGTACAAAATACATGTTTTCAGTTTTTATGTATTGATAATTCATTTTACTGGTACATGATTTTATTTTATGGTTTTAACTTTGAGTCTTTTACTTAATTACATAACTATTTCAACTTGAAGTTTTAAAGTCATGTAGTTTGGTCCCAAAATACCCGTGCTGTTGATGGGCTGTTAAACTCCATAAACTGATCAAAGTACAGGTATATAACATAGTAAAGTAGACACATGAAGAAGTGAACTGGAGCAGATTTTGGCATTTCTCACTATCCTGTCAGAGACTAAGGACCTATATATTAACCATATTACATAGGATAAGTTAAAACTACAACATAATCACATTAAAATCGTTAATACGAGATGTAGTTTCTCTTTAAGAGGGAGCTGACAGAGGATATTTCATCTGGTAATTTGTTGGGGAATACACTACATGAATATCTATTTAGAAAGCTTGTTTCTGTTTCAGGTGTTATAGTTCTCTCATTCATCCTGAACCGTCGCCGTCTGGTAAAACTGACTGGAATTGATCAGTTTATCATGGCCTATGGTGGCCTGCGTGGAGGTATTGCCTTCTGTCTTTCTTTGTCTCTTAAGGAGGAGCTGGTCCCGGAGAAACGCCTTTTCATCACAGCAACGATAATCATAGTGTTCTTTACTGTTTTTGTGCAGGTAAAGTTTCATCTGGAATAGGCCCCAAGTAGCAAAAATACAAAGACGATTGTACGTTTAAGATTTTAGAAAATTTTAAATATGTAACATTTTGCAATTTTAAGGTTGTTTTTTTTTTCAAATCCTGATATGTTGATGGGCATCATTTCAACCTTCAGTGTCCAGGCAAAATTTCTTAATAATTAAAAAGGTGTAATATATTTTTTTTTCTTCCAACGCATCAAATGTCAGGGCTTTACATATATTGTTCTGTATTAATCATTTAATTATTTGTTTTGTTTTATTAGTTTTTTTTTTTACTTTGATATTTCAAGATTTCAAGTTATATAAATATATTACCATTAAAATTTAACTTTATCTTGATTATGGTAAACAATCAATTATCTAATTATTTCAGGGTATTACCATTAAACCAGTGGTAAATGCTTTAAAGGTGAAAAGAGAAAAAAATGGTGACCCATCTCTTCACGAGAAAATCAATGAAACAGTAAGTGTAATAGAATCTTTAACATATACATGTCGAAGGATAAAATAATCTTGGATATGTACTGGTTATAGATTCAATTTCTGGTACATGATTTTGTTAAAATTGCATCAAACTTAAATTTTGCATTGCAATTACCTCCCTTTGCGGTTATACATCAGAAGGACATTTGAATATGATATCATTTCAGTATGATGTCACTTGGTGCCTTTATTGCTTCATGGTACCAGGTATATTTGACAGTATAGGAAAATCTAATTCTGTGTAACAGATAAGATTTCCATGTCTCATGTAGGAGAAATCATCATGTTCTTGGTAGCTGAACTTTAGTTTGTACAAGTTTAGAGGGGCATTAGTGTGTTTATGTGTTAGAATAAGAATATCATGGTCATACCAATTATTTATCTAAGTTCCTTTGTTTTGCTCACATTATAAGACTTCACAAAGGATCAAATTTTGAGTTAATCAGTTTTACACACTTTTTCAATTAGAAGTATATTTGACCTTTGATCTTTAAATGTAGTTCATCGACCACTTGATGGCAGGCATAGAGGGTGTAACTAAGCGATCGGGACACAATATGATGCGGAGCAAGTAAGTAAAGATAAGGAGGAATACTACAATAACTAAATATAGTCTGTATTAAATAAGTGAACTTAAGGAAAAGAACTACAATAACTTTATGTAGTCTGTATCAAGTAAGTGAGAATAGGGAAGGATACTGCCATAACAATTTCACTGGCTATGTTTTTGTCCTAGTGTGTTAATCTTTGTTCAGTGTTAGATTTCTCTTAACACCCAGGATAGATCCATATCAGCTTTAACATCAAACTTTAGTATTCTTTTATTTAAGCCTTATTGATCAGAGGGCGAAACAGGCAAAAATCTCCCTGTACATAGTAGTATTGATCATGATTGTTAAGATGTATGAGAATACATCCATAACTTTATATGTCAGTATTGATTGCATATGGCACAACCTGCAAAGTAAAATTACCTGTTTTTGTTTTAGATTTCGTCATATTAACCACAAGTACATCAAGCCATGGCTGAATCGCGAGTCTGTTAAACTGACAAGTACCAAGGCTGACAAGGTGTTGGATATCTACCACAGCATCAGTGTCCAGGACGCCCTACATCAGATGGGAGATGGCGAGGCAGTAGAGGTAGTGGGAGGACATAAGCTTCCACTACTGTCAGCTGAGTAAGTTATTGTAGGAAACTGAAACAAGGTGGCCTCCTCCTCCTTCTCCTCCAAAGAGAAGAATCAAGCCTTTCCCTTATGTCTTTATAGCTTTGAAATTATTTTGTTTCAAGGAAACATTTAAATTAAAATTCATTATCTGTATTACCCATCTTGATGAATATCAGTCTGTTTGCAAATGGCAAACTTTCATTTTAGGATAGAAATAATTTGATTAATTGAAATGCCGAATGAAGTATTCGAAGTCATTTATTGGTTGCCATCCTTTATTTCTGGTCAAGAAAAAAGAATTCTATGTTGAAAAAAAAAGCGTTGATGGTATCACAATTCTCTCTGGACTATCATAGTGATAATGCAAAAGTAATTCTGCTATTGAAATACCATCATGATAGCTTTATTGGCGACAATAATTTCCCCAAGTATAGGCTTATAGGTTTCTGTCTTGTCCTTTCAATGTTTACATCAGTAAATTGGATGAAATGAATGGAAATATTGAAGATGATATTGAAGAGAATTAGTATTCACATGGATAGAATTGCAGAAAGCTGAATTATACTTAATTTTGCTGATCAATAAAAAATTTCTTAAATCTTTTTCAGGTCAAAAATGAATGGATTTCACCAGGACAATGTAAAGAATGGTCATTTTGTGCCTTCGTCGAATACCAAGAAAGATGAACATCTCCACCACCTTCTGAATGAGGGCATGCTCAGACCAAGGACTACTGTGAGTTTACATACACAAGGTTCTAATATATCTGGTTTGAATCATGAGATATGATATATCTATCTCCAGTATCCTTATGAATGAAAGTTTTGATTCTGTTAGTCTGAAAAACCTGTGCGGAGGATATCTCTCCACAGACATTGATGACATTTGGCTCGGTCATAATGAATCAAAAATATTTCACAAATATTGGATTAATGTGGAAGTTTATATTTTGAAAGTAGGTCACTATGACATAGTTTTCACCCTACAAAGACTGAAACAATTTCCTTTGTTGCCTTTTCCATTTTGTTTTTAAGTATACAGTAATCAACTAGTATGTTGTGTTGTTATGTAGTCAACATTACAACACAGGGGAAAGTAGGTCACTGACATACCATTTTACGACTACTTTGAAAGTATTTTTTGTTGATATTAACGGATTTCCCACTTTGTTGTTAACTGTATATGTTGTTAGTGAAAACATATATGCAACTCTTAACACTTGGTTTGAGAAGCCTTGAGATAATTTTAAAGTATTTAACTTGATTTTTTCCCTGTTTATTTTCAAGCTTGCCTCTTAATTTGGTTTTGTTTATTGTGAATTGTTGGTTTTTGTCAGTTTTTATGCCCCTCCATAAAATTGGCAGGCTTACAGTGTAGCCTATGTTCTGTCTCATCCCATCCCGAATCAATATAAGCACCTAGCAACTTCAATCCAGACAGATTCTGGTCAAACTGAATACAAAGGTCAATTATGAGTATACCTTGGCCATCGTTGTGTTTCAGGGACCCAAATTTGTTCTTGCTATACATAGAAAATCATCAACTGATTCAATTTGAACACTTAACAACTTCATTCATGGTGGTTGGGGACGGGGGGGCATTTACATGTAAGTCTAACAGAGGTTTGTAGTTTTGGAGTGACCATCAAATTTGAAATGATTCCAAACCCAACAACCTTTTGAACTTTCAGTGTGTAGTTAATCAAAAGAACTCTGTCCCAGAGATAGAGGAGCACAAACACCATGTACGTCCAGTGAAACTCTTTACTGAGGCCAGCGACAGTCACCCTAGTGTTTCTACTCCTAACTCCCATAGCAACAGACATACAGAACACACCTCTTTTTCTCCAGAGGCTATTGGTAAGTATTCAGTCACGATAAAACAAAGCACACCTCATTTTTCTTCAGAGACCATCTGTATTTATTACAATTTTGCCAGTGAAATACATAGAAATATCTCATTGTTAAAAAGTGTTATTTTCAGTAGAGAAAAATCACCCTATTTGGGTTATTTTTTCACTTGTGACATTTGCAATCTTCTGCCAATGAAATGACAGAACATAAATCTTGTGATAAAATTGACAAATCATAAAGCCCTGTACAAAAAACACAAAACCAGATATCTGAAGGGTTTGTTTACTAGCGAAACGACCTTCATTTCAAAAGTAAACACTCATTTCCATGAAAGTTAGCAAACAATGCAACTGAAATTATCTTGTCAGAAGTCAAATCTAATCCCCAACGGAACGCCTTTAATGTGAAGTAAACACATTAAGACTTTCCAAGGGGTGTCAACAACAGCGACAACTACAGGTTGGCACCATATTTTCAGCGGCCTGGTAACTTGTCACAAGTTAAACTCTCTTTGAACATTTCACAGCAAATTTCGTCTCTTAGTGACATGAATAAGTAACATTTTCTTTGTGAATGTGAAAATAAATTAACATTAAAAATATGTAAGCAAAATTATATTTCAATGATTCAAAAAATGACTATACTTTGTTGTGTGCTGCAAAGATATAATGAGTGAGCAGTGTCCGCGAGAAACCTAATCAGCTTCCTCGTTTTATACCTGTTCTAAACATGCCAGTAATTTTGCTGTTTTGGTTGTGAAAATGTAATAGATAGAATATTTAATAATATCTTCAGTAATAGCAAATATATTTCACTCGTGTGGCAAATATTTTATATCGTTCTCTCATGCTGTGTACTTATGAAAGATACTGCAATATTAGACACACTTGTGAAATATATTTTACTTAAGACACTATTAAGTATCCTCTATATATTCGGTCATTATTACACAGAACACACTTCATTTTCTACAGAGACCAGCAATATGTATTCAATCATTTTAAGAATTATAGAGAAATGAGGTAAATTTTGTTTTGTAGATGAAGTCTTTGATAGTGGTACTGATGAACATGAAAATGTGACTTTGAACTTCAAACCTGATCAAGAAGATTTCAAAGAAACAGTAGGTAAGTAAACAATGGAAGTTCTGTAAGGGAGACAACTGAAGTCCATACGCCCCACAACCCTCCTACTTGAAACTCAAATTTACTTGATAAAATTATTGAAGGTTTCTTTTTACATCAAAACTAATGTTTTAAGTTTTTGGTGTAATATTTGGATAGGCACCTTTATCCACAATTCTACATCCCACACTCCTCCTAGAAATAAAGTATCAAAAAAGCATTTTGTAATGGCCGCTACAAGTGAGATTGCTAGTGATTGGTAGCACTCCGTCTACAACAGTTCTAATCTTAACAAAGTTACATACAAAACAATGAACTCTCAGTCATCTAAATCTGTCAGAGTAACTCAATACAATTTTGTTATGCTTTAAATCAAACAGAGTTACCTCCCTGTAGTTATTCATTCTTGCAAATTTTAACAAGTATATTCTTGCATTAAACAGATCTGTAATCTTAACTGAGACAAATAGCATCAGGGATGGAATTTGTAAATATAAAGATATGTATGTGTACATACTGTCAATTCTGTTGTAAAGAATGGTCAGCTGTATAATGTTTAAACAATATCTTACTTTTGGTTGTAGTGGAACCAATGCCACCAACTAGCACAGCTACAGAACTGGAGTTGCCATGGAAACGGCTCCTGTCACAAGACCCAATTCCATCATCATCACATGTATCATCGTGTGAGGAGCCACTGACAGCTGAGGCTCCTACCTGGGTGAATAATTTATCGTACAATCATCTTCTGGCATCTGGGTCCCCCTATGCCTCACCTGAAGTGACTGTTATTCCCTGTCCGAAGGAAACTAAGGTCCCTGTGTACTCTGTGTTTCCCCCAGCTCCATCAGCTGAAGGTGGTGGGTTGATGCCTCCACCCTGGTCCACACACAGTGAAGGATCACAGGAAGAGGATGCACCAGTGTCATCTGTCAATATGTGTCGCCCAGGTGACAAGAGTAACAATTACCTGCTGTCCAATCATACATCACCACCTCCCTCCCATCACATCATCATTCCAACCATTCACCACCAGGACGGCTCCATATCACGTGGTCAGATTAATGAGGAGGCTGATAATAAACCACTCCGGTCTTTGCCAGGGTCAGCCTCCGCACCCGACCTCCCAAAACACTGGACACACATTAACCCTAAAGGCAGGCTGCACTCGGAGTCAGTGTTGGAGGAGGCAAGGCTCCAGGAACAGCTTCAAAGCCGCGTTCAGGAATGGCTGTGTGCAAATAATTCAAACAACGATGGTATCATTATCAACCTCATGGATCAGGGCACCCCAGATAATGTTAGTGACAATGACGCAGACGATGAGAGTGATGATCAGGAAGATGACAACGAAGAAGAAAGCAGTCATTTATAACAACAGTGAACAGTAGTGTTTCCTGATGTGCCTGATTGTTCAGCTGATCTGCTTTCAGATTCAGTAGTGTTTTGGGCAGATCACATGAATTTCAGCTGATCCAATTTGTATGGTGGAGTGTTTGAGGCAGATCACATGAATTTCAGCTGATCCAATTTGTATGGTGGAGTGCTTGAGGCAGATCACAGGAATTTCAGCTGATCTGGTTTGGGTGTAGCAGTATTTGAGGTGGACAAGATGAAATTCATCTGATCTGGTTTTGATGTTAGAGGTTGACAAGATGAAATTCAGCTGATCTGGTTTGGGTGTAGCAGTATTTGAGGTGGACAAGATGAAATTCATCTGATCTGGTTTTGATGTTAGAGGTTGACAAGATGAAATTCAGCTGATCTGGTTTTGATGTTAGAGGTTGACAAGATGAAATTCAGCTGATCTGGTTTTGATGTTGGAGGTGGACAAGATGAAATTCAGCTGATCTGGTTTTGGTGCTGGAGTGTTGGAGGAAGATCAGATGATATCACAGTACTTCCATTCAATGTTTGATCGACACTGATTAATGTATTCCCCAATCACATTTCCAGGGAACATTCCAACGACATGCAAATATGCTCCTTGATGAAATGTAGTCAAATTAATTGTGTATTTGTTTAAATGTATATGACATGACATATTGACATGTTGATAATAAGGCACTGGGATTTTGTGTTAGGTTTCATAGCTGAATGATATATTGATAACATGTTCTATCTTTATCATAATTCACATAACCATTAACAAAATTTCTGTGTTTGTTCTGAAATTTAAAAAGACCATTCCTATATAAGATGAATATTCTACACTGATTTAAAACGTTGAATTTATTGATGTATTGATGTGAGGGTGACGTTTGACACAGCTGAGTGCTGTAATTTGGTATATATCTATATATAAATGATTGTATTTATAAAATATGTGATATTTGTTCTACTTAATGGTGTACATTTTTTATATGGACAGTCTGAATATTTGTCCATTACACATGAACAGTTGTGTGAAATACCGACATTTGTGATTGTCTATGTTGACAGCCTGTGCTTGATAATTTTTTATTTCTTTTGTGCTTCACACAGATGTGTTCAGTATTGGAGACTTGGTCATGTCATTACTATCATTTTGTAACTTTGATGCAAATTTGAGGAAAATATTTTCAGAAGATATTACATGTACCAGACTTGAACACTGGTTAAGTAACCAGACCTGTACTTGGGTGAACTAGCCAGACTTGAACGCTGGTTAAGTAACCAGACTTATACTGTGGTTAATTGGCAAGACTTTTGCCATGGTTAATTAGCCAGACGTGTACATTGGTAACTAACCAGACCTGTGCTGTTGTTAATTAGTAAGACCAGTACGTTGGTTAACTAGCCAGGCCTGACATTAGTTAACTAACCAGACCTGTACCTTGGTTTACTAGACAGACCTGTGCATTGGTTAACTAACCAGATCTGTGCTGTTGTTTACTAGTCAGACCTGTACCTTGGTTAACTAGCCAGACTTGTACTATGGTTAACTAGCCAGACCTGTGCTGTTGGTAATTAGAAAAACCTGTACGTTGGTTAACTAGACAGACCAGTACAGTAGTAAATAACCAGACCTGGCATTAGTTAACTAACCAGACCTGTACCGTGGTTAACTAGACAGATTTGTACAGTAGTTAACTAACCAGACCTGACACTGGTTAAAAAGTCAGACTTGTCCACTGGCTAGTTAAATATTTGCATCCGCACACTTCTGGAATAACTATATATTGTTTGTTTTTTAATCTAATTCCATAACTTTATTTATGTTGCTGCTAAAGCGTGCCAGTCGTTTGCCATGAATCAACGATATTTTGATTGCTTTTCGTGTTGACAACATTTGCTGTACATTCTAAGACCTGTCAATTTTACTACTTGATTCACAACATTAATGTTTATATCATTGAAGTGTTCCAGAAAGGTGTTCTTACGTATCTGTGTGTATTATTTTGATAGCACAAGTGTTGAGATATAGAAAATCTTGTGTTGGTTATACTTGGACTCATCCTGTATCAGCTTTAATGAGTGTAAGATAATTATACTCTTCTAGTCAGTGAAGATCTTTATTTAAACAAGGTTGAATCGTACCAAAGATGATGATATCGGTGAAGTGTTACAGTTGTCTCCCTTGTTTACAAATGTGACACTTCAGCTACACTATCACTGTAATCTTGTTCAAAGGAATCAACTCTTGTCTTTTACTAAATTGTCACCCCTTTTGTCTTTCAAATTGTATTTTTCTTTTGTTGAATTAATCACCAATTTTAGAATATAAAAATAAAATGGAAGAAACAACAAGATGAATACTAAGTTGTCTCCAATGGTAGTGCCTGTCTAGGCATACTATGTACCATACTGTAATGGTGTTTCAAATTTTCATGGATTAACTGAAATCATGAAACAAAAAAGTTAATTCTAATGAAGGTTAAGTTATGGATTATGCCTTCTGTAGTCATTTTGTTCTCAAGGTACAATAATGTATGTAATTCTCACAGTTTTATACTCTCCTCTAAAATAGCAACAAATAGAAATTCCTTTACAGTAGATTAAATCAGATAAAGGGTTTACATTATTGACAGCGAAGATCTGGTATTAACTAATATCTTTAACCTTGACAAGATAAAAAGTCCTAGTATTCGGCATTATTTCTGTAACATATTTGTTTAATGTTTACAATGTTTAAGAAAATACTAAAATGTTATTTATCATAAAAGTATGAAACTTGCTGTAGATTACATCAACATTTTAAAATAGAGGGTCTTGATGTAAGGTCAATCATTAATAGGTGAAGGTTAGGTCAAGGTTAAACCTACTGGTGCTGTACAATGCTCTTTAATTGTATGATTGTATAATCAAACAGTATATAAAATATGTGTGTTTTTACCTGAGGTACATTGTATGTGTATTGTCAGTCAGTGGTTGTATAGATGAGCTGTCTACCAAATCTTATTTATTTGAGTAGTTTTACTTTAAATATTAAGTGAGATCTATATGTCCAGTCTTCAGTGTAAAATGATGTATAAAGATGAATTCTTCAGTTATTAGATATTGTGAGGAGGAACAGGGCATTTTCCTGTAAAGTAACATTGTCAGAGGAAATTTTAGGTTGATATTTTTTCACAAGGATTTTGAATGTTTAGGAATATTTTGAAAGTTAATCTGTACATATATAACCTGATGATGGAGCTCCATGACTTTTCGTACCTGAATAAGAGGGTGTATTTATGTCCTTTTTATAAGTAAGATGGTTTGATCTGTTGTGAGAGATTAACAAAGTGATGTAAAAAGTGGTGTATTTACTTGTAGTTTCTAAAACGTCTTAATGATAATAGTCTTATGTGTAAAAACCTCTTTTGATGACACACTGATAATAGTTGGATATTGGTACGAGTTACTACTGTGACAAATCTAGAATTTCTAATGTTACCTAGTAAAGGCCTTTGTAAAATTTAGGATTTGTAGGCTACTAAAACGATAATGATTTCATCATAGATTCAGTAATGGACAGCATATTTTTCATTTTGTGTAAAGGATTTTTTCATGATGTTTTAGCTTGAAAGATTATCAAGTGCTTTCTGACGTGATATCCCCAATGATGCGATTTTAATTTATATGTTTTTAGTACTAGTCACTCTGAAACTTTACTGTCATATACAATCAGTTGTAATCTATATCAGGCTGTAGGTAGTATATTGCCCTGTATATTCATCAATAATAAATTATATATGATATACATGTATATACATTGCCATAGATGTCTAGGCATGATATGTATTACACTATCTATTCAGTTGAGATTGAATGTTATAAGGTACATTAACATACTGTAAATATTTTAAATATTTTCATCTCAGTTCATGGTTGTATTAATTTCAAGATGCATTTGGGTTGGCACTTAATGTTGTGGATAAATTTTGCTCAAGAATTTCACAAATACTGTAATCAATGTCAGCTGTCTGTCCATTTTGTCAGGCCATATCAATTTACTGATCTGAAAAATCAAGAATTCAAGAAAACAGATGACTTGATGGTACAGATTAATTAATGATGCAGTGAAACATGAACTGTTGGGAAAAAAATATGCAGAAAAAAGTAGATGAAAAAGAAATATGTCTGAAACCAAATCGTCCACATTACCTGACTTTCTATAAATTATTTAGTTGTTGAATATTCAAACTTTTGATCAATATTTCGTTTTTTAACAGTTTAGATAAATTGTATTAGATTATTTTCAAATGTCTGAAACATCTTTGATCCGTGATGTTGTAGCCAGTTGACTGTGGTTATTATTTCATTTTTGTCTTCAGCGTTTAAGCCTTTAAAAAGTTTTTAATTTTGTAAGTGTGTATATCTCAATCAATCTGACATATCTCAATCTTTGATCTGTGTTAAATGTCTTAAATGTTGAGGTATTCACTCATCTTAAAATTGTCTTCAATATTCAGATATAAGGTCAGATATACAGGTAAGCCTTGATCTGTCTGTACATCTGTCTGGCGATGTTGAATACAGCTGATTTCATGTAAGTGTCTGGCAATGTTGAATACAGCTGAGTTTATGTAAGTGTCTAGCGATGTTGAATACAGCTGAGTTTATGTAAGTGTCTAGCGATGTTGAATACAGCTGAGTTTATGTAAGTGTCTAGCAATGTTGAATACAGCTGAGTTTATGTAAGTGTCTAGCGATGTTGAATACAGCTGAGTTTATGTAAGTGTCTGGCGATGTTGAATACAGCTGAGTTTATGTAAGTGTTGCATATCATAGTATTAGATCATTCTCTATATTACACTGCTCTCACTAATAAAATAAGACACAATGATAGTTCACAATCTCAAAAATTAAACACATCATACAGTACTAAGACTTGCCAATTTATGCACGTTGTAAGATAAATCTACACTTTCACCAATGAAGTGTACCATATTGATGTTGGGATATGTTTTATGGCGCCTTGTGAATGTGATCGAATCTATGTTTAGAATTATTTGTAATGATAATCTCTTTAACATGTTTGTACCAATTCATAGGCTTGTTGGAGCTCCTCAATGTAAAACATCCATTTGCAAACACACTATATATGTCTTAATTCCCACGATTTGATGGATTAAGTGATCATTGACCATATATGGTTGTCATATCTTGGTATGAATTTTAGCTTTACTGATACACAAATCAATCAAACGGATTATTATGTAATAAAATATTGAAATAAAACATGTGGTTCAGTTTTCTTTTCTGTAGAGATTAAATACACTTCATGGGATTTTGTCACCACAGTACGTCCATGCTGGATGACTTAGGTGAAAAGAAAGTACAAAATTGTTTATGTTTACAGTGTACACTCATGTGTGAATTAGGGTTTGAGAGAGCATGTAAATGTACTTGTGTGACCTACACTGTGATTGAATTGGGTTGAGAGTTTACTTACTTGTATATGTGAATTTATTTGGAGACTATACAAATGTACTTGAGTTAAGCGCATATTTTACCTGTATGTGTGACTTTATTTGGAGACTATACAAATGTACTTGAGTTAAGCGCATATTTTACCTGTATGTGTGACTTTATTTGGAGACTATACAAATGTACTTGAGTTAAGCGCATATTTTACCTGTATGTGTGAATTTATTTGGAGACTATACAAATGTACTTGAGTTAAGCGCATATTTTACCTGTATGTGTGACTTTATTTGGAGACCATACAAATGTACTTGAGTTAAGCGCATATTTTACCTGTATGTGTGACTTTATTTGGAGACTATACAAATGTACTTGAGTTGAGGGTATATTTAACTGTATGCGTGACTTTATTTGGAGACTATACAAATGTACTTGAGTTGAGGGTATATTTAACTGTATGCTGACTTTATTTGGAGACTATACAAATGTGCTTGAGTTGAGGGTATATTAACCTTAATCTGTGACTTTATTTGGAGACTATACAAATGTACTTGAGTTGAGGGTATATTAACCTTAATCCGTGACTTTATTTGGAGACTATACAAATGTGCCTTATTGCTTACCCTCTGTGAATTCAAGGTTTTTCTGTTTTAGTTGGCCAGCAGGTGACAAGTTTGGATTTTGAAACTGAAAGATTAATTTTTCAGTAGAATGTATTCGAAAACTTTTTTTTTTTGAATTAATACGTAAGCAGGCTTAAAAGGATTAAATGGCATGCAAGCAACCAACATTGACAGCTTTCCATAAAGATGTATGATAAATGCGACTATCTCGATATTTTTCTATATGAATTTTGCTTACAAACCTCCCTGCTTCCCCAACTTACGGTGTTTACAGTTGATTCCCTCTTAAGGGCGTTTTCCCAGTGTCACGATTTTTGTGAGAGATGCCAACATTTATAAAAACTAACGACTCGGGGTTCTGAGGAAGATTGATTAAAACTATGAGAAAGTTTCATAGTCGCCAACATTATCTCATACGGAATTGTTTCATTTTCTTGCACAATGTCAAGTTAGATATCTAGAATGTGTTCTATTCTAGTATTCCTGTTGGTTTCGTTGTTAACCTCGTTCTTATTTGGGAACATGATATTACTTGCTTGGATTAACCAAGATTAACATAGAGCGGGTATCGTCTATGAAGCAGAAAACGCTTACCTTCCGGAACACCTACTGTAATGTATAGGTATACTCTCATTGCATTTGTTAGCAAGTTACACAGAACCGATAATGTTCATACGAAAACATACGCCGTTGTTAAGGTAATACAAAAAAATGTCACATTGGTGTTTTTAATTTGGTTGCAATCATTTTAAGAAACAAACAAATGCGTATAAAGAACCTATTCTATGTACATGTTCTGTATCAGTAGAGACAATTTTTGTACTCGCTGGAGACGGCAACAGGTAAAATGTCAGAGAATCAAAAGAGTTAATGGAGGTGATGATAACATGTCTATGAATACCAACTGATTAAGCTGATGATTAACTACTAACGATGGCTGTGTTACAATACAGACTAACAATAATGAGTTATCACCGCTATAATATGATAGTATCGTATGTTAGCAATGCCTTTTGGATCGTTATAAATGATTACTAGTTACCGCCGATCTTATTGTGATCAAAGCATGAAGATATGATTAACATTTCCATAGTCAGGAGAACGACATTATATACCAAAACACCTTCGGGTCTTACGAGATTTTACAAGTTCTGTCGTTTTCAGTGCCCACGTAGTAACTGACACCTTGCCAAAACGAAGTTCTATTTGTTCAGATATTCTGTCAGATATATGCAACTACAGAGGAAGCCTATCTCCTGCCACTAGTTATAGAAAGACTGATATTCCACGGACTTCATGAAACTTGTTGCTACCGAGGGTCCTAACCACCTATAGAAAGTCTTATATTCCATCAACAGCTACCACATATTGCTGGTGAGATGACCTGTTCATAGCACTTTGGAGGCTAGTTACGAAAAGTCCGATATTCCGTATACTGCTGACACATGTTGCTTACTGAGGGAACCTATGCGTAAGCACTTTTGGTATTATCTATGGAAAGTCTAGTAGAAGACACAGCACTTTCATCTGATCTGTTGGATTCCAACTTGTGGTACTCTGACACCTTGGTGTCCGACTTATCAGCCTCCAAGCTGTCCTCGTGTACAGGTAAATCGTCTTCTGATTCACTTGCTACTAATCTGATGTGGTCTAGTATATCGACTTTGGGTTTGTTGTGGTCCAGCGTGTTAGTTTCCGAGTGGCGGTTATGCAGCGATTCTTTGTACGTTCGGAAATCTCGAAATATTGCCGAAGTCGTTTTGCGCCTTTCAATGAGTTGTGGGAGACGCACCTTTTCAATCATTTTGTCCATTTTTGCTCTGTCTTTCTTTGGCGACGAAAGCACGATTATCCTGTTTGACACTTCGCGTTCAATGAACTTCTTCATTCCAAAGATTGTTTTACAATCTCCTGGTAACATCGATGGTTGTCGTGACAATGGTGCTCGGATGTCGGATGATGGAGGGGCTTCACCTGTGGTCTTTTTCCGAACAAATCTCGGACGTTCCGAAACAGACCTTTCTGGAACCTTGTGAATTTGTTGTTTCCACATCACCAAAGCATGAAATTTAATCGCTAATATTGTAGATAGAGCCGAAGCTATTTTCTTCTCCTCTTCCTCTCCTTCCTCATCACCCGTACCATTTTCTTCAGGAATAGGTTTCATTTCGTTTTCCGGGTCATCTAGCTCCAGATTTCTATTTTCCACTGTTGAAATATCACTGATGTTACTGTCGGCTATAGAAGAGAATCTAGTCCGAGAGAAAGCTGTGTGCGTCGGTCTGTCGTCCGTACGTCTGACGTCAGATATGTCGGATTTGCTCCTCCTCACCGGATTCCTTTTCAATACCCTCACATAGCCAGGACAGTCGTCGATGTCGGGTAGTTGTGTAGAACACATCGAGGTTTGTCGAGAGAATGTATTGTTAACGACATTGTTTTTCTCAGTTGTCTGTCGTCTATTCAGGACGGGATCATATCTCTCGAAGCAGTGTTCCTTGTATACACAGCCACAGGCTATCATCTTCATGTACTCATCCCGCAGAGTCTCCAGCTCCCTTCTAGTGTGTACTCGCGCTACCTTCTCGTTAGAAATCAATTGTTTAAGCTCCTTCAGTAGTTTCCATCTTTCGTGTTTATTTTTCATCTTAGTCTGTAGCATGGCGTCATTGCTCATCCGTACGATGGAGCTATTTGCTGTTTCACCAAACAGGTGATCCGGCAGCAGCTTTCTGGGCATTGTTCTTATCTGAAATATATATACGGATAAAATGTACAACTCTAGAACGCATCGTGGCGAAATCGGAATCACATTACTCTAATTTAATGGACAAGCACATAAGATGAATAGCGATATTAAAATTCACAATGGAGATATATTTAAAAGGACACCGTAAAATACAGTGAAATCGACATAGGAGAAACATTATCTTTGTACAATATTTTAACTGTACTAGATCCTCTGTTCTATAGATACTATCCCACCTGTCCTATATTTTAAGGTTTTATTGGAGAACTTTGATGGTCCACTAATATTAGAGTCGTCTCTAGGGTTAAGTCACTTGCAAGTCTTCTGCACTGTTTTTTACTACATGCTGTAAACACTATTGGCAGGTTTTAGTCCCTAAGGTTTCCTGTATATCTGCATCTGTATTTTACTTCATTTAAATATCGGCATGATTTAGAGTGAAATGATCTATGCTTTGACAATTTGAATTTTCTTTTCCTCACTCGTCCCCTTTTTAGTCCCTACTATCATGGTCGGATTCTAGAAAGACGAAATAGCTGTATGATACAGTTTAATTCATTGTCCGATTACTAACATATTGTAAGTCTCTCATGTCCTACCATCAACGACGAGAACGGCGAAACAGATGCATTTTACTATTTAATTATGAAGGATAAAACATGCATGAGTTTTTAAATCACAACCATCAAAGATTTACAGAGTGACCTTTCGCTGACTACACGGTCACCTTCATCAGACATTGAACACTGTGGAGCGTACTAGCACTGACGTACGTAGTGATGGTAAGGAATCGGGTGTACTATAATCCCAAGTACACTAAGGTCAAACATAGTGCGACGAGATGGTATATGATTGACCAAAAATAGACAAGAGACAGTATGTTGACTACCAACCTGAAGAAAATGTTCCGAAACATGTATGATGCAATTTAACTCACTGTTTATGTCCCCTTTCATGACTGTCTTTTAAGATTTCATTCGAGGCTGAATTTATCAAAGAGGTTATTCAAAACAGGCCACATTTAACTTCATTTTGAGATATATTGATGACGTCTAGTGTTTAAACAACAAGAAATTCGCTGACCAGGTCCATGATATATATACACCAGAATTGGAAATCAAGGACACAGCAGACTCTTTTATATCAACCGCTTACCGCGATTTTTCCTACAACGAAAACAGGACAAACTTCCACCAAGCTGTGTGATAATCGTAATTATTGCAGTTTCCATAGATGGATTTCCATTTCTGGATAACAACTTTACAAAGTCACTAACATTCGGTGTTTACATATCGCAGTTAATTCGATATTCAACAGTTTGTTCCCAATGTCATGATTTTCGTGGAAGATATTGACAACTGACAATAAAAACCACCAAGAAAATACCGGCATGTCAATAGTCTCACAACATAGGGTTTTGAGTTTTGAGGAAGATTAAAGGAAAAATTTAGGTAATCATAATGGCAACATAGAAAGATATTCTGTCTATGTGCGATATAAAAAGTGGACATATCTGAAGCTCATTATTATACCAAATGGTTCCGTCATTGCTTATCATGTTGTCATTTCAGAACGTAATTATACATACTTGGATTTACCAAAAAAAAAAAAAAAAATACATTGCGGGTGTCTTCGATGAAGCAGAAGACCGCTTACTCTTTCAGAACTCTGATCTTATTCTCCTTGTACTTTTTCATGAATCTCGGTCTAAATCTTACTTGTTGCCATTTTTTGCTCTAGTTTCATCGACATTGAGTTTTACATGTTGGTATTTTCTTTGTTGAGTTTGTCTATTCTGTATTCTGTTTATATTATATATCATATATCCATAACAATATCCACGTGTTCAAGATGGCTAAGATCACAACGGATACTTATTTTATGAACAAAACCTAATTGTTGACACCGGTACAGTATTAGAAATAATGTGGTGTCAAACATTTAGTTGTGACCTTTCTTTCTTACGAAACATGAATTAAGTATCTATTTAAGTTTCTCAAAGTTTTTACATTTTTACTTGTAAATAATTAAGGTAATGTGTATATAGAGGGGCACCACAGCTTTACATATAATATTTTTGATTATGAGTAAGGTTACATAAAAACAATAAGAAAATACCGACATGTCAACATGTACCGAGACAAATGAAAAAAATACATGGAGAATAAGATCACGTGTTCGGGGAGAGTAAGCGTCACATGCTTCATTGATGACACCCGCTACGTAAGTTTTGGTCAATCCTAGTAAATAATGTCACGTTCCCAAATAAGAACAATGTATAAAACAATGGAACCAACAGGCAAACTAACGACAATCAAAGGTGTCCAACTTAATTTCGCAAAAAGAAATAGAATATTTCTCAATGCGATCAATACAACGATCGTAAATAATAATATGAAATGATTTTCATCCTCCAATTCTCTTCCGTTACCTAAAAACCACAACCTTTGGTATTGACCTGTTTCAACGCTTAAATGATGTTCTTGTGTATTTCTAATTATGGTGGTCAAAATAGAACTGCAGATATAATTTATCAACACACACACAAGTGAATGGCGCCTTCAAATACAAATAAGACTGCATCAAACAGCATTTTCGTCCTTCTAGGATTCGTCGGCGATACTATGAACCAATATGAGGAAATCAATTTTGAAATATAGATTAGAGTTGAACTTACTCCATGTATAGTTTTCGAACTTTGTGGATGGATTTAAAAGTGCATCAACTGCATGTTTATATTTTGAACCGTATGATAAAACTATTTGTGGTATAATATCATACATACTTACAATAATTACTTCTATATAGACCACGATAGCCCTCACAAGTCCTAGACACCTGTATCAATAGCGGTTCTGTAGAAGTCCAACAAACTATTTGTCTTAAAATCCAGTTTTCATTAGTGTTTGCCAGGGCAACAGTTTGTCCTTATTTGATGTGGAATAAGATATTGTTTATACGTAAATTAATGGAATCCTACAAATATGTCGCCAGCTTCTGTGTAGGTCCGTGATCACAGGTATAAAGTTCCCCAAACAAAGAACTAACACACAATAATTCCTGGCCAAGGATAAGGTCGTTGTGATATCAGTCGAACCGCAAGTATGGTCTCATTTTTTCACCAGTGACGTGGAACTATCCTCAGCAAATGTCTTTTGAACACGAAATTTACCAAATTAACAGGTGCCCCTTCAGTCACTTCTTAATGACAGCTTTAAAGTCATATTTTGACATCACATTGCTGCACGTGTGTTATGGGTTCACTGTTCCACAATTGTGACACGGCCAAACAATGTTGCATCTAAATTGAAATCTCAAGAGTCGACAAGATTGCACTTGAAATTTGTTTTTTAAAAGTTCAACCCTTATGTGTTATAATCAATTAAGTGTATTGGGCGTACTGACGTTCTGTAAAACTACTCCCGTCGCTACCAGTCCCGATATTGACAACTTAAGTGAAATGTGACCTTCCACTATTTTTGTTTAGGTTAAGGCTATGTAGTCGTCAAAAAGAAATTAAATACTTTACAGAAACAAACCCTCATACCTCAAGGGAAAGTATCCCAAACTGTATACAATTATCCACTCACTATCAAATGTTTAAGAGGCCAGGTCAACAGATATACCGCCACTACAGCGTCATAATAGGGAAAGGTCGAGTGGAATTTTTTTTAAAAACTCGATCAGTCTCGCTGCCTTTATTGGTACCATGGATCATTAAGTGGAAGTGTAAATGTTACTTTTACACAATATATTATTTATTTGTGTGGTTTTCTGTCTCCTTTGTGCCATACAATACACAATGGAATCATATAATTACACACTATATGATCGAGGTCTAACGGTGATTACCCGCTAGCTATACATGAACACAAAGAAAAAATATTATTCTGCATGTAAATATCTAGTATTGGACAACCTACACCTTTTCTATTGGTCACGGGATCATTTAGATTAATGTTTTTTATTGTTATATTACAAATTTCATTTGAAACGTGTTGTCCACCTTTATGACACGTGATATGTAGTATGTGTTCTACTTGAATCTATAGTCAGGTACTTGTTACCATCATTATAATTTCCGTGTAAATTATCTACATCTGACAGATATATCTATTTGCCATTGTTTGATGTAAATTTTGAGGTATGCTTCAGTTGTCCCGTTGCTATTAACATCGTTACCATTGGGAAGTGACATTAACATAGGTATTTACCAAGATTTACATGGCGGGTGTCGTCGATGAAGCTGGGGACGTTTAGATCTACCCGTCTCATTCTCTTAGCATAGTTTAATGTGTCTCCGTATAAAATGTTTTTGTTAATATTTTGTCCTCGTTTCGTCCAACTGGAATTCGTTCACAGAGACTTGGCACGAAGTCCATCGGAGTTTGTAGGCATGTCGGTATTTTATTAACAATATATATATATTCTAACAATACACAACGGGATCAATTACACACTGCAGGATCCGGTCTGACGGTGATAATCCGTATATACTTATGTATCCTGCAACTGTTCTGCCATTGTCGGAATACACCTACAACATCTATGTTTGCTGTATTTGGCAGTAACGGAAACAGTTGTATTTAAGCACGTGCATGAATTCGACAGAATTACATTCTGACCTACTTCAATAATTCCTTTAAAAAATAAAAATAACTGTTTGAATAAGCTATTTTTTTTTATTCAACAAACAATTTTATTTACGAAAAAATCATTAAGTTGTTTTGTATATCTTTTGAAGTGTGGAACTTTATTTCCGTGCGGAGTAATTTTTTTGACATGAATCATCACGCATAATTCAGCGTAAACAAAGGTTGAATAAATGTAACAAACTGTTGAAGTTTCAATAGTATGAATTTTCAATCGGTACTTCAGGGTAAATGGAAAACGTGGTCAGTGTCTTCAAATAAGCTGCACTTTGGCTCACCATGATTGATTTTTCTGCCTTGTTTTGTTTGTTTGCCGGTTACGATTGTCTGTCTTGTCTCGTTTGTTTAGCATGTTTGGCTTGTCTGTCTTGTTTCGTTTGTTTGGCATGTTTGACTTGTCTGTCTTGTCTCGTTTGTTTGGCATGTTTAGTTTGTCTGTCTTGTCTCGTTTGTTTGGCATGTTTGGCTTGTGTGTCTTGTCTCGTTTGTTTGACATGTTTCGTTTGTCTGTCTTGTCTCGTTTGTTTGGCATGTTTCGTTTGTCTGTCTTGTCTCGTTTGTTTGGCATGTTTCGTTTGTCTGTCTTGTCTCGTTTGTTTGACATGTTTCGTTTTTCTGTCTTGTCTCGTTTGTTTGGCATGTTTCGTTTGTTTGGCATGTTTCGTTTGTCTGTCTTGTCTCGTTTGTTTGACATGTTTCATTTGTCTGTCTTGTCTCGTTTGTTTGACATGTTTCGTTTGTCTGTCTTGTCTCGTTTGTTTGACATGTTTCGTTTGTCTGTCTTGTCTCGTTTGTTTGGCATGTTTCGTTTGTCTGTCTTGTCTCGTTTGTTTGGCATGTTTGACTTGTCTGTCTTGTTTCGTTTGTTTAGCATGTTTGGCTTGTCTGCATTGTTTTGTCTGTTTGGCATGTTTCGTTTGTCTGTCTTGTCTCGTTTTTGACATGTTTCGTTTGTCTGTCTTGTCTCGTTTGTTTAGCATGTTTGGCTTGTCTGCCTTGTTTCGTTTGTTTGGCATGTTTGGCTTGTCTGCCTTGTCTCGTTTGTTTGGCATGTTTCGTTTGTCTGTCTTGTTTCGTTTGTTTGGCATGTTTGACTTGTCTGTCTTGCTTCGTTTGTTTGGCATGTTTGACTTGTCTGTCTTGTCTCGTTTGTTTGGCATGTTTGGCTTGTCTGTCTTGTCTCGTTTGTTTGACATGTTTGGCTTGTCTGTCTTGTCTCGTTTGTTTGGCATGTTTGGCTTGTCTGCCTTATCTCGTTTGTTTGGCATGTTTCGTTTGTCTGTCTTGTTTCGTTTGTTTGGCATGTTTGACTTGTCTGTCTTGCTTCGTTTGTTTGGCATGTTTGACTTGTCTGTCTTGCTTCGTTTGTTTGGCATGTTTGACTTGTCTGTCTTGTTTCGTTTGTTTGGCATGTTTGGCTTGTCTGTCTTGTCTCGTTTGTTTAGCATGTTTGACTTGTCTGTCTTGTCTCGTTTGTTTAGCATGTTTGACTTGTCTGTCTTGTCTCGTTTGTTTAGCATGTTTGACTTGTCTGTCTTGTCTCGTTTGTTTAGCATGTTTGACTTGTCTGTCTTGTCTCGTTTGTTTAGCATGTTTGACTTGTCTGTCTTGTCTCGTTTGTTTAGCATGTTTGACTTGTCTGTCTTGTCTCGTTTGTTTAGCATGTTTGACTTGTCTGTCTTATCTCGTTTGTTTGGCATGTTTGGCTTGTCTGTCTTGTCTCGTTTGTTTAGCATGTTTGACTTGTCTGTCTTGTCTCGTTTGTTTAGCATGTTTGGCTTGTCTGCATTGTCTCGTTTGTTTGGCATGTTTGACTTGTCTGTCTTGTCTCGTTTGTTTAGCATGTTTGACTTGTCTGTCTTGTCTCGTTTGTTTAGCATGTTTGACTTGTCTGTCTTGTCTCGTTTGTTTAGCATGTTTGGCTTGTCTGCATTGTCTCGTTTGTTTGGCATGTTTGGCTTGTCTGTCTTGTCTCGTTTGTTTGGCTTGTCTGTCTTGTCTCGTTTGTTTAGCATGTTTGGCTTGTTTGTCTTGTCTCGTTTGTTTGGCTTGTCTGTCTTGTCTCGTTTGTTTAGCATGTTTGGCTTGTCTGTCTTGTCTCGTTTGTTTAGCATGTTTGGCTTGTCTGTCTTGTCTCGTTTGTTTGGCATGTTTAGCTTGTCTGTCTTGTCTCGTTTGTTTAGCATGTTTGGCTTGTCTGTCTTGTCTCGTTTGTTTAGCATGTTTGGCTTGTCTGTCTTGTCTCGTTTGTTTAGCATGTTTGACTTGTCTGTCTTGTCTCGTTTGTTTAGCATGTTTGGCTTGTCTGGCTAATTTCTCTTACCTGGCTTATTTTTCTTATTAACCTTATCTGCCATAATTGGCTTATATGGCGTATCTTCTTTATTTCACTTGCATGTCTTGTATCGCTTATTTCCTATCGTTTGTTTCGCTTGTCTGGTTCATTTCGCTGATTTTGTTTATTTCGCTTATTCACCATTTCTTCCGTATTTGACTTTTCTTAGCATATCTGTCTTATCTCGCTAAGCAGACTCAATTCACATGTCTCGCTTGTTTGGCTTGTTTAGCTGGTCTGTCCATTTAGGATTATTTAACATATCTGACTTATGTGGCCTACTTCGTTCTTTTTAAACACATTTTCCACTGCATTTTAAGCCCATTTTGCTGTATATTCTTACTTTTTTTGTTTTGTTTACACTTTTTGTAAGAATTGTTACAAAACAATGACAAACTATGAAAAACCGTGACAACGTATGACAAAATGATGCTAAATTATAACAAACCTTGACAAACTGTGACAAAATGACAAACGACAACAAATCGTGACAACTTACCACAAATCATAATACTCTACCGCAACATGATAGCATAATCATGGCAAGTCGTGACAAATTGATAAAATGATAACAAAATCTTGACAAAACGTAACAAAATGTGACTTAATAATGACACATTACGACAAACTATGACAAAATAACGACAATATCATGACAAATCATTACAACGTTTGATCAACCTCTTTCAAGATGAAGTCGTGGAGCATAACTCGACAATCCAGATACACACTGTACCAGTATGCCGAATGTGATTGACGTCGTGAAAACTAACCAGGCCCCACTTGTATAAAACATCTCAACTTGAGATTTCCTCTAGTCGAGATTTTCCTCAGCTGCTATCTTCTCAAAAACGGCTTGTATAAAATTTTCTCAAGGAACAGGAGGAAGGCATCGGCTAGGATGTCCTGAAATTCCTTGAGGAATTTTCATACAAGATATTTTCAAGGAGATATTAGCTGAGGAAAATCTGGGCTTGAGGAAATCTCAAGTTGAGATGTTTTATACAAGTGGGGCCAGGACTGTAAAATTCCGCCGTGTGGTAGACTAGCAAACGCAAAGCATATACAATCCGATATCTACAGAAGGTTGAATTGCTCTGAAATAACACATTGTCTTGTCAAAGAGCCCTTTGTGGCTATCTATAGAAGGTGGGACCTCTGTAAAAAAAATCCCAATGTAAATTACTTTTTAAGGCGTTTCTTCAGTAAGTGGAACCTCTGTAAAATAGCGCCTTGTCTTGCAAGGCTTATGGCGGATTTCTACAGAAGGGGGTCTCTTTAAAATAATATCGTGTACAAAACTCATTTCGACAAGACACAGTGTATATCTAATCCATGGGAGATAACCACCGTTTCAAAGTTCCAGTTACCTCCCTTCAGCCTGTACAGAATGCGATATTTCTCTTAAGAAACACCCATACTGGGGGAGGCGTCTTGCCGAAGGACACAACGGATCTTACCGTCGGTCAATCCGTGACATGAACCACTATAAATAATGTTGCCTCTATGAATTACTACTTTTTTCTGGTGTGATGTGTTTTACTTTCTGCTTCCAGTCACAATATAAATAAGAAATACACTTATACATAAATCGCTAAAACTTACATATCATAGATTATAAATTATTTATAGATAAATAATTAATTTAATAAATTAATTATAAAGTATATTAAGCTTTTTAATATCTGCTGTCCCATATCACAGATAATTTGATTGATGCTGAGTCAATTAACTTGTCAGATAATCTACAGCTTTCACTATGCATGTGCCCTTTTGTTATTTTTTTGACATTGGTATTTCTGTCAATTCTCCAGTTGTATAGATCAGTAAACAATAATAGCAAACTAAGTCTGTGAAGGCGGAATAAGAAAGCGAGAGGCAGGAGCTTTTGTATAAAGGAAAAGGCAATACAATCATTTCACCAAATCCATCAAAAATATTAATATTCAATTGCGTGACATATTTACTGGGGAGGCGACTTATGTGATGACTGGTACGCCTCTATCCATGGTTCTTAAACGTGCTTGTGATATCACTTACTTAAATTTACAGATTTCTCCACGAAGCAGAAGACGTTTATCCTTCCGAAACACCTGTCTTGTTCTCTGTGAACAATTTCGAATGTCCCCGTGTAAATCTTCCCTTCATACTCTCACTTGATGCTGAATTGGAATTCAGTATTTGCATTTCCTAACAAGGTTTAAAATACGCTGCCAACAAAAATTTAAAAAAAAAAAAAAAAAAAAAAGAGAAGATGCAAAATAAAAATTAATTCCAAAAAGGCATTACTCTAAGTTCATGGTGGGTGAAAAATACGTAACCTTGTCTCTCGAAAACAATCGTTGCTATTAGATGTATCACAGGCCTTCAGCATGGGGCAACGTTCTAGTATTTGTCTACAAATTGTTATAAAACTTACTCATTTATTGATATCACAAATTCGAATTATTGAAATTGATAAATGGATAAGTTCAATTATTTGAATTAGTTATATCACTTAAATGAATCTAGGAAATCAACATTTAGTGACATTGATCAATTACATCAATAATTAATTAAGTATATCATTAATTCGAATTACTGACATCACATTTTGAAGATAAATATTAATACGAAGCCTCATACTACAGAGCATAATTTGTCAGCTAAGATATACACAAAGTCAAAACAGGAAAACCACAAATGTACACCTTGTTCCCAGAGTGAAATACGGCGGAAATAAGGCAGGCAAAAAAAAAGTCTTAAAATTCTGAAACAAGAGTGTCGGGAGACAGCAAACAAATGATAGGGAGAACGAGGAAAGGGGAAAGGTAATCTAAATGAACCAGTTGTCCCCACCTGTTAAAACCGACATGGGCATAGAAAGGTTATCCAAAGAACCAGTTGTCCCCACCTGTTAAAACCGATGTGGGCATAGAAAGGTTATCCAAAGAACCAGTTGTCCCCCACCTGTTAAAACCGATGTGGGCATAGAAAGGTAAACGAAATGAACCAGTTGTCTCCACCCGCTAAAACCGATGTGGACATAGAAAGGTAATCGAAATGAACCAGTTGTCCCCACCTGTTAAAACCGATGTGGGTATAGAAAGGTAAACGAAATGAACCAGTTGTCCCCCACCTGTTAAAACCGATGTGGGCATAGAAAGGTATTTCAAATGAACCAGTTGTCTTCACCTGTTAAAACCGATGTGGGCATAGAAAAGTAAACGAAATGAACAAGTTGTCCCCACCTGTTAAAACCGATGTGGACATAGAAAGGTAATCGAAATGAACCAGTTGTCCCCACCTGTTAAAACCGATGTGGGCATAGAAAGGTAATCCAAATAAACCAGTTGTCTTCACCTGTTAAAACCGATGTGGGCATAGAAAAGTAAACGAAATGAACAAGTTGTCCCCACCTGTTAAAACCGATGTGGGCATAGAAAGGTATTTCAAATGAACCAATTGTCTTCACCTGTTAAAACCGATGTGGGCATAGAAAAGTAAACGAAATGAACAAGTTGTCCCCACCTGTTAAAACCGATGTGGGCATAGAAAGGTAAACCAAATGAACCAGTTGTCCCCACCTGTTAAAACCGATGTGGGTATAGAAAGGTAACCCAAATGAACCATTTATCAACGACTTTTGAAAAAAAGTTTGTATGGCAAAGTGAGTTTGGATGAATTAGAGAATATGTGGTATCGAGATGTACAAGTACTGTCACGTGTAGGGTCGCACTTTGTCCGGGCACCACCAACATGAAAGTTGGCAAAGCAAAATCAAATCTATTTGCATGCTTCATAGTATTGAAACTATAGAACCGGTTCGTGGAATCCTTAACAATAAGAGTGTCACTTCTAAAGGGTGTGTGAAACAAGTACCACCCACGACTGAAACGATGCAGTCCCTCTTCAACCGACAGAAAAAAGCACGTCATATCCGGCATATCTTCGAAACACTTAGGCCGTCCGTATTTCAAGAATAGGGGATCAACTTTGATAAAGGATCAGAACAGACCGATGGTTTTCATGTATTAATTATGTCACGCTATATATAGAACTTTCATTTCGTACTCTGTTTCCTAATTGTTAAGTATTGTATTTCGTTGTATCTTTCTGTGGGAATATAGATTACTTACACCCCAAGTCATATAGGTGTGTTTTACTACCTATATTACATAATATATATATGTTACCTGTATTATTTTTTGTAAAACACGTATAAAAGTTTCAGAAACTTGACATTTTTTAGGATATTCAACAAGGGAGCGGTTATCATTAACATTTACAATATCCTGTACCACAAACCTAACTAATATAACGGACATAACGTCCACTGTTCCAGCCACGATGAAGTACCCCTGTCCATGTGTACAGAATCACTTTATCCCCAACTTTTTCAATACAACAGTAATGCTTAAGTTATGTTTCTGTTCTATACTTTTCCTTTCACCCTACGGTACGACTGAACTTTTCCCACAATGTTAGTCTAAGAGGTTTTTTTTCTTGTTTCAGGAAGAGTCAAGATCGGGAGTCCGTTTCTGTTAAATAGAAAAGTGGATGAAACCCTCAACGAAAAGTGGATAGAAAACGAAAACATTGTTCTCCATATAAATAGCTACCATATATATATGGCTTAAATCTAATAGTTAGCACACTGAAAAATAAGCGAAAGCCAACCACTCGTCTGTATCATTAATTACGAACGAAAAACACAATTATTTGTATGGAAAACATGCTATTTGAGACCACAGGGAAAGGCATTTAACAACGTGATGATAGTACACAAATGTAATTATATTTCCTGCTAGTAAACAGAACTAGGCTGATTTTCCACCCATGATGATGGGTCTTTCAAATCGTCCTGCGTCCGTGGTCCGTCGGCCGTCCGATATCCGTCATTAAACAATTGTTGTTATCACTATTTCTTGAGAAATACTGGATGGATTTTTTTCACATTTCACGTAAGGGTTCCCATTGCTCTCTAGTTGTTCCCGTTTGATTATAAGACCATGGATAAAAAAAACAACAACCCAACTGGCAGGCCATTTTGGACTTTGAAAATGAAAGTTTGTGATAGCTGTTTCTTGCGAAATGCTGAATGGATCTTTCTCAAATTTCACAGAAATTTGTCCCTAGTTGTGTTATTTCGATTTGGGAACTGATTGGGGAACCGAAATGGCTGACATGCGACCATTTTGGATTTTGAACATGAAATATTGTTATAGCTAAGTTTTTAAAAACAGATAATCAGTCTCAACTTCCATATGTAGAGCCTTTTGGTCTCTTGAACTACACTGTCTATTCAGAGACAGATAGAATTGGGCTGACAGACAGTCGCTTTGGATTTTGACATTGATTTTCTTACATTTCGATTTCTTGAGAAGTACTCCGGGTCATCCTCATATGTTATTTTTTGAAGGTGCCACTTGGTCCCATGCCTAATTGTGTAATTTTCATTTTCGAACTTGTCAGAAAAGCAAAATGGTTGACAGGCAACTATCTTGGATTCGGAAGTTCTAGAAACTACAAAGAGAATACCGGCACATTAGCTAAATCTTAAATCAAATACAATAACTTTTTTCAAGTAGATATAATCGTATGTAAACCCAATACAAACAATTTAGAACAAGTTCTGCATTTTTGTAAAATTTTGAATTCCAAGAAAAGTTGTAAATGGTACTGTCATAATACATATATATGGTATGTATTTTATAAATAAGGTGTGATTATAAATATAAGCATGACGTCCATTCCAAACAATTTAAATCACACGACAGCAGCTGATAAACATGTGTTTACCTCCGTGTTGTATAATACAGTTAAAATAGCTTATACCAGAGACGTCTCTGTCTGTATGTAATAGGTAATTTGACCTGGGGCTGAGCAAGCATTGGACATCCCGGAGAAGTAAACGAGTATTTGAAAAATATCACTTACGTAATTTTCTAAGTTATATACGAGCATATATCATATATATGTATATATATATATATATATACATATATATATATAATAAATAAATATATATATGTTGATCTGTGTATAAAAAGATATTGATTATCGTTGGTGGTAGGTTTGTTACTACGTTCTAAGTGTTATTTAACAATCCGTTAACCTAATCACAGATGCATGTCCGTTTTAATAGTCCGATTTTGGAGGGAGAAGGCATAGAGAAGACAGACTATTGTTAACTGGATTGATTTGCGCCTGGCCATTGAAAAACAAATTTAGTAATTGCATCCGGGGATCTTTTGAAAGAGTCCATTGTGATTGGTTTATCTTCGGACAGCGAAGATATGCCCATTGCATTAAACGCGTCTGTAACAGCTGATCTGATTGGTGGACACGTCGAAGCGTTCAAGGATAAAAAAAAATGCAGATGACCTAAACAATTGTTAACATATCATAAGAAAAATATTACCAACTATTTTTTTACGAAATTAATCTATTATGCTGGCATTTTTTGTTATTCATGTATTGCAATCTGTATTTTCATTGATTATTTGCTAGTTCCAAACTTCATCCGCTGGCCAATCAAAACCCTCGTTATGAAAGGGCACTTGCTATTCACACGATGCATGATGTTGAGGTTATAAGCGGTCTAAACTCAACAAAATCATCCGGTTGAAAATTGTCTGTTTTTCTTGACAAAGGACAGGTAGGGTGTTTATATGTTGTTCAATTTGTGTATTTATTTGTTAATTATATCATTCTGTGTGTCGTTTACCTTGGATTGACAACATGCCCCTTACGGTGGTCCCTATTTGTCCCTGGCTTCTGTTGGATAAAATTCTCCAAAAACTACACACCGAAATGGCGTTCAAAGGAAACTTTCCATTGTTGTGTGGTGACAGGGATAGGTAAATGTACCTTCTGGTTGAAGTTTATGTCTTAATTAATGAAAAATGAGTTAATTAGTGAATAATAATCGGTTGTTGTCACTCTGAGAGCTCTGCACGTGCGTCGGTAAATACACAATACGGGTTGTCCCGTGGATGGGGCCCAAACACAAAAATCATTATCTTAGTACACACACACGCGGTACACTAATGGCCGACGTCTTTGTCTTCACGAAGTCGTTGGTCTATAATATGTGAATGTTCAATGGTTTGTTAGTCATTTCTGTGTCTCAATATGTATATGGTTCTTATTCTGAACACAACAGTACAACCAAGAAGAGTTTCATTCGTGGTTCATCTCGACCTCAAATGGGGCCCCCAACGGGAGAACTAATCAGCTTTAATACAATCTTTATACAGGTTACTTGTTATATATTCATTAGTCTCAAGAAAACAGTATGGTTTGTACTCGTTTGTCATTTTGGTAGTATTCACTATATTTTATATGATTTTAGAAACCTGATCTCTTAAAATTACCAAAATTTTGATAAGAAATCCCCCTGAAGTTCATAAGGTTGGGGGAAAACCCCAGTTATTTGGGAAGAACTACCTATATTTTTACCTCTGTACATATGGCATTTACATATCAGAAGTTTTGAAATATTCTTCATCATTAAAATGACAACCTTATGAACCTAATGAATGTCAAAGGTAATTTAGAATTAATATTATTGATATATTTATTTACAGTGATGATACAGAGGTATGGTTTATAAGACAAACAAAGACAGTGAATATTCTTAATATTTTGGAAGTTCTAATTATTTATGTACACATGACTGATGAAAAAGAATTCTTGAAATGTTTAGCTACATATATGTACAAGCTGTAAATTCTTATTGAATCCTTGTATATGTGACATTTTATTGCATTGGTTAATGAAAATAATTTGTAACAATATAGTCAGAAGTTGCAATAAGCAAAATTTTCATTTGCATATTTATCTGATATGAAGTCTAGAGATGATGTCAGTTACCATGTCTGACCCAGACATATAATTTATTTGATACCAGGAACAAAAATGTAAAAGTTCACTTCAGTTTGAATGTTACTGGTGTCATCTATCTCGAGCCAGGTAGCACAGATTTTTCAAACAGCATTTGATTGTTGTGAATTAATGGTTTTTGCATTATATTGATATAGGTTTGAATAGGATGAATTAAACATGTTTGAAAATTATTGCAATTATTCGTTTATTGTTTTTGTTACATTTCATCAGTACAACTAACTGTGTCAGTATAATAACAAGGTACTACTGTTTTTTTCAAAAGAAGTTCAAAGCATTGGGGTTTTTTTGTTTTAATTAGAGAATGGTTTTGAAATTTTTCAAATTTGGCTTGTCCAAAAAATAAGAGTATAGAGAAGAATTTGTAACTCCTGCTTTAAAGGCTAGTCAGTTTGATTGACATTTGACTTGGTATACCTGTGTAAGTTTAGTCCATGCTGAATGCACCAACAGTAAATCTTAAGGTGATGAAATGTTGAAGAAAAAAAACCCCTGGCTTTGTATTGACTAACTGGCAAAGATTCTATGTAAAAGCAATTGAAATCGTGCATTTTATTGATTTTTAGCTCACCTGGCCTGAAAAGGCTGGTGAAATTATTCTGTTGAGTAGCGTTGTCCATTTTTCTGTGTAGCAGCAGTATTTGTCTTTTTGTCTGTTTTGCTTATTCCATTCCTTGATGCAGGTATCTGTACATTTTTTTTTCAATGTGGTCTGAACTTCAGTGCTGTTTCTTTGTTTGTCAACGTATTTTTTATATTTCCATATCATGTACATATTCTGTGCTTGTCTAAGCAAAATTGTGTAATGTATGTTCTGCAAAAGGATTTGCTTGTTCTGTATTTTGTGTGGTGTAGAATTGTCTTCATATAAATTTCTGAAAGGTTTACAGAAAAACTTCCATTGTCTATAGCAGTTAGGACTTATACTCAAATTATGGGTAAACTTTTCCAAAAATAGTGTCGTATGTCCATTAAAAGTTAATATGTAACAAATTTAATTTTGTTTTTTCAGGTGCTAGTCAAGTACTGGTCCTGTCGATGCAACTACGATGGACTTTATAGAGAAGTAATAGTGAAGAATACGTTGATAGGGATCTACCAGACACATATGTGCCTGGTGTCCGTCTCATAATGACTGACGAATCCATGCTCAGCTTGTTTGATGCGGACGGCGGGTTTTTGGATGAGCTGACAGGAGGAGACACTGGGATTGGAGGTCCAGGGAATGGGATGGACTCTTCCATGCTTGGCCCAAATACGGGTATGGGTGGCATTCCACCTGATCCGCTGCTCAACACTGGCTACGGTGCATCTCATTCTCAAATGCCTAACCTCTCAGGGAACCAATTTTCTGGAATGTCTTACCAAAGTACTGGTGCACAACAGCAGTTTTCATCAGAGAACTTTGCTACACCCCAGTATAATGAACAGCAACAGGGAATCCATCAGATGGGCAGTGTGGCTATGCCAGGTATCAACAATGGACAAAGGCAACCGAGAATAATGATGCAGAACCAGCAGATGACAACGCAACCTCCATTTGGTAGCCAATCTGCGGGTAGAGGGTTGATGCAGCAACAGGCGGCTCCAGGTGGTTATCAATCATATCGAATGGGTAGTACACCAATGACGGGACCTCGTCTCCCTAATCCCCACCAGCGCCAGATTGGGATCAATCAGAACATATCACAACAGACCAATAATATGTGGAACAACAGTCAGACTAGTCCTAATCAAGCAAGTACTTTTATCCATCAGCAGAGACCACTGCAGACTCAGCTTCAGCAGACCCCACAACCTCAGCAACCGCAAATGGCACCGTCACAACTCGGTGATGGAACCCCTATGACAACATACCTCACTCACCATGACTATGCCTTACCTAAATCCTCTTCAAATATTGTTCCCCAAGTAAATGTTAGTCAATATCCAAACACTAGTGCAAACCAAGCGGGTGTGTACAATATGCAAAGGTTAGCCTCGCCGCCTGGTAATCATAATGTAATGTCTAATGTGCCATTGTCTGCCAGCAGTGCTTTGAATGCTATGGGCCAAATGCAGCAACAGCAGCATGCCATCCCACAGGCACAGCCATCATTCCAACAACCCAGCATCAGTACGGCCAACAATGTGCGGCTTACTTACAGTGCTAGTACACAGATACAGCCGCAACAGCAACCGTTTCAAGGAAATTATGTGCACCAGCGACCTCAAGTGAACTCTGTTGTTCCAACGTCAAACTACCAAACCTTTTCATTCCAACAGACACAGAATGCTATGTCACAAGGGATTGGAGACACCTCTAGTCGTCTAAACCATTTCCAGAACACCAGTCCTAATCAGACCAACACTCTTATGCCAGGTTTCCCTGGTGTGAACTCTCAGCACGTGACCACACCCTCCCCAAGACCAACCCCACCTCCCAGGCCTACGCCTCCACCCTCCCATACCCCAGATGTCACACATACCTCCCCTACTTCTCAGGGAAATGCTAGACAGTTACATCAATCTCAGATGGATCTAATGTCGCCACCGTCTGGGGGTCAGACCACGCCTACTGCCAGTCCGTACCATAGCAGTGAGGGTAGTAATTCCTCAATGAATCAAACTCCTATTAAGTCAAACACTTACGCCCCTGTGGGAAACACTCAGTTACCCTCTGTAGGTATGAGGACAAGTGTAAATACCAATGTCCCAAATAGACCTTCTGGAGTTGCACCCTCGAGTCCAAATGTAAAGGGTCTCGGTCAGGGTATGGTCCCTCAAACTGTGAATTTAGGTGGTCAGTCTGCAGTGGATGTAGGTGGACAATCGGCTATATCTAGCATGAATATGAGTGGCCAACAGAATGTGAATATAAATGGACAGACTAATATGAATATTTCTAATGTTCAACAAAATGTGAATCTGGAAATTCAGAATCTACAGCAACAACTTCAGCAGCTGCATAACATGCCACAGACCAACCAAACTCAACAGGGTATGCTGGATCTGCAGGAACGAATTCGTACACTGCGTGCTAAACAAGAATTAACACATCAAAGGCAAAAGCAGATGCAACAACAACAACAACAGATGCAGCAACATATTCCAAATTCAAATATGGTTTCCCAGCAACAACATCAGCCAGTTCAGCATAATCAACAACAACTTGTGTTTCAAATTCCAAATCTACAACAGCAACAACAACAGCAGCAGCAACAACCAGACAATCAACAGAAAGTCATTCATCTGCAGTCGAGTGTCAGTGGTACAGGTGTAAGACAATCATTCATTCAAATCCAACGTCCAAACTTGCCCAATCAGTCGCAAAATCAACAGCAACAGAAGATTGTTATCGTCAGTTCTCAGCCAGGGGGTTCTATGAGCATGCTCCAACAGCGTCCTCTCACAACCCAGCCGCAAGGCCAGCAGACAGGGCAGATTGACCCCTCTCAGGGACAGTTCAACCAAGTGATGCCCCAACAGACACAGCAGAATCTACAGGTGATCATACAGGTGAGACTCAATGTCCCCTTTCTACTGTTGAGAATGCCTCTTTGTTTTCAGGTCAAATTTGGTCCCATATGAGCTTTTAATGATTTCTTCACCACAAATCCAGCTTGGTAGCTGTGTGTCCGTCCTTCCTTACCGTATGTTAAAAATGACTTTAGATTATCTGTGTAACTGCAGGTGCTACCTGTAGTGTGTTATTACATTGCATCAATTGATGTTGTATTTGATGGTTGTTGTTTAGTGTTTTTGTACTAGTGGTTTCCTTGAGGCTGGAAGTGGTATACTTGATTTATATTCTATTGGAGGTATTAAGACAGATATTTAAAAAAAATAGGTTATTTAAATACGGGCATTGAATAATAATTCCAAAGCAATTGAAATTATCTGTTTTTTGATTTGAATAATATGTTATGACTGGTTATTTGATATTGTTTAAAAATTATTCAATGTGCAATAATATCAATTTTGGAATCAGGCAAAAGAGGATGATCTGCTTAAATAAAAAATACATATATGAAAATATCTTTCAGACTGCATACATTCATACTTTCCCAAGTTGAAGTTTAGTTGAAGTAAGGTAAAATTGTCTACTTAATGGGTCCATTATTTTGTATATGCAGTGTTTTCTACTGTTCATGAATCTCTTTGTAGTAGAAATATAGTCAAACTTTGATGTTTCGAAGTTCAAGGGTCTACCAAAAAACTTGGTTACATTGAGACTTAAATCATACCTGGTGGGTTGTATAGAAGTTTCTTGTTCATGGATCATTGATGACACAATATTTCTACCTGAACTATTACAAAAAATACCAAAATACAACTTCAAATGAAAAGAGGTTTTTTTATCTTAGCAAATTTTCATCTATGGAAAAAAGAAACAAAACTTTGAATGGAAATCAACGAGAAATTGACAATGGATGCTTATATTTGTATTGGTGCCTTCCTGTCACACAGTATATGTATTTTATGGATCAATTTTAGAAGAAACAACACGCAGCATTAAAGTGGTCTTCAAGTGTTACAGTAATTATTTCAAGACTGATGCATAAACGTTGTAGGCACTAATGAATTTAAAATATATCAAATTAATATCATAATGTATTCTGTCCAGAAATGACAGCAGTAATATCGTACATCATCGGTCTTAGAAATTAAGCCGATGTTCTGACGATGGCTAGTCTTAATCAATCGGTGAAAGCATGATTGACTGATAAATCACAGTGTTACTCATGCTTTTACGCTTAAAACTGAAAAGTGACGCTTTGGGAATGGGTGAAATCATCATACAAGTGATGGGATTGCCTCCGATTGTTTTCAAAATTCTGTACATTAGAGTTAACTAAATGCCATTGCCACAATGGTGGCGATGAACATCACACAACATCCCATTATCTTTGATTTAAATATCATGGCTTGTAAATAAGCAATTAAATTTTAATCTGTGTTCAGTCATTGATTAACTTTGTAACACAGAGCTAACTGATAGGGGGCTATCGTAATCCCATTGTCGGGAAGCATTCTTCGTTGAAATGTGTGAAATTTTGCCGCAGGATGAAAATACCTGTACAGTACAGGTAAATGTTTTGTTTGAATCATGAGCCATCAACGACTGTGTTATCATAGCTTACAGTCAATAAAAAACTTGTGATGCATTGGAAAGTTTGATTTATGAAACTTCAATTCATAAAGGGGAAAGTTAGTAGTAAAATATAGGAACAAAATTTGGGACCGGACAAAAACTTCCATACATGGAGAAATTAGAATCATCGAAGTTCGATTAATTGAAGTTTGACTGTATAACTCTGACAATGCATTGTGCTGGACCAGTTATAGCGATATGCTATAGCTTCTTCATTTCGGTAATATCCTGACCTGTCTTGTTGAGCAGGGAATATGTTGATGGTGTTCTCTTTTATGTAGGCATACATGGTTCATTATAACATACTCCAACATTGACAAACCCGGTAACTTTAGCTCCTACAAATCCTGTCTGTTTTGTTTGAACTGGTCAGTGAAACCAAAATGTTCAGCCCTTGCTGGAGTTCAAACTAGCAACCTCTCCCTCTGAAGACAATGGGTTGAAGAGAAATTCCCACCAGCTGCAAATAGTCAGAAGACTTGTAATCTGAACTTGTTCAAGCAGTCTTTTTTGTAGATATTTTCAGTTGTGTCCTGAATACCAATTTCAAATTTTTTATAAGTTCCAGTAGGAGATATAGTGGGTTCTCAAAATTTCAATTTTAATTAGTTCCACAGGAAAAGCATGAGTGAAGGTCGTAGATTTCCATGTCCCAAAAATCACTGTTAAGAAGTTGTCAAACTTTATTTATGTTGCCTCAATATGTATACCTACTTAATAATGGCAAGATGTCCTTAGACTCTTCTAAACAGGAATGCATTGTCTTTTTTATATTAACTATCACATTGTCTCTTTCCATGTCTTTTGTCTTACTATCATACTGATTACTGTATTTCTGGATAGTTTTCAAAAAACATTTGTCATAAGGTACTACATTTTGGACAAGTTTGAATATTGCTGTTATCGGGCCAAAATCACATAACATCAAAAGGATAAAATGATTAATGGAAGAAATAAGTTTGTGGCTGGTAGCAATGACAATTTTCAACTGAATCGCAGGAAATTTCACAATTTTTGTGTTGTTTTTCACATGCTTGACTTAAGTGTAGGCAGATATTCAGTGGTCTAAGTAATTATTGTAAAAATATAAATTGATTCACTAATGAAATTAAAGCATTTACTTGAGACCTACGCTTCAGCTGTTTGATTAGAGTCATCCTCAAGGCAAATAGGTGTACCCTGCCCCCTATCTGACTAACATATCTCCCTTCTGTGTGCCTACAGTATAAGGTCTATAGATGTGCCCCCCCCCCCCGCTCCTCCAACTGACTGACCTGACTTATCTCTATGTGACTACAGTTTCCCTCTATATGACTACAATATAAGGTATATAGAAGTGTCCCCCTGACTGGCATATCTCCCTCTATGTGACTACAGTATAAGGTATATAGATGTGTCCCCCTGACTGACATATCTCCCTCTATGTGACTACAGTATAAGGTATATAGATGTGTCCCACTGACTGACATATCTCCCTCTATGTGACTACGGTATAAGGTATATAGATGTGTCCCACTGACTGACATATCTCCCTCTATGTGACTACAGTATAAGGTATATAGATGTGTCTCCCTGACTGACATATCTCCCTCTATGTGACTACAGTATAAGGTATATAGATGTGTCTCCCTGACTGACATATTTCCCTCTATGTGACTACAGTATAAGGTATATAGAAGTGTCTCTCTGACCGACATATCTCCCTCTATGTGACTACAGTATAAGGTATATAGCTGTGTCCCCCTGACTGACATATCTCCACCTCTATGTGACTACAGTATAATGGTATATAGGTATATAGATGTGTCTATGTGACTACAGTATAATGAGTATAGATGTGTCTCTATGTGACTACAGTATAAGGTATATAGATGTGTCCCCCTGACTGACATATCTCCCTCTATGTGACTACAGTATAAGGTATATAGATGTGTCTATGTGACTACAGTATAAGGTATATAGATGTGTCTCCCTGACTGACATATCTCCCTCTATGTGACTACAGTATAAGGTATATAGAAGTGTCTCTCTGACCGACATATCTCCCTCTATGTGACTACAGTATAAGGTATATAGCTGTGTCCCCCTGACTGACATATCTCCCTCTATGTGACTACAGTATAATGAGTATAGATGTGTCTCTATGTGACTACAGTATAAGGTATATAGAAGTGTCTCTCTGACCGACATATCTCCCTCTATGTGACTACAGTATAAGGTATATAGATGTGTCCCCCTGACTGACATATATCCCTCTACGTGACTGCATTAGTGTGAGATATAAAGATTGCGGTGTCTCCTTGTATGTGACTAAGAAGTATGGAAGCGACAGATCAATCGTTAAAAATGTGTAAACAGGTTGATGGTTGGAGAGCTGTATCGAGCTTGACACTATGGTAGAGAGAAAGGCCACAGTAGAGCTGCCAGCTGAGTTACACAGAAGGACACGCTTGTATATATCAGTGCTGGTGGAATATTGATTAAACTGACCAATAATCTACCTACATGCACTGCTGACCCATCCCTTACCATTCACCACTGTCTAGCAAAAAATAACTTCATTGTCACCGATCCAGCTTATTGAATCCTATCATGAGAATATGTCTGACAAAGGCCATTTTAATTAGTGACAGATCCTTATTGTCTCTCCTTCAGGCTCATGTTTTTTGCTGAGATGCTGACACATTATTATTTATAAAGATGATCAATTACAACCTCAAAGTTTGCATTTCATTTGAACTCGTGATTTTCCCACAATCTGTACCAAGGTTATACGTAAAGAAAGGTCAAACCTTCCAAGAGCTTCTACTTAGAACTAAACCCAGAACCACAGACTAGCAGGCTAGAGTGTTATACTGTTGTAGCCATAGACCAATTCTAAGATGGCAATGTCAGTTACAAGTAAATGGATCATTCTGGAAAGTAACCTTTAAGGTCAAAGGTCATTTGATATTTGTCTTCTTGAGATAATAGGTTTTTGTTTCATTATTAGTTGGGAAAGCAACTGTGAAGTAATAGGTCAAGACATAAGGGTGTCAATGAAATTAATAAGATAAAGGTAATGTATTTATGATATATGCTTTTAAAATCAACACATGGTTTTTAATTCATGTCCCAGGTCACTTGGCTGATCTTGTGTATATATATATATGTATGTAAATGGGTCACAAAGTAAAAATTGAAGTAGCATGAAACTTCCTGATCAATTTAGACCAAACAAGTAGAATTTAAAGGATAACTAATAATACTTAAAAAGGATATAGTGATGACGTAGTCTTCAAATAACAAGCATTAGGTACTACTAAATTTAGACCAGGAAAATCTTCACTCTAGTTTGGCATCTACTGAGTATTTAAGTGTCTGTCTTTTCTGTAGGTTAAATTCCTTTTAGGTCAATATATAGCCAAAATATGTTGATGCACAAGTATCTGACATGTTGTATCAGTAACCAAGTAGTATTCACTGAAAGTCACATGGTTCTCTGACAGATTCTGGTCACATGATTAACTGGATCATGTGACTCCCACTGAATACTGTTCAAAAGACCAAAATGATCTGGTTGAAATTCCTGACAGATTATAGAGGTATTACATGTTGTTATCAAATGTTTGGGATTTACAGTTCTTTTAATACTGCAGAACGTAAGGCATGGAAAAGACAGAAAGTCCAGTGCCTGTTGGTGCCTTAGTGAAGTTCTTTGTTAAGGAGGAAGATAACAAATCTTGCTGTTCATCATACACCAACAAAAATCTTCTTGATATTAATGGTTACTATTTGCTGTTGCAGTGTGATTTGTCAGCCATTTTCAGTTAATTTCTCATGGGTTGTTAGCAAGACACCATCCCTAATTTGTTACGAAAGGTCATGTTAAATCCCCAGATTTTGCTGTTTACTTGTGCATGATTTTGCAGATATCCATTAATATAGTCTCCATTTATCACAAATATTTGACAGAGCTTCTAGATATGTGACCTGATTATTTTGTTGTACCTCATTTGTGGGGATTAAGAACCATCCTCAATTTATTTTTCAGAATTGTACTTTCATAATCTCTTATCAGAAAATTACCACCAATTTCTATAGAAGATGCAGAAATCCAGATCATTGCATATAAAAGTAGTAAATTTTTTTTCTGTTAACAGAAACCAATTAGTAAATTTATTAATTTTTTTTTTAATTTTGACGTTAGTTAATTTTGCAGTCTTGGACTTCTGCTTTTCCTGTGGAACACACTGAAATTTTGCTTTATCTTTTTGTAAGTGAACTCATCAAAGTTTTGGAGATGGTGCTCTTGACTCCGTTTTGATTTTGATTCCAGTTCTTAAGGTTAACTGACATAATTACAGATGGACCGTGTATTATACATTTAGGAAGTGAAGTACCGAAACAAGATTGAGTGTATTTATCCTTCAATAAGCCCAAGGCCTACACTCAAAGTCAGGGGTGGGGTTATTACAGGAGTATATAGCATTTATAGTCATTTCTACAGAAATTGCAGTATATGTGTTGTGGGCTTGTTATCAGACACAGACTTATTGTCTAATAAATATAATGCTTTACTGGCAATATTCATTTCTCCAGAATGTGTCTGCCCTGGAAGCCTGAGCAGATATGCTGATTATTTTCAGCATTCCACTCTATAATGTGGAAATTAATTTTCCCAACTACAGTTCAAATCAAAGACAATGCCCATGATGGTTTTCCTGATTCCTAGACAAGTGACATACCATGTTTTATTTAGAACTGCTCATGGTCAAGGTCACCTTTACTAAAAATTGAATTTTAGAGAAAGTGCACCATGTTCTGACTAGTGTATCATTAGGATATGTATACTTGACATATTGCCATAGACATTACTTTCAAGTTTTATAATGCATATTGTGTGTCTCGTATGGAAAAGACAATTTCTGTCAATTTTTGCAAAATTTTCTGTGTGAAAGTTGATTAATTTGGGCCTGCTTAAATAAAAAAATCATACTTCCTTTAATCTTTACCGAAAATTCTTGTATAGGATAACTTTTTATGTCTGGAGGTCAAAGGTCATTGAAAAGAAAATTGTTTTCTATTGATAGTTCATTTAAATATCTACAGTTGTTACAGAGATGTGTGAAATTCTTGTGTTGTACATTACAAGTAATATAAAATTAGTTATTTTGTATTCTGTTTATCATTACAAACAGTAGTCTGTAACTGTTTTATATTTTGTCTTGTAGCCCCAGCAGCAGCAGACTGTGTTACAACAGCAGGGCCCAGTCATGATGAGTCCCCCTCAAGTGCCTACTTCCTCTTCTAACATACCTCAACAGCCCTCACAGGGCAACCTGGCTGCCATGTCGGGTCCTCTCATGCATCAGGCTGCGGCTACATCTGTACAGCCAACCCCCAATATGCCTTCCAATATGCCAGTGCTACAGATCCAGCAGCTGGGCCAGTCCCAGGCTCAACCCAATTCCCAAGTTCCCCTTGTAGGTTTCCAAACGATGGACCAATCCGAGCATATGGACACTAGTCAGTTATCTGGTTCAGTTACTCCAGGTACAACTGGTGGAAAGAGGTCAAAGAAAGCCAAGCAACAACAAGAAAAGGCCAACAGAATAGTGGCTGAGGCTGTGGCTCGAGCTCAGGCTGCTGGAAACACTGGATTACCTCCCTTATTAACCCAGAACCCAGCTATTCCTTCCACTGTTGGGGATGTGACAACACCAGAAATACGAGATGAGGATGAGGATGAAGAGGGAGGTAAGAAAAAGAAGAAAGCAAAACGGAAGAAGAAACCAACTGAGCCGAAGACTCCAAAGACACCTAAAGTAAAAAAATCTAAAACTCCTCCTGCTTCTGTTGGACCTGCTGAAAAGGTGGAAGTAGACAGTGCTGATAACAGTGGGGAGCTTATTGTTGACATTGAGTCTACAACTACAGCAACTCCAGAAAAGAAGAAAGTCGTCAAGAAAGCAAAATCAGAATCCAAACCAAAATCATCTGTTAAAAAGAAGAAGAAGTAAGTACTGTATGTAGTTGTTGATAGTACTATAGGTACAGTTGAAACTCGTTTCAAAATCGCTTGAGTCAAAATTCTGTTTTGAGTTGAAACAATTTCCCGATTTTTCCCTTTTATATCATTGTAATTTTAGGGCGGATGACTCAAATTTCATTGAGTCAAAATTTGGTTTGAGTTAATGTGATTTTTCAGTCCCTTCAATTTGAAAGCAATGGAAGATGCATTTATTGTCGCAAAATTAGTTTTTGTCAAAACATCGGCAACTCTTCTGAAGAAATCGGTCAATGTATACATAGAGTAGAATGTCACTTGTGTCAAACATATGGCTAATTACAGCATATCAGTCTATCGTACACACAACAATTGGTCTGTAAAGATTAATTACTAGTTTAGTTATCCAATTAAAAGTTGACTTATTAATTAGTGTCACCATCCTGTAGCAGTGATTTACCTGTACGTTAAACAAGTGGTGCATTTACACAAAATATGAAAGCATTTAGCTTGGTTCTGTGCATCTTGAGGAACAACAAAAATGAAACCGTAAAACTAGTTCGAACTTTAATGAAATGTGATCCCCACAAATCAAAACAGAAACAAATTTTTGTGCTTTTTTACTAAAGGATTGTGAATGGGTACTTAGCTAGATTTAGTGCTTGAACAATACATTGCTGAAAGTGTTTTTTCATTGATGGAACTGATATCTGTGCATGATTTGTCAAGTCTGGACTAGTGCTTGTATATGTAATGTTTTCTATAACGGGTAAAAACTTTCCAGTGCTGCCATTTTGTACCGTTTTATTGTAGCTCTACTTTATTCAACCTTAATCAATGTCAGGAAAATAATACTGACCTGATTTGGATACTTTTTGAGTTGAAATTTGGATAAGTCAAAATATTTTACACGGTCCATTGAATTTTGAGAGATAACAAGGTTCGCCCGTATCTGGTAGTGATAGTCTGATATAGTTATAACCATTTGATATAAAATTGAGTCCATTGTTCACGGGAGTATTTCCCTGTGTGTTATCTTTTCTGCTGTTTGCTTAATAATCTGATTATTTTGTGAAAAGAACAAAGGATTGAAATAGGAATAACTTCCTAAGCTCTTCAACAGATAGCTACTTTATAGCAGTGTACCTTAATGGAAAATGGTTTTGCTACAGGTATATTTGAACTTTAATGCTCTGCTTTGGAGAGACATGTTTGTGAGGACAATGCTTGTACTTTGTTAAGAATTTTATATGAATATAAAATTACATAAATTTATGACAACAAAGCCTTTTCTGTAGTGCCCTTAGGGCCAAATATGGACCCCATTCCAAAAGGATTTATTTCATATTAGACCAAATTCCACAAAAATATAGTTTACTCCTTTACATTTCCCCCCAATAAATCAGTTTGAACAAAATTGAAAATGAGACTAAAAGGCCCTTTCGCAAATTACTGGAAAACCATAGACAAAAGTAAACATAAATCAAATGATGATATCTGAAACGTGGCTAATAAAAATTCTTTCCATTGGTGGAATAACAATAGAATAAATCTTTATATACCTGTAACTTTCTATGTTCTTATCGGATTCATAAAAAGTGTCAAGATGCTGATTGATCCCTAACAGAGTTCCACGTAGCCACGATTGATTTACTCTTGGTTTAATAAAGGGTTGTGTTAGGTATACAAGCACTGACCTGATTAAGTGTTATTCCTACTGATTTATAGTTGCGGATGTTCACTTGTCAAGTTAGTGTTAACTAGGTCACTGGAGCATAAAACAAATGACATTTATGTTATACAGATACACAAGCCACTTGGCTGAGACTTGCTAAACAATCACAAACTCTAATCATAGATAGACATGAATATTAAGAAAGCTGCGAAAACTTAAAATAGAAACATGTTTACCTTCAAGGTTATAAAAGGCTTAGAGCATATGTGATGGTCTGAAATACTCACCTGCTGAAGTGCAGAAAGGCCATAATAGTGGACAAAAAACTAAATAAAACAACAAGGAAGTGATGGTCCACAATCTGTTTATTGTCTGTGTTTTTACATCTGCCTATACTCATGACTAAACTTAGATAAAAAATAAGAAAATACCTTGATGTTGAAAGAATATTAAATCAAACTCGAAATTGATGAAAAGATGAACTAAAAAAAGATTGATGTTAAGACACTTGACAGAAATTACAAGGAGAAAATTACCAGGTGTTCAGGGAGATTTCTTAGACTTCTTTGACAAGCATTTGGTTCTTTTGATCCTGTCTTGCCTTTGTTTCATCTTTGTTCTTTGTGTTTGAGTTAAGATTTTTTTTTTAGTTTTAACATACAGTATCAGTATTTTCTTGCCGTTATCAGAGTGTAACTGGAAATTTTGAGAAGTAATAAGGAATGCGTGAATAATTTCCAGTTCTCTTCACTTTTTGAAAATGATATCAATATACAAAATTAATATGTGAAATATTTTTAAAAAACAAGTTTTGTTAATTCAGGTTTTATGACTTCAGAGATTTAGTCATTTAAGCGAGTCACACTGTGAGACATAAAACTCTGTGGAATGATCAGTATGTTTGTGATAGATTTAGTTTGGGGGACAGCTCTATGAAAAAAATGGGGTCATATTTAATAACAGGTAGCAAAAGATAGTATGATAATTAAATCATGACTTAATATGTTTGTAGCATTATATAGTATGATAATTAAAACATTTCTAAATATGTTTGTATAAATATTTATACACCTATAAGATGTTGAAATCAGTGTCAAACTAAGCTCAAGAGGGAAAAGAATCATAATTCAAAGTCAATATTGTTATGCATAAAAACAAAATATCAGTTTTAAGTACATTTAAATTTGATTTCAGACCACCAGCTACATTTATGAAGTTAAAGAAAAGAAAGAGAGGTGCTTCTTCTGACGGCTCTGATGTGGAGTTAAAGATAACACCGCCTCCATCCCCTGTAGGAGATGAAGAGGGGCTCCAGGTATAATCTCCTTCCAGTCACTAAAGTGACATGATCTCTAAGCAAAAAGAGTCTGGTCACAACATTTTGGACCAAGTATAAGACATTTATTTGTTAAGTCTTTATTCTGACATGGTTCATAGTATCTCTCAGTATGTCTGTTTATTATTATTAATCAGGTTTTACGTTCTGTTCCACAATTAGTGCTTGTAAGATCGATCTCAAATTCCACATGTTGATTCATTTTTCCTTCTTCGTGCATGTATAATATTTAGAATGATTGTGGAAACAAAATGATGGCCTGGTGACAATATTATATATGAAAAGTAAAGTTTATTTGCAGTATTTTTGAGAAATTATAAAGGGGTTCTAAAACTCAAAAGTAAAAGTAAAGTTCTTACTTTGACTAATCAGAGGAAAGCTTGCCATATAACCGTCTTATTCATACAGGAAACTTTTGAGAATTTTTGTTTTTTTTCCAAATGCTCTGTATCTGAAATTGGTTGACTGGTAAATGCATGTGTATATACTCTGGAAGAGATTTAAAAAAAAAATGGATAATTTCAATTTATTCACTTTATTTGTTAACTTTTTCATTCTTTCAAAATTTACACATACAAAATCGTACAAGAAATCAAAAACAGTATTAAGCAAACTTGAAATCCAAGAATGTTTTTCCCTGTTCCTGTAGAAGCGTCGATCAGCTAGGAACACCAAGCGAAAGAAGTACATGGATGATGTTGACCTCAACTTATCAGATGATGATAATTTAGACATTGATGTGGAGGGTAATGACGGTGCTATCATGAAAGCTCTTGAAGTCAATGCAGTAAGTGAGCCCCCCACAACAACATCAATTCAATTAATAATAATTGAGGAATTTGAATTTTATTACTCATGACTGCTAAAAAAAATTTGGCTCCTTTATATGTAGTACCATCCTGGAATTTAAATTCAATTACTTAAATTACTTTTTATGTCCCTGCAATTAAATGGGGGGCATATAGTGTTACCCATGTCCCTCCCTCCCGTCATGTCGTGGTGTGCCACGTCCCCATTCCTATTCAATGCAAGCATCTACTAACTTCATTGTTTGATTTTGGTCAAACTGTATACAAAGGACAATTATATTATGAGTATGATTTAGACAACCATGTTACATTATTTATGATATCTTGTCTGTTTCTGCCTTAGTTCATGCTACCTCAATGTTGAATTGTACTTTACTGAAGAGTAGATATACTTAATCTTTGTCTGTTTACAGGAAAATGCTGTCGAGGAAGATAACAACATAGTGGTCGAGAAGATCCTAGGCATGAGAATGCGAGTTAGTGACAAAGACGTAAGATATCTTTACTTATCAATCATCATAGTTTCCTGGGTCTCATCTATAGGTAGAGGTAAAACAAAGTTCTAGAATGTGAGAGTTAGTGACAAAGACGTCAGATATCTTTATTTATTGATCATCATAGTTTCCTGGGTCTCATCTATAGGTAGAGGTAAAACAAAGTTCTAGAATGTGAGAGTTAGTGACAAAGACGTCAGATATCTTTATTTATTGATCATCATAGTTTCCTGGGTCTCATCTATAGGTAGAGGTAAAACAAAGTTCTAGAATGTGAGAGTTAGTGACAAAGACGTCAGATATCTTTATTTATCAATCATCATAGTTTCCTGGGTCTTATCTATAGGTAGAGGTAAAACAAAGTTCTAGAATGTGAGAGTTAGTGACAAAGATGTAAGATATCTTTATTTATTGATCATCATAGTTCCCTGGGCAGCATCTACAGGCAGTGGTAATGCAAGGTTCCAGAATAATGGAAGCTTTTCAGAGTGATTTCCCATACCTCTATATAGCTAGATGTAATGTAGTTTTGTCTTTTTGTAGCCAACAAGTCGTTTTAGACCTGAATTCTCTGGTTAAATTTGTGCTATTTCAAAGCTTTATAGTAAAATAAAACTGAGCTGCTCTTGCTATTCCTCGAGATTCAAACCTTTGATGTTTGATATTAACTTTAGTGCATTAGAGTGGTATAAGGAAATATGTAATTCTCTTTCCAGCCAGTTAAATTAGTCCAAACAAATCATTTCTTATAACATACTCTGTAATCTGAACTTCTTTCTGATCTGAAAAAATTATTTAATCCCAAAGGATCAGGTTATGACAGAAAAAACTGTAAATGGTTCAAGTTTTACCCGACAAATATTTACCATGGTTGTTTGATCAGGTTAGTCTAAAATACAGGATCATACAAGGAGGGAAATTGGGTAATGTCATAGTAAACTATTTCTAACTGTTCATATGTACAGGTGTGTCTGTAGGTCCAATTTATGAAAAATGATACAAGGAAGCATTGACACACAATCAGTTTTAATGAGGGATAATCTTATATTTATCTATCAATTACTTTTAAATTAGTAACAGTCCTGTCACGGATGGTAAGATTTCTGATAGTGTCTAAATAAGTAACAGTCCTGTCACGGATGGTAAGATTTCTGATAGTGATAGTCCTGTCACTAAATTAGTAGTAACAGTCCTGTCACAAATGGTAAGATTTCTGATAGTGTCTAAATTAGTAACAGTCCTGTCACGGATGGTAAGATTTCTGAGTGTCTAAATTAGTAACAGTCCTGTCACAGATGGTAAGATTTCTGATAGTGTCTAAATTAGTAACAGTCCTGTCACAAATGGTAAGATTTCTGATAGTGTCTAAATTAGTAACAGTCTTGTCGTGGATGGTAAGATTTCTGATAGTGTCTAAATTAGTAACAGTCTTGTCACAAATGGTAAGATTTCTGATAGTGTCTAAATTAGTAACAGTCTTGTCATGGATGGTAAGATTTCTGATAGTGTCTAAATTAGTAACAGTCCTGTCACAAATGGTAAGATTTCTGTTAGTGTCTAAATTAGTAACAGTCTTGTCACAGACAGTAAGATTTCTGATAGTGATTAAATCTTTACCTGTAAGTAATGAGGAAGGTGTTGGCTGTAATGGTAATCCTGCAGTTGTGGTAAAAAAAGTCTATATTGTTTCAATTTTAATCATCAAACATAAACCATTTCATCTTGATGTTATCAACTTGATATTACAGGTGGATGTGGAGAATGAAGATGAGCCTCCAGAAGAGGAAGTGGAGGAGTTCTATGTCAAGTACAAAAACTTGTAAGGTTTTTTCTTTGTCACCTTTAAAACTAGAAAGCTTTGTGATTTGATGAAAGAAAAATCTTCATATTCAATAATGACGTGTTTTTGCTGCTCAGGTCAAATAATGACATATCATGTTTGAAATTAAGATATGTGTTTCAGTTTGACTTTATTGTTAGTTTATTCAGCTCTTTGAACTCCTTTTGACACACACGAGAATACAGGAGTAATTTAGGGGATTCTGTATCAGTAGTCATTAGCCATCCCTCGTACGTTGTTCAGTGGGTTAGCCACCAGCTACATGAAGACCCTTCCTCAGAATGGCCCTGCTGTTCACGGGGTGATAAATGCAGCAAACAAGCCATGACTTTACTGTGATGCCTGACAAAATGATCATAAATATCCTTTCAGTTCCTATCTTCACTGTGAATGGAAGACAGCTGCGGAGATGTACAGAGATAAGAGGATACATCAGAAGATCAAACGCTACAAGATGAAAAAATTACAGTCTAGCAACTACTTTGCTGAGGTATGTCACTGTTACTTTAAGGAATTGATATTTTGTCAGAGTTTTGTAGAATATTTATTTAATTATCAACAAATTCAAAATTTTAAAGAGCTAATTAAATGATGCAAAACATATCTTTAAAATCTTGTTTGGTGTCAAAAAATTAGCCTAGATGAATACTTTGGTGTCAAATTATCATTTCTTTGGACATTTTGTGAAATTCATGCTATTGACACGGCCCATGTACTCAGAAACTATATGCCATTTCAGATTGATGATGATGAACTCTTCAATCCTGACTATGTGGAGGTAGATAGGGTTTTGGATACCTCGATAACAACTGACCCGGCAACAGACGAGAAGACCACTCATTTTCTGGTCAAGTGGCGAGGACTTCCATATGAGGATGCCACCTGGGAGCTGCAGCAAGATGTTGACCCTGAGAAAGTTAAATTTTTCAACCGGTTCAAGGACCCTCCAGACGAAGACGATAGAGAAGTATGTGATGCTATGTAACACTAAGGAGTGTTGTATATGTACTATTGTGGCAGAAAAATTTTTAATTAGAAGATCTAGACTTTGTCAACTTGGATTAGGACTAGTTCAATCAATATCTACTAAAACGCAATAGACTTAAGACAGTTTGTTTTAAGACTATTCATATAAAATACCTAATGGTAATAGACTCGAGTCAGTTTTTGTTAGGGGTATTCAAATATAATACTTACCCAAAGGGAATAGACTCCAGTCAGCTTTTGTTGAAATATAGATGAATCAAATTAGATTTGCATGCACCACTGTTGTCTTTTCAAAAATGTCGTATTTCAGACATATTTTGGATAAGAAGTGACATTTGGATCAACTGATCATATATAATTTATTTTCAAGATATATTATACCATATATTAATATGGCAATATTTGAATTAAATTTCAGCCCGTTGAACGCCCGAAAGCCAGCAACTGGAAGAAGAGAGATGAGACTCTTGTGTACAAGGGAGGTAATACAGTGCGAGAGTACCAGTTGGAGGGTGTTAACTGGCTCACCTTTGGCTGGTACAATGGGTAAGTTTTAATGTCTCTGGTTAAATTTTTTTAAAGAAGTGTTTTAATTTAAGTATCATTTTGCTGGAAAGTACATTATTTTGGCTGAAATGTGATTAATAAAATTGACAAATCAGTTAAAAATTACATTAAAGTCATATTGTCTGTACATGTCTAGCTATTTAAACAAGGCTAGTCAAACTGATTACATTTTTTGTTGCCTCAGACAAAACTGTATCCTAGCTGATGAGATGGGGCTTGGAAAAACTATCCAGAGTATAACATTCCTCCATGAAATATTCCTTGCTGGGATAGAAGGGCCTTTCTTAGTCGTTGTTCCACTATCCACTCTGGGCAACTGGCAGAGAGAATTTGAAACCTGGACGGACCAGAACGTCATTGTTTACCATGGAAGGTCAGTCCTGTTTATAACCATTTCTCAAAGTTCTTTAATAAGCATTCGTTCTAACTAATATTATATAGCTTTTCATGGTGACACTTTCTGGTTAGAATCTCCTCGATGAACAACAATTTTGACTGTTTAATGGCCCCCAACAATTGTGATTGTTTACTTTGTACACTTTTAATAAAATGAAGATACTTCATGTTTCTTTACTTGTTTCTAACCTATCATTAATGAGACAGATTTCAGATGTAAAGTTTAGCATAATGAATGAATACAGGTACCAAGAAAATTTGTTTGTGTTTGTAGTTCTGTAAGCAGGAGCATGCTGCAGCAGTATGAGATGTACTACCGCGATGATAATGGCAAGAAGATCCCCAATGTCTGCAAGTTCCATTCTCTGATTACCACATACGAATGTATTATCTCTGACTGTGATGTGCTGAGTAGCATTGACTGGCGCTGCCTCATAATAGACGAGGCCCATCGACTGAAGAACAAGAATTGTCGACTAATGGAAGGCCTCCGCATGTTTGATTGTGTAAGGCCAATTAACTCCATCAATAAATTTATTACAAGTCACATGTCCTTTATGTTACTGCGAGTAGAAATTGGAGTCAACAGGTGTATCTCATCACTTGTGATATATGTTCTGATTTTCAAGTAAAAATTTCAACTTTTTCTGACATTTCTCAAGTCTACATCTCCATCCACTATACATTAAAACATTCATGTATAAATGGTATGTTTTAAACATTTCTAACTGATGGTTGTTAAGAAATTCTTTGAACATTAGAACTTTCACAAGATTTGTTATTTAGCTTTATCCCAAATGTCATGAGTTTATCTTACTGATGTCATATTGTCTTAGAACCCAATAACTGCTGCATGATAAAAAGGATATTTTAGAATTGATGTGTTGTTTTGCAGGAACATCGAGTGTTGCTGACCGGAACACCTCTTCAGAACAATGTTGAAGAACTCTTCAGTCTCCTCAATTTCCTGGAACCTGAACGGTTTAGCTCCGTCAACAGTTTCATGGTAGACTTTGGCGATCTGAAGACGGATGCTCAAGTAGACAAGCTGAAAGCGGTAAGAAATTCAAGATATATGAAAGATAATTGGAGTCTGTTTAATGTTTGTGTATAAGCTTCCAGTATTAAGGGAAGCAATATTTTGTTCCATTTTAAACCATCTTTAATTGTGAATCAAATTTTATCTGTAGCTCCTGAAACCAATGATGCTGCGTCGGCTGAAAGAGGATGTAGAAAAGAACCTTGCATCTAAAGAGGAGACCATTGTGGAGGTAAAATTTCCATCTGTATACCCCAAAGTAATCATAAATGCATGAAATGTGTTTTATTTCGACTCGAAACATTGAAAGCAAATATGAAATGAACATTCTAAACATAGAAAGTTTTTCCTTTCAATATTAAAAGGTGATTGTTCGAGTTGTATGGGAATGAATTCATACAGATTTCTATTTGATAAAGATGGTGATGGTGTTAAAGTATTTAAGTCTATGATAGAATGATTTAAAATCTTGTAGTGCATGTTTGATATTGTATGTTACAGGTGGAACTGACCAATATACAGAAGAAATACTACAGAGCAATCCTAGAGCGGAACTTCAATTTCTTATCTAAAGGGACAGGAAGCTCTACCAATGTACCAAATCTTCTCAATACAATGATGGAACTCCGCAAATGTTGTAACCATCCATTTCTTGTCAAAGGTAAATTTGTTGTCCTTCGACATTAAGATTTTGTGTCTGCTGATTTGTAGTTTTCAATCAGTTTTGTATTGATCTGTGATTTAATCCTGTGGTTCATTAGCTCGAACTGAGAAAAAGTCCCATGTTATAGACAAATTACTAAAGATAGATTCAAATTCTTAAATCTAGTAGTGTGACAACAAAATGATTAGTTCAGGAGAGACAGATTATTTCATTAAGTCTGTGTACAGATTATAGGAATTAAGTGCTTAGTGAGATTTCGCTAATAAATGTTTGATGGATTACAGGTGCTGAAGAGAAGATAGTGAGTGAAATGAGAGAAAAGTTTGGTGCCACACAGGAAGCAACATTCCTCTCCATGGTCAACTCGGCTGGTAAACTTGTCTTGTTGGACAAACTTCTGCCTAAACTCAAACAGAATGGTCACAAAGTTCTCATCTTCTCACAGATGATAAAAGTCCTTGATATCCTGGAAGACTACCTCATTCATAGAAAGTAAGTACCACATGGCTATTATAGACATTGACTGTGCTGGTAGATCATTATTACCTATTGATAAATTGTTTTTAATATCTATAAAAACAAAGTTATTTTTTGTATTGATTGATTCAATGAATCGTTTTATTTTAGATATTTGTATGAAAGACTTGACGGACGAATTCGAGGAAATATCCGTCAAGAGGCCATTGACCGCTTTTCCAAGCCGGAATCTGACCGATTCGTTTTTCTTCTGTGTACCCGGGCTGGTGGACTGGGAATCAACTTGACCGCTGCAGACACTGTGGTCATCTACGATTCTGACTGGAATCCCCAGAACGATTTGCAGGTAAAAAATTAAAACCTATATATATTAATTATTTTGTTCATTGAAAGTCAAATCATTTCATTGTGATGTTCATGTTGGGTATATACCACTATTAGAATAATGCTTTGTTTTGATATATATCTTCTGTAGCTATCTTTCTGGAAGAGTGTCCGTTACTTGTTTTAATCTAAAAGAATTATATCTCTGAAAAAAACTGTGAATAGGGAAAAAAATAAAACTTAAATAGTTGCAGATATTCGAAAAGAAAAAAGGAACATTTTCTGTAATGATACACAGGTGACAGTATGATAAAAAGTGGTTGATCTTACACTTTCTTTGTTCTCAGGCTCAGGCGCGGTGTCACAGAATTGGACAAAGTAAAGCAGTGAAGGTGTACCGATTGATCACAAGAAATTCATATGAACGTGAAATGTTTGATCGTGCTTCTATGAAATTGGGCTTGGACAAAGCTGTGCTTCAGTCAATGGGTGGAGAAAAGAACTCCCCAGTAAGTAGACAACATTTGAAGACATGACATGTATTTTAATTACTAAAGAACAATTGTTTTTTTAAGTAGTAATTTTCCTTGGCTATTTCATGGAGATATGTTCTCATGAATCTTTGTCTTTTATGAAAAATAACATGTTCATTGCATGTGAATGTTTGTTGACTTGCAGTATTTCAGTTACAGCTGCAATGGTCATAATTATTACATTGTGAAAAGTCGCAATGTTTTATGGAAATACAATTGTAGCTAGCTCAGGTATCCAAAGTTTTCTCTTTAAAAAATTCTGTTTAAATTGTAGCTAGCTCAGGTATCCAAAGTTTCCACTTGAACAAGTCTTTTTTTTTAAATTGTAGCAAGCTCAGATGTCTAAGAAGGAGATCGAGGAACTGCTTAAGAAAGGTGCATATGGAGCTTTGATGGAGGATGATAATGACGGTGATAAATTCTGTGAGGAAGATATCGACCAGATTTTACAGCGTCGCACACAGGTCATACAGATCGAGTCGGAGGGCAAAGGGTCTATCTTTGCCAAGGTATGTTGAAGCACTGATAAAAAATGAATGGTTGTGTTTTAGTTGAAATACCTACTGGTAACTCTACAGTACATTCTGTGATATCATGCAGTGAAGCAGATGGGCTTTTTTTTTTTTGCGACAGGAAATAAATGATATCAATTAAGTAAAAGAATCTAACAGATATGACCTACATTATTGCACAAATATGTTACTGATTGAAAAAGGTGTTGTAAACTGCAGGTATGAAAAGGTGTCATTTGCATTGCACTTTCATCAGTGTTAGGTTATGATAAAATTGAATATAATGTTATAAATATTGGACAACTACAAGCAAGTTTCTCTGTGTACACTGTTACGAAATTAATTTGTCTGTTCCTACGAGCAAGTTTCTTAGTGTATGATGTCATAATCATTTTGTCTATGCCTACGTGCGAGTTCCTCTCGCTACACTGTTTTAATAATTTTATGTATTCCTACAGGCGAGTTTCTCGATGACCGGTAACCGAGAAGACATTGACATCAATGATCCAAACTTCTGGCAAAAATGGGCAAAGAAAGCGGACTTGGACACAGATGAGCTGAAAAACAAGGTAAAGTTTTAAAAAAAATACAAAAATCATATGTGTTTACTAATGTTTATGTTTCCTATAAGCTGATCAGAACATCAGAGAGTATGATAGTATTGAAACATCAACAGAACACTGATATTTGTCAGAGTGACAATGCCCAGAGTGAAGAAGATTCACAGTGACATTAAATTCCTTGTCATAAAGATGTTCCTGCCTCACAATCAAGATTTTCTGGTCAATACACATAAATCCAAATAACCAAAAAGATTTGTAGTTGTTAAGGTAGAAATCAGGCACACTCTAGAGTCTTGCTCTCAATCAGTGTTTTGATAATTCAGATAATTTGAAGTGTGATATTTGAGTATTCTTGGTTACAAAGTAGTCATGAGATGAGGTTTAATTTTTTCCAGAATGAGCTGATCATTCAAGAGCCACGTCAGAGAAAGAAAACAGCTCGTTTCGGTAATGATGAGTCCCTGCTTGACATGTCGGAGCTGGAATCAAGCTCCAGTAATACAGATGAGGATGAGGATGCCGGAGAAGTAGGTGGACTACGTGGTCGTGGAGGGCGCAAGAGGCGTCGTGGACGAAACAAGAACAAAGATGATGATGACTTTGATGGAGATGACTACAATGGTGAAGGATACTCACGGTCGGAATGCTTTAAAGTGGAAAAACACCTGCTGTTTTATGGGTATTTACATATTCATTCTGGCTCCAGTCATATTACTGAGATTTTAACTGGAGGAAAAATCTTCCGTCAAGCTTTGAAGTTGTGTACAATTTATTAATGACACACATCTATTACTCAGTAAACTGTTTATTGATCTTTTATTCTGTTTTGTCAAATTTATCTTTTCCATCATTATTTTGTTTTAAATGCATTTATTGTTGTTTGTGCATGACAGATGGGGAAGATGGAAAGATATCATCGGGCATGGAAAGTTCAAGAGGAGACTGCTGGAGAAAGATGTGGAAAACATATCCAGAGCACTGGTAGGTTCTCTTATTGTTAGGATTTATGTGTTAACTATGACATATTGTGATTCTCCTCTTCAAGAATCCTTAGATGAAAAAATTTATATATATATTTCCTTATGCTCTTGACAAAATGTTCTGGTAATCTGTTGCAGCTGTCACCTATTTCTTTTATGAATATCTCATAGTGTAGTATAATTGCTAACAGTTGGGCACTTTGTAGATAGTAATTTATTCTTTTATTATGTTCCAGCTTATTTACTCGCTGCAACATTACAAAGGCGATGACAAGATCAAGGAGTTCATCTGGGACCTGGTATCGCCATCTAGTGACAGCTCCCTCAAAAACCATTCAGGTATTGTATTTCTCACACTTTGCCTGTTCAATCTTGCTGCCTTTTAAGAAATTTCTTCGTGCACAAATGTTATTCAGTCATTAACAATCTAATATCTAACATAGAATATCCTTCACACAAAAATATGCCTGTCAGACATTTAGAATCTAGTATGATAATGTGACATTACAGACTGAATTGGTATCTCTAATAACGTTTAACATTTTGGTTAACCTTGCATCTTATTCTGTCACACAGGATTATCTGCCCCTGTTCCAAGAGGCCGCAAGGGAAAGAACAAGAAGAAAGAGGCCCTACAAAACATGGACCAGTCTTTTGCTCTTGACAAAAACAAGATAGATCTTGATCCTGAGGTTGTGTTGAGAGATGCTGGTTACCGCCGTCACCTCCACAGACATGCTAACAAGTAAGTGATCACTACAGTATTCAGGTATTTGGGTTGTGTTAGAAGATATTTGAATGATTACAAGTATTATCCATAGGATTTAATGATGATTTTGTTATCGGCACATTTTTTATGCTTAATGTGAAAACTTATATTATTGGTCCATTTGTTTTATTTGAGCAGTTGAAATCTTATCTGACAAAGTTTTGGAAGGTTATACAACTGATGTAGAGGATTTTTAAAGAAAAAAACTTGACTTCAATTTGTTGTATACTTACAGGGTTTTGCTTCGAGTCCGGCTGTTATATTACATCAAACAGGAGATCATAGGAGAGGAAGCAGAGAAAGTGTTCCAAGGCATAAATCCAAAGTAAGTGGAAATAGATTCATCTTTCTGTGAAAATCAAAGATTTATTAAAATCATTGAAAGTTACAAAAAATTGTTCTACTTCTAATGGGTATACTATCTTTAACTAACATTTCACAAAAACACAATTAAAAAACGCAAGAATGAATAACAGTAGTATCATATTTTGACAGTGAGATAGACATTCCACAGCCTAATGCTGACGGTGAACCTCCAACTGCCTGGTGGGATGATGAGGCTGATAGATGTCTCCTTATAGGAGTGTTTAAGCATGGTAAGTTTGATGAACTTCAGTACTTTTGTTTCTATGTTTAGAAAATTCAGTATTCACTTCAGATTGAGAAGAATGGTCATGATAGATAATTTCAAGTGCATCATCAACCAAGCTTAAGTGACAAATGATTCTCTCTATCTAATGAATAATTGAATCTGACCCACATCTTATGCTTGATTGACCCAGTTTTATGACCCACATTTATATGAGTGATGTTCCATCCATAGCATTTGCAAGTTTTGTTTTAGATAAACACCCTTTGTCTTAATTAAATGTCTTAAAACCTATAAATCTTTGATCAATATTCCTGTCTGGCTCCTATACTAAACACTGGTTCTTCAATTACATTTTCTCTGAAGGTTATGAAAAATTTAATGCCATCCGGTCAGACCCGAGTCTATGTTTCCTGTCGAGATGTGGACCACCAGATGGTGCTGCCTTAGCCGCTGAACAAAATGATGACGAGTAAGCAATTACAATCTTACCATTTACATTTCATGTTTATTTAGGCTACACCTACCAGATGATCACATTTAGTTTTCTATTCCATCCAGTTATAGATTACTTGTAAATCTGTGAAGCTGTTGAGATTTTGTTTTATTGTGATAATGATAGGCAAGTTCCAGTGATGACCTGTCATGCTAATACAGAGGGTCCATTGTGACACTGGATGTGCTGGTGACACCGGGCCGCAATGAGTTGACAAACAAATACTGAGGAACATTTTATTTGCCATGTTTATCAGGCAATACATGTCTGGAAATAAACCCGATAACCTGAAAAATCTTTCAATTTTCAGAAATGGCAGCAATTGCTCTTCAGTCGTTCTTTGTTTTCCCCTTGCAGGATGAATTAGGTGTTTTGTAGTTAAGTAGTCTCATTTGACCATATGAATTTTTGACAGTGATGACCTGGACGACACTCAGGGAACAAGCAGTATGTCTAAAGTGTTAGATACACCAGATGAAGGATCAGTAAGCTCCATGTCAGATGCTCTCAGTAAAAAAGGACCTGCTGTGGGGTCATTAGCCTTAGTACCTGAACCAGAGGGAGACAAACTTCCTTGGCCGACACCTTCTGACCTCAACACAAGACTTCGACGGATGATCACAGGTTATCAACGCAATCACAAACGCCAGCTAGTGAAGAATGCTCAGAAAGTGAAGGTGAGCTGAGATAAATGTTGTCATGTTGTCTGATTAACACCTGTTAAAAGAGTAATAACTTTTGAATGTCATGGTCCTTAATTTCTGATCAGTGTCATCAGGACCAGATATCAAAGCACTGAATATTATTAATAATGGGTAAATCAAACAATTAATAGGATTTAACAATTAATGACATCCTTTTACTTGTGTTCAGCAACTCCAGAAGCGAGATCGACTAGAGCAGGCTATCAAGGAAAGGGAGTCACAGCGTCGACAGTTCCAACAGTGGTATGTTTACTAACAGGGTCATAGCTAAACACAAGTTAAAGAATGTAGTGTTATAAAGTTAAGATCTGCAGTCAATGAAATGCTATTGAATGTGGTTGTTCATATAAATTAGGATCCAACATTCCCTTTGGGACAGAAGTAGGAGAGGTATTTTTTAACTCCACTGAACAAAGTATTGATGCTGTTGTGATTTTCATGATTGGCCTCATTTGTTACATGTATGCTTTTGTTCACTGAATATAACCTCACAATAGCTAATTTAGAATCACAGGTTTTCCTGAGAACTGGTTCTAATTATTCCTGGTTAGTTGTCCCTTTGTTAGAAGGTTCATGTGATCAAACTGTCAACTGTTTCTAATTGCAGTCGCTGGTCTCGGCGTGAGGAAGCAGACTTCTATCGTGTGATATCAAGTTATGGTGTGGAGTTTAACCTGACCACAGGCAGATACAAGTGGGACAGGTTCAGAGCTCTCGCTCGCTTAGAGAAGAAATATGATGAAACACTCACAGAATACTTCCAAGCTTTTTACCACATGTGTATGAGAGTCTGCAAAAAATTCAAAAATGATGATGATGGTAAGATTTGTGTTAAATAGAGATGAGAGGTTTCTGACAGAACACTTTAAATAAGAAGTGTGGTTACATTGTGATGTTTTAAGTTTTATATTTTTATATCCATGTAAGATAGTAGTAAATAATGAATCAATAAATAATTTAATAGATAGTATTAATCTTTAAATAATTCAAATGATTCATTTAAAGAGATGGAAATATTTGCATTGAAAAAATTAAAGTTGTCTTCTAACACAAAATCATCCATTATAGATTTAACTTGGTTTAAGATTTATGGTTGAATTAATAGTATGCCTATAAATTATAATATTTGTGTTTCAGCCTTGCCCCCAAACAACATCTACGTTGAGCCAATCACAGAGGAAAGAGCAAGCCGATGTCTTGCCAGAATAGACCTGCTAAATAGGATCCGTACAGATGTGCTGCCCCATCCAAAGTTTGAGGAGAGGGTGAAGTTGTGTCAGTCATCCTACGACCTGCCATCCTGGTGGATTCCTGGCAAACATGACCGTGACCTTGTCATTGGGGCTTCCAGGTAAATTAATTTTCATTTAATGAAGTTAATTTATGTTTGCTTTTATTTCTAAATTAGTTCCTAATCATGTGAACAAATTATTGCTGCCTAATGAGAAATAGCTGTGTTAATGTGTACAGTATGATATATGATAATCCTGTTGATTTTTTATTCTTTAATGTAGTCATGATAGGTAACACTGAAGATTTACAATCATCCTATGATAGTGATTTTAAAATATTATGTCCAAAGAAGAGGTTATAGCGAGTGAACTTCCAACTGACATACTCTCAATATACATGTATACTGATGAGCCACAAGGTGCTAAGTAATAATAAAGAATTCAGTAGGAAAGCTGTGTAGGCAAATGCCTCTTACTTTAGGGTCTGCTATTAAGGTTGGACCCGCAGAGGGGTAGCTATTTGGCCCGCAGAGGGGTAGCTGTTGGGTCCGCAGAGGGGTAGCTATTGGGCTCTATTGTCTGTAGTTTTCAGCTTCTAATGAGAGATTAAATGTAGATCTTAAGAGGTTTTGTGTAAATATAGCAAATTAGAAATATATCAGAAGTAGAGCCAAAGCTGCTGCTTCTTTATAGGTAGAGATTCAATAGGTCCTACAGCTTTTGCCTGGATACCTGAGGGTATGCAGGGGATTGATTAGAAGGGTGAGCTTAAATCAGGCAGGATCAATCTAAACTGGCTAGAGTCAGGTTCTTCAATCTTTAATTAGGTAATATAAGATTGGAGAACCTGCCTCTTGCCTGTTGATATTGATTCTTCCTGATTTAAACCAATTAGAAATGTCTTATGTAAGACTGAAGTGAGAAGAAAGTAAAGTATGTCGAACTCAGTGTTATATTTTTCTCATTTTTCTCACATTAAGGTGTAACTATCCCTAACATACATAGTTGTGATTATGATGGCACAATAGATATAGAGATGACACTCTATTTTGCTTGTTCAACTCCAGTATTTAACTTTTGACTTGATTTTACAGACATGGCGTTGTGCGGACAGATTATAACATTCTGTATGATTCAAACCTGTCATTCAAAGATGTGGTGAAGAAAGGGATCTATATGACTGAGTCCCCTGTTCCTCAAACAGTTACAAAAGGTAAGACTTCGAAACAATGCATTAATGGTATATATTACAAACATTTGGTCTGTTTTGTAACGCTGCTTGTCTTGGTAAATTCAGCATTATGATGTGTAACACTGTCTCTTACCTAACATTTGGTGAAATAGCAATGCAAAAAACCTATTTCACTACATTAGAGTATGTGAAAATATAGAAATGTTTTCAATTAGATATTTTCTTTACAGAAAAAGATACAGAAGGTGAGAGTCCTGTGAAGAAAGAAGATTCAGAATTAGAGGTGAAGGAGGACGATCTGAAAATTGAGAAAGTTGAAGAAGACATGGAAACAACGGAAATTAAAGAAGCTTCTAATGGGGTCAAAACAGAGGAACCGTCTGAAACTGAGATAAAGGAGGAAGTGAAAGAGGTGAAGGAAGAAAAGGAAGAAGAACAAGATCAACAGGATATTTCTAAGGATCAGGAAAGTATGGAGATTGAAGAAACAGGAGATGAGGAGATCAAACAGGAAGCAGAAGAGGAAATGGAGGTGAAGACAGAAACTGCAATAACGAAGACTGAGGAAAATGATGACACTGAAGAGAAACCGGAAATAGTAAAGGAAGAAGACAAAGGAGAGGTAGAGGTTAAGACAGAAGAAGAGGAGAAAAAGCCTGTAGAAAATGGTCATCTAGAAGACGAAGAGGAGGAAGAGGAAAGGAAACCTGTAGATCTTGAAGTGAAAGTTGAGGAACAGAAGGAGCCCAAGGTCCTGAGTGATACAGAAATGGTCCGTAAGGTGATAGAGGCAGTGAAGGAGCGACGAGAGGACCAGCTGATGGACAAAAGGTTCTCTAGGGAAGATGAGGTAGGACTTGTTTTTGTGATCAAATGATGATAGCAGTTTTAGATAAGTTCTAGAGCAAAGGGGTTTGGAAAAGTGAAAGTTTTAGTAATTCAATGACCAGGGAGATAGAATATGGTGAAACCATTTTGCAAATGAAACAGCTCATTGGTGGAAATTAAGTGGCATGTAAGAAAATGGAATATTTCTTGCCTCAGTAATGTTGAGAGTATTGCATGCAAATCTTACAGTTTGTTTCAGGAAAATTGCATGATTAGACAGACAAATATCATTCATTTATTCTTAATATTCACAAATTTATTTTTTTTTTTAGGAGCTACAGAAGTTCATGATTCATGAGGACTTTGATCCTGAACTCCCTCCAGGAGAATTCAATGCACTTGGAGTTTCTCTAAATTGGCCAAAGGTAAAAAATCTAGTAGTGGTAGAACCAACTTCGTTGAAATCTCCATTTGGTGTCTTTTGTGTGGTTCAGCATTGCAGAAATTATTGTTTTTCTATTTTTAGGATCGTGTAGTGTTTCATCGCTTAGAACACATCTGTTACTGTGTGGAACAAGGGGAATGGCCTTTCCCTAAGAGAATGAACCCTCTGACAGACTCTCGTAGTGGCACCCCCATCGGCTCGCTGACACCAAAGGAAGATGCGGACTTGAGTCACTCGGATGCCGGCGACTCAGTGTATGATGGAGTGAAGGTGATGAATGTGGGCGTAGATAGATTAGATAAGGACTTTGAAGTTGAGATGACAGAGGTAGGGACTTTTGAGTCAAAGTTAGCGTGGCTTGGATTGATTTGTCATCAGATGCCAGCTTCTATTCTCTTCTCATTGGCTGTTTGAATGTCAGACACATTTGCTGCATAATTGTTTGCCTGTGGTTCGTGGTTTGTTTAATAAGCTCTCCTAACACCTGGTTGCTACAAGGTGATCTCTATAAAACTGTTGTTGACTGAACCCATGTATTTCCTGCCTAGATAGCATATCCTGCAGCACCTCAAAGCTGATTTACCATTGAAAAAAAAAGTGTACCATAATTTCATCATTTGAATTTTTTACGGTGTTAAAAAGGTTAATGGATAGAAAATCTACAAACATTTTGAAATGCCAATGTAATGTTAATTTTACAATGTAATCTATTTGTGTGTCCATCAAATAGTTTCCATTCCATAACTGCCCTTACAATGAACTTCATATGTAGATACGAATGTAGAATGCATGCCTCAGGATAGAATATTATAGATATATGTACTCTTTGTCAGCGAAGTTAAATAAGATTTTTTGTTTCTATTTAATAACTGCCTAGAAATTGCTAGATTGCCATCATTTCTATTCCAGTGGTATAGACCAAATTTACTTACAATTTGCACATTGTGTATCTACTTCTGACTTCATCATTGTAATGTTTGACTAGAAGTATTTGAGATTTATGTTATGTGATATATTGACTGTCGTAGCCAGGTTTGATATTTGACATTTGTGAAGATTGGTTGTCTATAATATAAAATGCAGTGAAGTGTTGTTGTTGCATTGTTGAATATTCGTTTTAACCTCTTTCGTTCATTATCTTTGCTTATTTCTTTATATCTTTTTATAACTATTTATTGCGGTTTTGAAAGTCTCGTACAAATATATAGCATGCAATAATCCAGTCACAGTTGGTTCAGTGATTGTTCAACTTTCCTATGACTTGCCTCAAAGTATTATGTCTTTCTTCAATCAGTCTAAAAATGAAACTACTTCTGTGAATGCCTTTTAATTTCTCTGTAAATCTTGAAACATTCTGAAAGATACAACAAAGTTTTGTTTCTGAAATACATTGATGATGACCAGGTCTGTAAGGTAGATCAGAAAAGGACACAGGTTTGATGTAAACATTTATGATCAAAATTTATGAGGCTTCAATTCAGGTTTGGTTGTCATGGTTACAGGGAGATGGTTTGAAGATGACATTCCACCGACGAGCTGCAGCACAGAGGAAGTATGAAATGGAATTAGAACGAGAAAGAGAAAGGGATGTGGGTAAGTATCCTTATAGATTGGAAACTAGTATTATTAAATGAAGTCGTTGAATCAGATCAATAGTTCTACAGAAGAACTTCAATATGTGATGTGTAGATACTCAAAATCTCATTCAACTGGAAACAGCTTGATCTACAGAAATAATCTTCAATTATCTGAGGCTTGCTAATATTTTGTACAATTTGTTATTTGTTAAAGAGAGTTTACAGTTAGTCCTGTTAATTCAATGGATAGTGAAAAGAACAACAGGCATATGATAAAAGAAATGTATCCTTGTGTTTAATGAGGACCAAATTTGTATATTAGAAATATACTGGAAGCATTGATACTGCAGTGAACCCATAGTTAAACAAGCCTGATATATTGAATGATTTCTGTGGCACACGTTATGTATGATAAGAGGTGAGAGGGATACAGGAGGGATACAGGTAAAGTAAAACTATTTAAGCATCAACTTTTTCAGTTTGTAAATATGTTACACAAATAATAATGTATATTGAACCTTGTTGTAGGAGGCCGTGTTCAACAGATACTCAACCAAAATCTGCAGTCAACAGCCTCAAGTGATGACAGCCAGTCTGACATGACACCTCGTTCTCAGGTACTCGGTCATTCACCCCGCCAATCACCTCATCAATACTACTATCCACAGGTTTGTCAAGTGTCCATCCAGGGTACATGTACAAGCTGTTGTGTCCTGTCTGCCTGTGTGTGGCTAGATAGTACTGTAGTCAACGATTAGGCACTGTTTAGTTAGAGACGCATCTCTATCTCTTCTGGAGGCAACTTTTAGAGACTCTCATATTTCACCTTGTTAGATTTACATATGGTAGTCAAGAATTTAACAGCTGTTGTGTTATTTCTGTCTAGATCAGATACTGTAGTCAAAAAATACTGTAGCATTATATAAACTTCCCTTTTGTCAATTATTGAACTAATTAAACTGTATCTTTAAATTTGGTCACAAGTGAAATTCTATTGTATAGTTGTCCCCAGATAAGATGTATTTATCATAGAAAACTTGAAATAAAATAATCCAGTTGAAGTTCCAAAAGAAAAATCTTTAACATTAATCAGTGGAATGATATCAAAATATTGAACAACTTGTACAGATATTTTTATGGGATAGACAGTGGTTACAGATATACATAAAAATGATTCTTGTTGGGCTATTTAGAATTTAATTAGGGCTAGCTAACAACAATGAACAATTCAAGTTTGTTTCTATTAAAAATATAAGACACTCCACACATGATGTAATGGGGAACCAAAATTAGATATAAAGTAAAACAAATGAATTAGGATAATGAGCTTTGTAGTTCAATTAAAAAGGGAAAAAAGTGAAAATTGTGTAGGAATAAAAACGGAGAAATGTGAAAATTGTGTAGGAATAAAAAGGGAGAAATGTGAAAATTGTGTAGGAATAAAAAGGGAGAAATGTGAAAATTGTGTAGGAATAAAAAGGGAGAAATGTGAAAATTGTGTAGGAATAAAAAGGGAGAAATGTGAAAATTGTGTAGGAATAAAAAGGGAGAAATGTGAAAATTGTGTAGGAAGGTTTGATGAAAAGTGGGGGAAAAATCCATCATACAGTATGCTGGTCTGAAACATTGTAAAAGGTTGGGCAAATTGTATTGTTTCTAAACCTTATTAGGACTGTATAAACCTTAGTTGTATTGTATGTTAGTCCTACTGCATGAAAGCCTTAATTGTTCTATATCAGCCTTGTACTGTCATTGTATATCTGTCAGCTTTATATGTTAGATTTTAAAGCATGCCCGTAGATAAGTATACAAAGATGTTTAAAACAAAGCCGGACTATAATTATGGTGATGCTAAGTCTTCTACGAAGATCCTGGAGTATGTGTACAAGTTGAATGGAACTTGCTGTCGATGGCTGACCTCGTGACAGTGACGACTATGGGTGAAACCCAATAGTAACCTGTACTACAGTGTATATGAAGGTGTGGTGACCTGTACCAGACTGTATGAAGGTGTGGTGAGCTGTACTACAGTGTGTATGAAGGTGTGGTGAACTATACTACTGTATGTATGATGTGTCCCACTTGAACTTGAGTTTGTATGACCTGTGGTGAACTGTAATACAGTCTGTGTGACCCAGTGGTGACCTATTCTACTGTGTATATGAACCTATGGTGACTGGTTCTGCTGTGTTTGTGACCCAGTGGTGACTATACTTCTGTGTATATGAATCTATGGAGAGCTGGACTACAGTATGTGACCCTGTTGTGACCTTTACTGGTGTATGTGTGACCCTGTCTTATGTATGACCTTTATGACCTTATTGTAGGTATATGTTACGTGTATGTGATCCTGGATGGTACACAAGACAGAAGAGAAAGCCATGTTATGGCATTCTTCCTACTAACCTCTTCAGTTTCTAAATTCATTTCTCATTGTCGCTTCACTTCCTTAAATCTTGCAACTTTTAATTTCTTTTCCTTTGCTGTCACTATTGTCATTGCCTGTTTTGTGCATCACCACTTAATATTGTTGAATGTTGGAAGAATATCTGTCATCATTATCAAATAACAGTGCAAGAAGAAACACTGAATCAACAAAATGATATGAACACTGACTTTTTCAAATAATGAATCGAGCAACATTTCTCGTAATCATCAGAATTATTCTGGAAATATTCATGGAAACATTGTATTATAAATGAGAGCCAGTTCTGGTCGATTCATAAGGTTTCTGATCACTAAACCATGGCAGTGTTTATATCCCAAATATTCACCGAACCATATTGGGTTTATATTCCAAATATTCGCTGAACCATACCGGGTTTATATCCCAAATATTCGCTGAACCACACCGGGTTTATATCCGGAATATTCACTGAACCATATCGGGTTTATATCCGGAATATTCACTGAACCATACTGGATTTATATCCCAAATATTCACCCAAGAACAGCAAACTAGATTGCAACAAACACGTAGTCCTAGGAAATGTGGTGTTCTTTTTTCACAGGCACAGTTTTTCAAATTAACCAAGTAGGTAGCCATTGCATGTTAATTTAACCCTTCATTCAGTTAACTAGATCAATAATTTCATCATTGACTTTCTCAACAATGTCATCTTTATTCATTTACATAAATACATGTGTGGATTTTAATATCATGTAGTAAGTTTGCAGGAAAACATCTGTAACATTTGTAAGACAAGCAATTTGTCATTAAGTTTGATTTGTGAGGAATTTTTTATATATTTTATTTAAACTGTTCAATGAAAATAAATGTATTTCCTCTGAAGTTACACACAAGTCAAAAGACATTTTGGGGTCTGTAAGCCGGTTAGCTGGCAAACTTGTGTTTTTGTCCCCAATCATCTGTAGCCTTTATATTGTAAAACACGTTCAGATGATAATCTTGTTTAATATTGATAGACTCCTGCTGACCTGATGACCAATGGAGGGCCAGAGTTTGACCCAGTTCTGTTGAAAAGGAGTTTGGTAAGCTGAAAATTGACACACATAGACTATATTACATTTTACATTAGTACTCATTTAAAATAGTCCAATATTACCGAGGATAAATCTGACAAAACTTAATTACTGTATTGTAGATGATAGTGTTTAATACTTTCTTGTAGATGGAGCATGCTTTAATGTTCCCTGAGAGAAGACGGAGAGGTCGGAAGAGGAAAGCGGAAAAAATGGCAGAAATTGCTATGGCTGAAGCTCTGGCAAGAAGAAGTCAGGCGCGAGCCTTGGTCAACATAGAATGTGGTAAGTCTGATGCTACCTGTAGACTTGTATGTATAGGATGGTCAGAAACTGTAGGTAATGTTTAATATGTAGGCAGGATGTGGTAAGTCTGATGATACTGGTCAGAAACTGTAGGTAATGTTTAATATGTAGGACAGGATGTGGTAAGTCTGATGATACTGGTCAGAAACTGTAGGTAATGTTTAATATGTAGGACAGGATGTGGTAAGTCTGATGATACTGGTCAGAAACTGTAGGTAATGTTTAATATGTAGGACAGGATGTGGTAAGTCTGATGATACTGGTCAGAAACTGTAGGTAATGTTTAATATGTAGGACAGGATGTGGTAAGTCTGATGATACTGGTCAGAAACTGAAGGTAATGTTTAATATGTAGACAGGATGTGGTAAGTCTGATGATACTGGTCAGAAACTGTAGGTAATGTTTAATATGTAGGACAGGATGTGGTAAGTCTGATGATACTGGTCAGAAACTGTAGGTGATGTTTAATATGTAGACAGGATGTGGTAAGTCTGATGATACTGGTCAGAAATTGTAGGTAATGTTTAACTTGTACAACAAGAAAATAGTGACTTCTTAACAATACTGTAATTCAAACTCAGTCATGAACCAGTGTAAACAAAAGAAAAACATTACATCAAGACCCTTAAAAATGAGATTAAACGAAATATTCTGAAAAGGTAAACATTTCACCTTCTTCCTCAGATGAGAATAAACTTAACATAGAACCCACTTGGGATATTAATGATCATTGAATCCATCTGACTTCAGATCACACAAGGAAATAAGGAGTTCATATTGTGGATCATAAACCTTCTCCATTTTCATTAACAAGTCCCTAATTATTGAATCATCTGTGTCATTTAAACATTAAGTCGGGAAGAGGGATTGTTACTGCCTAGAGAAAGAATATTCACAGTGATGAAATGGAAGTTTTTACATCTGTACTGTAACTGTTTTAAATCATTTTGGTTGTTAAATTCTTGTTTGTGATGTATGGGTTCTAATTTGGTTATATAGTAAGTAGTGTCTGTTATATTATCCTCCCTTCAATAATTTATCATTTTTTGAGCAGAAGCTCGCGTTCCTGTGATAAACCTTGAAGATGGTAGCCGTCTGTCTGGGGATGAAGCTCCACTTAAAAAAGACTTGGACAAATGGTTAGACCGTCATCCCGGGTATATGGTGGACCGTCCAGGTGAAATGGAAGATGTCGAGGACTTCTCCGAGATGGCAGCATTGCAGCGGGTAACTAAGGGTTTCTTTGATATTACAAGAAGTAATGATAAATTTATTGTATGTATATTTAACTGGATGATCAAATTTTCTACAAATCCCCATTCTTCTCCTTATTGCCGAAGTTATTCTAATTTTAAATATGTTGGCAAACACGATACATGTAATTACAGAAAATGTAAGGCTGAATCTTGTGATCTTAAAATTTCGGATCTTCTTGTATGCCAGTTTGATGAATTTTGGTTCATCATACTCAACACAGCTTAATGCCACCTGATATGTAAAGGTTTTCCTTGAGTCTGTTTTACCCACTTACTCCATCATCTCTTTGACAATAAGATCTTCCAATTTTATCTTTGCTCCATAACTATAAGCTTTATTCTATTTTCTGTGGAACTATGCATTGTTAGTGTGAATCTGAATACTTATTAACATCATTGATGGTAAATTTTGGTTATATAAAATTCACAAAATGGCCAAATTAAAGTTTCTGTAAATTTGGCTGCAGTACACATAACCTAATTTGTATTGGTACTACCTAGTTTTCACACTACCTGTGTTATTAGTTACAGCAGGAAACTCCAGAGAGAAGGAGAGGACGACGACCTCGAGTGGACCCTGCCATGCTGGATCCCAATAAATTAACTGGAGATGAAAATGTGTCTGTTATTCACAGACTGACAGGGAAAAAGGTGGGTTAAAAATAGAATACCCCAGGCAGGGATAATGGAAACCTGGTCTCTGCTGAAAAAGCATTAATTGATATGGATTCAATTTATGATGGAGATTTATCAATGAAATTAGTAGCCAATGGAAATGTCTATTTTTTGGAAAACCATAAATTGGAGCCTCTCGAGAATATGATTTTTTCATTGTATAAATATACTGATATAACAATATAAAACCTTGCTGCTCTATATAGTATACTGACATAACAATGTAAAACCTGGTCTATATATAAAATATGCCGATAAAGCAATAAACATTCTAGTCTGTTTACTTATGAAGACACACTTCTGTTTTACAGATAACTGGTGCTAAAGCTCCCCCTTTGAAATACCTAGCAGAATGGTTGGAGCAAAATCCCTTCTTTGATGTTGACTCAAAGTGGACAGACCTAGTCAAAGCTAAGGTAAAGATCAACTATGATATTGTAGATGTTGTTAATGGTATATCTGCCACTTCCTACCACCAATCACTTTGCCTGTTCTGTACTTCTGTGAACTGTGGCTTTAGAAATAATGCCTAAAACTTTCATGAACATGATTTAACACTACAACACTTATTTTTCAGGGCAAGCTTCCCAAATCCTTATTGTCTCGTGTGATCACACCTTCAGAGAAGAGAGGGCGTGGAAGACCACGTGAAAATCTTCTGTCACAGTCAGTTCTAGCCGGAGAAAACCCATTCACATCCATGGCAGGATTTTCTGGGATAAATTCTCCCAGTATGATGACTGGGTTTCACAAACTACCTCTGGGGATGCCCTTCGGGTCACTACCCCCTCTTGGAATGGCCAATCCAATGCTTGGCTTGGCTGGCTTTATGCCTGGATTAGCTACCTCATCACTAACTAAAGAGTTTGAATCTTCTTCTAAGAAAGATAACTCTCCAAATAAAAAGGACAAGTCAGATTTGAAATCTGCATCAAGTAGTACCCCCACACCCCACCCATCATTCCCAAACCTTATGTACAATCCGCTCATGTTTAACCCCCTGTTAGCAGCCCAGGCACAGCACCTTGGCTTCTCCCTTCCCACCAGTCTCCCCACCTCCTTTGCCTCGCTGGCCGCTCAGTCAGCCATAATGAATGGCCAGGGAGGGGATTCAGATCTGGAAGAGGGAGAGATTAAACGTTACCCTACGAAACAGCATCAGGATATGGCACAGGATTTATCAGTTAAAAAGAACTCTGAGCCTTCACCCAAACGCCAACGAGAGGACAGAGAAAAATCCTCGAATTCTAAGGTGCAGATTGATCAGGAACAACCATGTGATCTTTCAATGAAAGTCAAACCCAAGGAACATTCGTCTCATAAAGAACAGTCAAGGGTACAACAGAAAGAGCTTAATAAATTACCTCACAAAGAGCACCACAAAGTACCTCATAAAGAGCACCAAGGCAAGGAACAGTCGCGGGAACATCACAAATCACACCACAAGGAACACCATCGAGATCACCATAAAGAGTTGCACCATAAGGAACACAGAGAATCACATCACAAGGAACAGCAAAAGGAATCACCTCACAAGGAACCACATCACAAAGATATTGATAAGGAACTAGCTTTAGAACTGTCTCAAAAAGATACCAAAGATTTCACAAAAGTAAAGACTAAAATACAAAGTTCATTTAAACTGAGCAGGATTGTGGACTCTTTGAAAGACAAAGTGAAAAAAATGGAAGATAAAGGAAAGACAAAAAAGTCCAAACTTGACAGTATTGTGTGTAAACTTGGTTCAAAGACGGATGGAGATGAAGAAAACAGTCAATCAAGCATGACTCACGAAGGTAGGGATGAGGAAGCCAGTATAACCACTAGTGTGGAAGGTATGGAGGAGGTGGGGCCAGACCCAGAGGAGGCGGGGCCTGGTGTAGAGAGCCTGGAGCCTGAGCCAGAGGAGGCTGGGCTTGAGAAGGAGAGCCCTGAGGAGTTTGGGTCTGAAGTAGCAACCAACGAGACTGAGAACAGTGAAATGGCTGACAATTCAGCAGGTATCACTGAAGACGATGAGAAGTGTGGTGGGGAGGAAGAGGAGGCTGTTGCTGACTCTTGATGTGTTGTCTCATTCAGTCATTGTAGTGCAATACACCACAAACCTCCTACCACGCTGTGTAATTGTGAGTTAGTGTATAGCTCCCTCACCAGTGTGACTGTGTATACAAGTGTGTGTGATATACTGTGATTAGATATCAGATGTGTTGTGAAAATTGTCATTTCTCACCTGGTCTATTGTTATTCCCATGTGTGGTTTCAGACATTTTCAGGATATTTTCTTTTTCCAATTACGGATTTTTTGGTGAAAAGTGCATATCAGTGAACTGGTATATTTTTTGTGTTCCCACTGGACCAGTACTGGTAGACTGATAGCTCTGTCTTGGGTTACCAAATTACTCAACATACCAACAGTGGATCACTATTCCTCTAGGATTTCAGGCCAGATTTGTTTGTCCAATGTAAAATTCCTTTTGCTCACCGATGATTGATTTTGCGTTTGATACGTTTTGTAAATATCAAGTCAGAATTTATTTTGTCTATATTACTTTATAGTTGTTTTGATTTTTAATGTTTCCAGCTCTTAATTTAAATTTTAAAAAAGAAAGTGCAGGTGACCGGTCATCATGGAAATTGAGTTAGTGTGATTGTCTGATGAAGACAACAGAAGCAGAACAGCATGGAAATTAAACCTGTACTTTGTATTTTAGCTAAAGGTATCAGGAGATACATTCAATAAAAGTAATTAATGGATTTCATCAATAGTATTGTAGTAGTTTATTGTGAAACATTGTCAAGATGGATCTTGAACAAAGATAATTTTGAAGAGCATTGATATTGGATTTAGAACAAGATTTGTGTGTTTCTGGTAGATGGCTGGTTGTACAGTAGGTATCACACTAAATATATGATCTCAGCAAGGGTTATTGGTAGGACATGTCCCCCCCAGATCTGACCGCTTGTCTCGCGGGGGACAAGGTCTAAACCATATTTCAGGGCTACCCTAGCATCTTTAGTATTGATTTGTCAATTGTAAACTCTCTTTTAATTTATTGTCAACATGCTTATATTAGCAGTCTGATTCAGCAGGTTGTTTAGCTGATTATGTGATCATTACGCATCAGATTGTAAAAACCAACATTTGAGCAGATTGAAGTGCTAAATCAAATTTGGATGCTGCTAGCATAGGTGTGTTGACAGCCATTGTATTGATGTATGTTTAGCATTAGATTTCATCCTCATAATTTCCTGGTCAGGACTGTGTTGAAGTCTGTTTTCTGAATCTAACTCGCCATTAAATGATTCGACCACTGATATATCAGCTGAATTACAGTAAGAATTTGGAAACAAGTTTCATTTTACTGAACAAATTTGATATTATTGTTTGACTATTCTTCTTTTCTGTATAACAATGATGTAAGATTACAAAAAATTGAGTTGATGACATTCTAAAAAAAACCCCAATGTTACAATCAGAGAAATTAGAGTTCTTATTGTAGCAAAAAAGTTTTTACACAATTGGAGAACAGACTTCATCACACTTACGTTGGGCCATCCATAAGATGACCACCATCATTTCTATACTTAAACCATTCAGACTGTACATTCTGTGCACTGTCCACCATTTTACGAGAGTTCACTAACCACACCTGTTTATGGTTTTGGCAAGGAAATAGCTCAAAGGAAACTTCTGTCATTTGTCCAGAATAAAAAGCAAGAACTTGCGAAGAAGATGAAATAAAACTGTTGTTCCCTTTATGTTTGATGTATTTAGTACATATTGAGTGTTAAAAACAAGTCTGATTAGTGTCAATGCAAACAGTGTATAGAATGTGCAGCACCGTGTCACAGGGACTTGTAGGTTTGATTTCTTGGAAATATACACAGTACAGTGTGAAGTGTGCTATACTGTACTTCCCAACTCAGATCAATTATCTAGTTATCATATATAATCAGCACAAGTTTTAGAGTACCTAGGACTGTCCTTTTTGTGTAACAGGATCCAGGTAAAATCTTATAATCCAGATTATTTTTACTGAGTAAACCTACACGCCCCTGTGTAATCACGCATGAATTGCTCAGTCTCACTCAGGTGTCTATATAAAACTAGTCGAGATGTGATCACCATGTCATACGAAATGCCAAATGCAGTGCAATTCTTTTTGATTCTGTTACCAAATTTGATTCAGAAAAAACCAATTCCATTATTAGTTTTGAATATATTGGGTAAATAAGTTAATCACTTAAATTGAGGTCCCTTGCATTAATTAAGCTACAGGTAGCTTAGATGTAGAAAACCATTACCACGTGGCAATGAAATAGTATGTTAAGATATTAGTGCCTCTGATATTTTTTACTTATTTAAGGTTGTTTTGCCCCTGCGTAACCCTAGCTATTTACTGCTGTACTGTGTTTGTGTACTAGTGTACAGTGTCTGTGTATTGTATTATGTACAGCATACATATCCAATTGTAAATATCACATTTCACAAATTGTTCATACATGAAGTCTGAATTTGAACTTCGACCTCTGGTCAAAAGTTTAACAGAAAGAATATATATTGATGACTTAATATTTTCCAGATACCATGGTTACATTTTTTTCTCCTTCTCTTAAATCAAAATGTTGATTGTACACAATGAAGTGGGTGATGTAAGTTATTGAAAATGACCTGATAATTTATAGGTACTGTTAGTCACATGGTTGCCACAACATGAGAGGATTTCCTTCTGTATTATCAGTGTGTACTGTATGGGTGTATTTATTGAAAACGACAACAGATTGTATGCATCATTATTTTTTATTAAAAACATGGATTTGGTGTTGATTTTTCCTGGTTTTTCTTTTATGCCTCTGTTTACAACAGTGATATATACACGTGTATATATCAAAACAACCTGTCTGTTCCAACTCTGTGTGTGTTTGGCACAACTTAACTTTTCAAATTAACCTGTCCAGTCTGACTGCATGTCCAGTTTGACTGTTGGTTCAACCTAAGGAAAATGTCCTTTCTAAATTTCAATGAAGCACAGCTGGTTTTTGTTACTTACACATTCTTATGAATTTCTAAACAACCTCAAGACTAAAGCTATTCTAACACAAGATATTCACTTCATTTTTGTGTCGCCTGCAGAGCTGGCGGACACTTAGGGATCACTTTGTCCGTTGTCACGGGTCGTCATTGGCGGCGGCATCCGTACGAAAGCTTTCTGGACTTTTTTCGGTAGTGCTTTGAGTTACCAAAATGAAATTTGGCATATAGCTTTTTGTTGCAAGGGTACAGATTAAGTTGGATTCCGGGCTGTCTGTGACCCTTTTTTGCAGAGTTATGCCCCTTTCAACTTAGAAAATTTCCTGGGAATATTGCTTTGCAGTTTTCCCTTTATGATTTAAGTTATAGAAATGAAATTTGGTATTACAACTTTATGGTTGATCATTGCACATCCAGTTCAATTTCTGGGTGACCGCGACACTTTATGCAGGTGACACAGTTCCGAGGAACTCTTGTCTTGTGCTAAAAGACTGTTTGGCATCAATGGTATCAAAAAGTCTATCAGAATCTAGTTAAAATATGTTTCAACTTACATCAATACCATGACAAACAGTGGGTGTGGAATTGATTTACCAAAAGTATATGACTTGATGCAGTGTTGTCAAATATCATTTGCATAGAAATTTCATTTTTGAAAAGCAATGAGGTAGCAAAGAGAAATGTCATAACTTGATATAAAAATGTTTCAATGAAAACTATGTTCTTCCTTAACGAGTTACAGAGGAATTTATGTAAAAAGCACTCTTAGTCCTAAATATGTTAATACCAACAATGAAGGGACATTCACCTAGTGAACTAAACGAGCTACAGATCTTTCAGCACATCCAGCTTCCAATAAATAGTTTATGCATAAACAATTGTTAGTTTTTAGACTGACTTGGAGAATAAGACTACCATGTAATGGCCAGTTGAGGTTTTAACTATATGTTTAGCCCACAATTTGATCTGGTGGACTGATAAACATGCCCTGTCCACGGTCCATCACCATCCATTGTCATGAAACAATTATTGTTTTAGCTGTTACCAGATTGATTGTTTTCGAATTTCATATGAAGGTTTCCCAATTTTGGAACTGGTCATAAAGCACAGTTTACTATTGACATTTCTTAGAAGTACTGGATGGATCTTTCTTAGACAGATTTCATGTGTAGGTCGTTGGTCCTTAATTCTTCTCTTTTGATTTTAGGACTGACAGACAACCATCTTAGATTTGATAGTAAAAGATTAGTATCACTTTTCCTTAGAGAAATTTTCAAATTTCATAAAGAGTGAAAACCAAGAAAAAATTGGGAGGAGAAGGGAAAGATCCAACCATTAGAGAACTCATAAAGATCAAACAATGTTCCACACAGATCATTTTTAATTTTCATAGTAAGTTTCCCTTGATCTGTAGTGTCTTGTTGAAAAAATATATGTATGGCCTACAGAACAAAATTTTGAGGCTAAATGGAAAATATAAATGACGGATAATATCAGAAATCTGAAATTGTGGCTCACTGGCTCTGCATTCATCACCCATCCTTAAAGATTTGAGTCCACTATCATGAGATGATGGGCTTTTCAAATCCCTGCATCTGTAGTCTGTGGTCCACCCGTCTGTAAACGATTTTTATTCTTGCTTTTTTTCAAGTCTGTGGTCCACCCGTCTGTAAACGATTTTTATTCTTGCTTTTTCTCAAGTCTGTGGTCCACCCGTCTGTAAACGATTTTTATTCTTGCTGTTTCTCAAGTCTGTGGTCCACCCGTCTGTAAATGATTTTTATTCTTGCTTTTTTTCAAGTCTGTGGTCCACCCGTCTGTAAACGATTTTTATTCTTGCTGTTTCTCAAGTCTGTGGTCCACCCGTCTGTAAACGATTTTTATTCTTGCTGTTTCTCAAGTCTGTGGTCCACCCGTCTGTAAACGATTTTTATTCTTGCTGTTTCTCAAGAGGTAGGGTATAGGTCTTTCTCAAATATATTATGTAGGTTCCTCTTGTTTTCTAGTTGTACCAGTTTGACTTAGGGACTGATTGGAGAAAAAAAATAGCTAACTTGCAACCATCTTGGATTTGTCAGTTAAAGATTCTTATCACTATTTCTTCAGAGGAATGTTCAAATTTCACATAATTAAGAGCAAAAATAGAGAAGAGGAAAGAACAGAAAAAGATCTGACTTATGAAGAACAAATAAAGATCGAACAATGATGGGTGCCAGGATACTGCTAGGATCTCTTATGGTCATCTAAATGGTCTTGATGGACCCAGATCTGGAAGAATGAAATACTCTGGCTCTTTACCAACATATGTATATCAGCAGTATACTAGGTATTTGATGGGACATTTATATTGCTATTAGAATAATATAAAGCATTGCCCTTTTGAAATGATAATTTTTTGGCAAAAGCACTGTAACATTTGCATTACATGCATGATGTTCAAGCAATCTTACTTTGTCTACTGGATGATTACTTTGTCTCATTGCACCAAGTAAAATATCAGTCTTTTTTTATTGACAAGTGACTGTTAGGTTACATCCTTTATGGGTTTAATGGCGGCCAGTGTAGCAGAGAAGAGTGCTGCAGAATTTGACCAAACATGATCAGAAGTAGGTATGCCAAAAGTGTTAAGCCTCTAGATTTGAATTCCAACAATCAATCTTTTCCGGAAAAAAAAAAGAAAAAGCTTTGAAATATTAGATGTTTAATCCTAGAACAAAATTTGTGAATATACAGGTTTTTATAATGATTTTCATGCTAATGCCAATTGATTATATTCAGATGTTTAAGTCTCAAGCAAATAAAGAAGTGACTTTTTATAAAACAACTATTGGAGAATGAAGTCTATGATAAAATGGTTATAATGTTTGGTTATAATTCAACAAACCTCATCAGTATGTAATTACATTTCTGGATTTGAATATTAATAATTGACTAAAAACAAGAACCAACATCCATTCAGTGTAGATAAAGAAATAGTTCATATTCTAGAAGGATACCAAATAGTCTGCAGAGCACTCTCAAAAAGTAGATTGAAAAGAGAGTAGCAACTCCTGCGGCCAGGTTTGGAAAATATGAAACTGCCAACATGTTTCAGTCTGCTTGTCACATGACCATTACTGTTATTCAGCTTCAAAATGTTACAGTTACGCCAATAAATTATGCCCTGATGATGACCTTCCCAGCAGGCTGAAACATGTATGAAGTCACATATTTTTTTCAAACCAGCCCTTGGGAGTAATGCTGCTCTTTCTGTAATCTTGATATTAAATAATTAAGTCAGGTAACACATGTCATTTTTTTATAGCACAATCTACAATTACTTACAAAAACTATCCTTCACTATAGATGCAGCCACATGAAGCAAAATTTTGTAGAAACGGTGCATTATCATTATAGAGTTAAAGATCAATTCAAAGAGCTATGTAAACTCATGTATTCTAGAATAAGACATGAACCAACGCACCAATTCTGACTAGAGATAAGCTGCAATGGAGCCAACTCTATAAAAGTAACATTAATGATACTTCAATTGGACAGGAATTGACATGGCTGATTTTATATGAAGGCATTTGCTAAAATTGTTTCCAAATAAAAATTGGATGTAAAATATTCCATCTTTGTCGCTCTAAGCCAAATACAGTTTTCTTGGATATTATCTCTTTATTTTTATATTCTGAAGTTAATTGTATAATGATTGAATCTTAATTTCATGTTCTTTTTTGTGTTTTTTTTCTTGTCATTTCAATCAATTATCTTTTTTAATTACACATCATTTTTTTGCATTTTTCAAAGTTAACAATTTAAACAATTATATTTTGATTACATTTTGTTTTGGTTTTCAATGTTGGATAAAAATAAAATGCCACAAGCACAACAATACAAGTTTTCTACTTGGCCACATCTTGTAAATGATTGTTATTGGCTGGGAAACTTGATCACGTTAAGGACTTGAGCAAGTCATTTTTATTCATACGCGCTAAAATCTAAAAATAACTACAGTATTCGCTATCTATATTTTATCGTTATAAAATATTTTCTGGGTGTTTTTACAATCCAATGTTCATGCCTTTAATATATCTGTATGAAATTTAGATGTTTTGTCCGCCCATTGAACGTTTTAAAGAGCTTATATATTGCACTATTTTGCTAGGCGCATTTACAAATATTTCTACGTTTTCTAACTTGTCCTAAATTTCCCGCCACTTGTGTGTTTAGAAATTGACGGCCATTGTTGATTCTTCCCCTGAACCGGAAGGGGTCTTGCTATAGTAAAAAGTTGTGAAGATGGGCTTGTCGGAGGATGGGGAAGAAGCTGTAGAGCGGCGATTTGAAGAAATATGTTTGGATTTGAACATGGATAAACATCCACGAGAAGAATCATGGAACAACTATAGAAAGATTCGCGAAAATTACACATTAGAAGTAAGTTTTCCTCCACAAAGCTAGTAGCCGAATGGCCGAGCTTAAGCTCTGTGCACGATAGAATTAGTGTTAATATTTGTCGATTGCGTTGGTAAATTGTCAGTCTCTTAATTAATTGCGATTCAAGAATCTTTCACTTGAATGCATATTTTATTAATGTGAAGCCATTACTTTGTTTTGTAACACTAACGACACGTTTATTGTACACAGGGTGATCAGCTGCACTGGCTGGCATGTGCTCTGTACGAAGCCTGCAGGCGCAGCGTGGTGCCGACAGTAGGGAAGGGGACGATAGAGGGCAACTGTGTCTCCCTCACAAGACTACTTCGCTCTGCTGGAAGGTTCAGGTAACGTTGTGATCGACTTCGAAATTTATGACGAGAACTGACTTGTTTTGACAGTTTTGACATCATGCCATGTTCATTTCCAACAATAATGTGCCGGGTGTCCTTCACCGGACTTCTAGTAAAAGTTTAACTTAGGGATCACATTGTTGATTGCCATGTGAGGACAAATAGTTGTGAATTCTAGTAACACAGATGATTTAATATTAGCTAATTTGATATTGAAAAATAAATTGTTTGCATCACAATAAGTATTTGTTGGGACAATGCAATGTATATCCTGATGATGTAAACAATACACCCTTGATACTCTAGGGGTTACAATCACTTTCACTATCTGCACCCCAGGAACATGTCAAGACAAAATTGAAGGTTTCCAGTTCAATACCTTGTTGACAAGAGGAAAAGACTGGTTTGATCCTTTAAAGTACATGAAACAAATCTTGTGGGTCTCATAACAGTATATTGTAATGGCTCTGAAGTTGGATGTCACTGCTTTGTACCATTAGAAGGAGCTTAAGAGACCTTGGAATGGTCAGCTTTTTTCTCTTGGAACTCATCAAATTATTCTGCTTGTGCCTTCACTGTGACATGTTCCAGGGGTGCATAGAGTGAAAGTGATCATAACCCCTGGAGTAGCGAGGATGTAAACAATATGCCAAACTAGTTAGGTTTTGTTGCATTGAAGATGAGGTCTGTGAACACGTTGTAATGTAGGGTTCAATTTTCAGTCCTATATAAATAAAATGCAAGAAGTTAAAAATGTTATTCTCATTCTCAAAGTTAATGATAATAAGAAGAAATCAATTTCTGATTTTCTTACAAATCTATTTTACAGTTTAATCCAGTTTTTCAACAAAATGAAGAAGTGGGCTGACATGGCCAACCTCCCTCAAGAATTCAGGGATAAAGTAAACAGACTAGAAAGAAACTTTGCAGTGTCTACAGTGATTTTCAAGAAGTTTGAACCCATATTTCTGGATATCTTCAGAAGTCCCCTAGATGAACCTCCAAAACAGAACAGAAGTAGGAAGCAGAGGTATGTTTGTAAGAAATATCATGTTTCATAGTGATTTGGATTAAAACAATTTCATGGTTTATAAGGTGAAAGTAATATAATACAGCCAGATTTGTGTTAGCTACTACTGACAAGTTCTTTGTAATGAATACATGTCAGGGAACACTTGTATACCCTTCATACATGTAATAATCACATCCCTTCTTATTTTCCATATATAGATAAATGTATTTTCTACATTCTATATTATTACAGGAGACTTCCATGTTCCTCGACTGATGTGTTTAACTTTTGTTGGACAATGTTTGTACAAGTCAAAGGTAAATTGATTAATTATGTTGAATTATTAAGGTTTCTGTAGGGCAAGTCAAAGTGTATGTTACTTTCAGTTATTATAAATATAGACGAGAACTTTGCTAACCTTAATCCTCATTACTTGGGTATATGTATTGGTTTCGAAGTTAAAAAGTGCTAAGAAACCCATAGAAGTCCTTCAGTTTCAGAAAAATCAGCCTGTTTGATCTATTCTTTTCATAAAGCTGAAAAAAATTAAATTCACTAGATAACCTGTTTGTGGATAGTTAACAGCATAATTATAATTGTGAGCTACTCCTTACTCTGTTATTTCCAGTATCAGGAATACAGAGATAGTTGATAGGGTGGCAGTATTGAATATATTTATTCACACAAGATCTCCAGACAACACTTTTCTTACAGGAAACTTTCCTGCCATTAGTGATGATTTGGTCAACTCTTATCATCTCCTGTTGTCCTGTATCGACTGGTTCTACGCCAATGCTCTTCTTGGAGGCAGAAAAGATTTATTAAATGCAGACTTCACTGGTAGGTGGTACTCTGACATCAGAATGTCTCTTCTGACAAGTGTTATGCAGTCTTCATTTATAAAATTAGTGTAAAGAAATACTAAGTCATGAAATTATTCAACCCTGATCTTAAACAATTTGTGATGTGAAAACATTTTGTTATCTTTTGAAATCAAATTATCACAAAATTTTGCTGATCTTTATTTAGGTTTACCGGATGGTTATCACTCCAAAGATTGGAAACCCCCTACTGAACCTCCCTGTATCATCAAACTGCTGTGTGAGAAACATGAGGGGCTGGAGCTGGAGGCTAAGGTTATTAAAGAACATTGGTGGAAACCTCATATTCGCAAACTGTTTGGCAAGAAAGTAAGTTTCCAAATCATGTGGCCTCCTGTTTCTCGGACAATTTGGTTTTTGTCTGGTCTGGAACCTTTCTTGACTGTATTTGCTGAAGTGAAATCTAACCTCATTTCATCTGCAAAAGCTGTATTTCTCACTCAGAATATTCTCAAAGATCAATTAATGAGAAATCATTGACACCAAGTATCAATCCAAGGTCCTAGTTTAAGGTCATTTGTGAAATACACTTTTCATGTATCCCAGACATGGTTGAATGGGGTGTAGGTTGCTGATTAAAGTTGTAAACATGTGGGAAATGATGATATATGCTCCAGAAATGTAATGAACCTGGATGATATTCAATGGTCAAGGCTCTATTAAGAGGTAAAGTGTCAAGATCATTGTGATTGTGTCGGCCCCGACTCGGGTTGCTTGAAGATGCTAAAGGGTAAAATGCCAGCAATGATTTTGAATGGTTTTATCTTTCACAAAAGTTTTATCATATAGGTTAAATACAATTGATGATGACACCAGAAAATGTAGAAATTGTCCTAAAATGAAAGGTCACAATGGACCCGTAATTTAACAGAATTTATCTGATATTTTATAGGTATTGAAGGGGAAACCAGAGACTTTATCAGCAATACTGGAGATTGGAAACTTTGAAGCAAACAGGTAATATATAAAATGTTTCATTGAGCTGATAGTCACCATTTGAATACACCATTGGTATTAAACCTCAATAACTGATTGTGCCAGTTGAAAAAAATACATGCATTTGGAAGCCAAATTTCTGGCTAGTTGACATATTATTGATCTGGATCATATTGAATGTCTGAGCCTGTCAGATATTGGGGGTTTTGCCCCCTAAATGTGTAACCAGAATAGATATCACAAAGTTTATGTAGTCTAAATCAAAAGACAAAACTATGCATTGCACCATTTGTACTGACCCAAGAGTCGAGATTTAGTGTTATTTGTTAAAGCATTTTAACTGACTGAGTATGAATACACTGATTGTGAAAAGTCTTTAAGGTCATCAATCATAAATTTGTCAATATGTATATAAAAAAAGAAATCAACAAAGATAACATCTTGGTGTTAGTGGTTTGTTTTCACTTTGAGTGTTTATTTACCTTTGTTTATTGTTTTTCACCAGCTTCTCTATATTTGAATGATTTTTTTTTCAATGATTCATGTCATGTGTACATTTCTTTTGTATGTGTGTAAGAAGTCTCCTTAGTTGTTGTAAGTAGTTGTTTTTTAGAGCTCTAACACAAATCTGACATTCTTGTTGGTCCGTTGCTGACCAGAGCGTTGGATTGCTTTTTCACCTGTTATGAATTCCATGATATTTTTTCAATATTTTGTTTTTGTCCTATGTCAGACAATATGTTCATCCCTAGCAATGCCTTAGATATAAAATCTCGCGCAATGGTTTTGATGTGTAACATCAGTAGAAATGAAATCTAGTTTTATAAATGTTTCATATTGGCTATGAGATGAAATTGGATCTAAAATATCATGGACAGTTCAATTCACATCCAAAGTTTGTTTTTACGTTATTTATTGTTCATTGCCTTGGATACCTTGACGATGGAAGAAACATCAACTTTAACAACACTCAGTTGTCATTTTATCCTCCAGTGATATTTTATGCGGCTAAAACATTATCTTCCCTACTCAAAATTTGTGTAAAAACCCTTAATAAACATAAAATATTACCACTTCTCAATTTCTGCAGCCACAGACTATTGTAAAAACTTTTGAGAATGTGGAACTGTGACAGCAGTGCTGCTAGAATAGCTAAAATTCTGATCTGAAGCATCATTAACGTATGTAATTAAAATGACAAAGTAGTGAACTAGCTCAGTGGTTTGGTGGTAAAAAATCCTAAGTAGCTCCCATCTTTTGTATGACAATACAATTAAGAGGATTTCTTTCAATCACCAATGAAAACCTTGCTTACATCTTTGCATTCATTATTAGGAGTATCAAATTCACTTTAATGAAAATTTTGTGAAAAAGTTGAAAAAAAGAAAAGCTCAACTTTTAATTGCATGTCCCTTTATTAAAAGTTTAATTTTATCTTTGACAGTTGTTAATTCCCTTCCAACAAAGTTGGTAGCCCTTTGGTATTGACATGGGCTCTGTGTGTCTGGTGAAGAATTATGTTGTCCATATCTGGGAGACTAACAGGGCTTATACTTACATAACTGATGGGTCTTGGGTGTTACACGGAATATAGATGATAGATGCCGAGTTTGACCTGCATTTTATGCTCAGTACACATTGGTTTTTTGCTGGGAAACTATTAACATTACAGAACATATACTTGCCTGAATGATGCAAGTACTACAGAACTTCTTTAATTGATGCTTTGTTGTAAATCAGTACTAAACCTGTGAACATTGTAATGTGATGCAATTTCCCTGTGTAGTGAGTGGGGGATTTTTATAAGGTCAAGTTTTCCTTTCAATAACTAAGACTAGTTATGTTTTGCTGAAATGACGGCAGTATTAGATTTATTTTTTTTATAGATTTCATGCTTCATCAAATCAATTTTTGTCTGATTCTGATGATTTTACCAGGGTAATTTAAGGTACTCGGGTTCCCCCCCCCCCCTAACCATCACTCCTTTAACATTACCCACACCTGCCTGTTCTTGCATGATTTTGTTGAATGATTCTGATTGAGTTTTTTGATGTTGTGGTTTAATGTTCAGTTTCTCCACTGCTTTTCAGTATTGCTATCAACCAAAGTTATGAAGAGTTTCCTTTACGCTATAGCAGGTAATTAGATCTGTAAAGGTGCCCCATGCAGGCTGTCTTTCAAATAATGACCAGATTTTCATTTTTCAGTCATCCAGCTGATTTCATTTTTCATCTTTATACCATCACATTATCATCAGTAGTTTTGTGCCAAAACTCTTGAAACTTAAAAAAAAAAAATTGAGAATGATTTAAAGATCAACTGAAACTGAAGATTTGGTCACCGAATCCCACAATGTGTCAGATTCATTTAAACTGTAAGAAAATTATTTATTGTTCAAACTTAATGAAAAAGAAAAAAAGAGACTTTCTTTTGGTTGAAGATTTCTATTATTAACAAGTTTTTGCACATCACTACAAAACCGAAATCTTATTTTATGCCATTTCACTTGCAAATTCCTCCAAAAATTCTGCAGGTATTACAAAAAATTTTCTCTGGCTCAAGTTGTCATGGTAACATGCTTTTTCATTTGGTTGGTACTTTTGAAACAAAACATAGAAATTAAAGAGAAAGTTGTTGAGTTTAATTTTTTTCTGTCATTAAATAAGAATATTTACTGAAAAGTGTTACTTTTATAAGTAGTTGTCAAAAAAATTTGATTTGATCAGAATTTCAATGAAACTACCCGAAATTCCTTGACATGAAAACAATACATGATATTGGCTCCTTGTCAATAAACAAACCATATGAAAGAGGAAATTGCATTGTGGAAGGTTATGTAAGTTTCGGGTTCATTTTTTTCCCCTTTGAAATATTGTTTGTTTCAAATTCTTAATCCATATAATTTCAGTAAAACAATAAACAATCAGTATGAAGAGTATGTACTAAGTGTTGGAGACTTTGATGAGAGGATATTCCTTGGGGATGATGCAGATGAGGAGATAGGTACTCCTGCTAGGGCTTCTGAAGAGGTCACAGGCGAGTTTTCAGAAAGGATGAATGTGAAGAATAATTTGCAACAACATTTTGAAGAGGTAAGTGGAGTTTGTTTTGTGTACATAAATCAGTAATATGTAGACTTCACTGAGTGCCAATACAAGGTGCTTGTCAATATAATCAATCAGTTTGGATGTTTTACAGCTCTCGTTGGAGATTTCTTTCTCCTCTTTTGTTAAAATTCATTTTCATTTCATCACATTTATTCGTCTCGCTTTTCCACCATTCATTCATTCATTCATTCATTCATTAATACAGTAAGAGTAATCAAATAGAGATTTACACATAAATGTACACATACATAGCTATAAATTATTTCAATCTTGTAAGAGGAAACAATGTGTATATGTATGTGTGGTAATCATTCTATCCACCAATGGAAACACTTTACACGATTTATATTTGCACATTTTACGTTACAACAACAACAGCAATATACAAGAAACAAATACAATATTAAGACAATGAAATGCATTTGTACAAAAAATACATGGCCGACAACAATTTTACTGATTGGTCATTTCATATCATTGATTTCATGCATAAAACTCCATGAACATGATGGTGTTTGGTATTGAATTAAGGATATTTATATTATTTTTATCTTTCTCATACCAATATGAATAGTTGTCCACATTTTACACACATGTACACTTACATGTGCATCCTCTCACACATACTTCCCTACTGTGCCAACATACTTGCAAACATACATTAATCATGTTTAAAAAAATCTGATGTTTATTTTTAGAATCAGATTGACCGAAAAGTCCATTGTGCTTCTACATTGACCTGTTGAAACTCTTGGATACATATATATAGGTTATATATCAACTTTTTGCATACACATACAAATGCATTATATCTTCTGACACACATATGTACAAAATACACATATCAACAAACCTGATCCTAGCATTGCAGCATGTTCCTTTGGAGACCATCTTAATCAGTAAAAATATATTTCTTTTTTTATGCCCCCGCCATTTATGGCCGGGGGCATATAGCGTTGCCCATGTCCGTCCATCCTGTCCCGTCCCAAATCAGTTTATACCACCTAACAACTTCATTCGGACCTTTCACTATTATTTCACATGGGGGGGGGGGGGGGGCATTCATGTCTTACAGACATTTTCTAGTTTTCATACTATATGACCAATTTCTTCATCAATCCATATTTTATAAACCTTAACACAATAAAGAAAAACAAATTTGCAAAGTTTCTGGTGCGTGTCTACCAATAGTACACAAGCTATCATCAATTATGTTTATTTGATACAGGAAAGTAGTCCAATCACTATCCTCATTTATAGTTGGCTTTCTATTCAATTCAACTTTCTTTTCTATAGGATGGTGTTTAAAATTTTCCACATATAGACATATTTAAGATATTTTACATTATATTATAACTTATTTGTTCTCTTCATATACAATTTGATTTATCTTTCTGTATTTCACCAACTAATGTTAAATATTATAGAAAGTTAAGTGTTTCACGTTTGACATTTTCTACATTGAGAGAATCTGTAGGTTATCATCTGATAAATCTTTACCAACCTTAACCCCGTTTGTTTTATATTGAATAAATGATCTGAATATAGGAAGTGGTATGTAACTTAAAAGATCCCTCTCAAGGAACAGAGATAAATTGTCCTTATCATTTTTATATTCTCTCCATGCTAAAATAATGTGTAGAGGCATGATATTTGACTGGTAGGTTCCCAGGACGAAGCCAGGCCAAGTTTGTGAAAAGAAATGACCTTGACTGATATTCAAGGTTACTGGGGTCAAATTTGTTAAGACCTCTAAATGTTTTTTTCTCATGAACTAAGAAAAAGCCTATAGGAGATATATCTGGCTGGTGTGTTCCCAGGATGAAGCCCGACAAAGTTTGCGAAAAGAAATGACTTTGACTGATACTCAAGGTCACAGGGGTCAAATTTGTTAAAGCCTTCGAACAACTTCTTCTCATGAACTTATATACCTAGAGGCATGGTATTTGGTTGGTATATATATACCAGGTGATCGCTGTGGGCCATTGGGTCTCTTGTTCCCGTTATTTATGCTATCTGCAAACTACATAAAAGCAAATAAAGCAATCTTTAGATTAAGTCATTGAATTTGCATTAAGAAAGTTTAGTAATCATTTTAATATCAGTGACAGTTCTGATTGTTTGTTCATACATTGTCATAAGCTTATAGGCCTAAGCTGAATTTACAGCATATCGTTCATGTGTTCAATGGCATGTAAGGATATATTGATAACTCTTTTTGTTGAAATGAAACTTATTGAAGAGTCTTTGATTTTTATCTGAAAAAATGAAATCATAATTGGGTTAGATTTCGACTTAAAAGGAAAATGTTTACATCTTTGGATTTTTATGCATGTAATTGATGTGTAAAGATAAAATTTGAATACTGCTGGGGTTTGAATTAAGCCTATAGCTTGAATTCATAATCTTCACAGTTTTCATTAATACCAGTGATACCGGTGAGACTATAGTGACCCTTTGGCCACTAGCCAGACACTTCACCCCTAGACAAAAGAGAAATTTCCACTAGCCAGTGCTAGAAAGGGGATCTTGAGTACCATCAACTTCTACATTTCTACAATGTATAGTACCCATAACACTCATCAGTTTAAAACATACACTTTGTAATTCAAGAACTAGTCATGTTGCAGATCACATCATGACTATATGTCGAGAGCCTTCATATAAATACACATGTATATACACATTAGTTTAACCAATCACTAAAGATCATAATTTCACCACTTTATTCCTTCACATTGAACACCATTTCATTTATATATATCAAGAATCCAAATACACAATGTGTCTAGCTATTTTCTTCTATTCCTTATTGATACACTGTAAATCACTAATACTTTGAATGATGTTTATTTTCGCATTGATACTTGAGGAGAGCCAATCACATATGCAAATCTCTCGCCACTACTTGCATGAATCTCTTGATGACATCCTTGTTATTCTATTGTAAATATGGTTTAAGTTTTACACTTCCGCTGAATTTTCAATATATAGGGAAGATAGGCATACTGTGGTGTCCATTGTTCATCATCTATTAACTTTTACTATATGTTGCAACTGTACATGAACGGCAGAGCAGATTTTAATCAATTTGGTCTGGAGCATTGTTGGTGAAAGCAGAACCAATTTTGTGTAAGTGATGGGTCTAAATTACTATCCAATAACTTATTGGCATGGCTGGGCAACTGATCTCTGTCCCCACCCCTAGGGAATTTGAAGCTGAATCTGTGGGGTGAGGCTCATTGAGGGAATGCTTTCCTTCTGAAGATATGTCAAGTTTTTCATTATTGACTTAAATATCCAAGTGAGCGATACAGGCCTTCTGTGCCTATTGTTTTAAATTACAAAATAAACCGTTGGAAAACTGTCCTGGTCAATACTGCTTGGACGACTACTGTATGATTAGTATAATTATATTGCTTAGTTTTATGTAAAAACTGCACAAACACGTCTGGCTTATTGAAATTGTGTCCTCTTACCTTGAAAACGGCTCACTTCACTCTTCAAACATTAAGGCATGTTCGTTTCTTTTGCCTACATACTAGTCTGCAGTCAGGTAAATACAATTCAGTACAGACACAACATTTATTACACAACTAAATCACTGTCATATATGGTCACATGACTCTCATGAGCAAAAAGGCAGCCAATGAAATTTTGTGTAAAAATTGGTCATACTAAGAGGATGAACAGTGTACAAAATTCAGGGACAGAAACACCTGAATTACAGAATTATTGCCCTTTGTTAAAATTTTGTGTCTAGTCCAATTGTTTTTGGGAAGCAGTCTTCAGTTTCACTGATATTCTTGTGTTTCCAATGCTTGCAAAGTTCTCAAATCTTGACTGGACATTTGCCTGATTTGGTGAGGTAATCTGGAAATTTTACGAACTAGGCTGACTTTATATGCTAAAAACTATTATTACAAAACATCTATTGAATTTCAATTTTCCATTTTATTCTCATGTCAAGACATTGTTCGATACTGGTACTTGTAATTTAGCTTCAAGCTTGTTTTAGTAATATTGAATAAATAATTATATTCAACTAGTTTCTCAATGATCATTAAAGAATTGAAGCAATTAGCAATGCTGCAATATAGCACCTGGTTCAAAGACCAGTTCTTACTTTCCTCTGATGCAAACTGACAAATGTGTGGGCTGTGTTAAATTTCTAAATTGATACATAGACCTAACAGCTTAATCTACAAACTAGTGAGATACTGACCTGTGAACCTGTGTGTCTGGTGATTCTGGCATCAAATTCACCTGTTTACAGAAGTAAAGACGCTTTCAAAGTCATTTAAATGTCTTCATTTTTTCCTAATAAGAAATAATTGTAATAAAATACTCTCATGTACAGGACTGACTGATATAGGCTCTCAAACTTAATCTTCTATTAAGCGTTTCTTTGTAGTGTTTGGAACTATCTAGTGTTAATTAAGACTTAGGAGAAGACATCTCCAACATAGGCAGACAGGAAACAGAAAAAAGGGTACCAGCACTAAATATGATACACAAGACAGCGGTATATTAGTATACAGACCAAGTAGGATGATAAGGGGACCAGTATACAGACCAAGTAGGATGATAAGGGGACAAGTATACAGACCAAGTAGGATGATAAGGGGACAAGTATACAGACCAAGTAGGATGATAAGGGGACAAGTATACAGTCCAAGTAGGATGATAAGGGGACAAGTATACAGACCAAGTAGGATAAGGGGACAAGTATACAGTCCAAGTAGGATAAGGGGACAAGTATACAGTCCAAGTAGGATGATAAGGGGACTAGTATACAGTCCAAGTAGGATGATAAGGGGACAAGTATACAGACCAAGTAGGATGATAAGGGGACAAGTATACAGTCCAAGTAGGATGATAAGGGGACAAGTATACAGACCAAGTAGGATGATAAGGGGACTAGTATACAGTCCAAGTAGGATGATAAGGGGACAAGTATACAGACCAAGTAGGATGATAAGGGG